AGTTAGCTATTATTTTATAATGTATCTTAAAATTTTTTCCACAATTAGTCTATTGTTTTTATTCCATCACGAACAAACAAGTAATCTATTAATGTTTAACGATTTCTAACCAAAAACCACAGCATTCTCAAAATAGTACTCGTTTTATATATACAGTATATATAAATACAATTTTTATTGAATTTGAGATAACAATGAAATATAACAAGCATAACAAGGTGGGTTTTGGGAAATAATCGTGATTTGTTTATACGTGACCCACTTGTCATAAAAAAGAATTTGGACTTAACAATAAATATGTTTTTATTCAATTGTACTAGTTATTTAATGATCATAATGTAAATATAAGTATTTTGTTGTGACATCTATTGAACGGGAAGAGGTAACATAAAAACGCTTCATTCATAAATTCATATTTCTTGAGCCTAATTATTTCTAAAAAAATCCATCTTTTTTTCAATAAACATAATTTTTAAGTGTACTTTAAACCTATTAATGATGTAGTCTGTTGGAATGTTGTCTGTCAATAAGGCTATATCGTGAATAGGGGTAACAGAGTTAACTTAGTTAAATATGAAATGTATTTAATAGGGCTATGAACAAAAAATCCTATTTTATCAATTTAATTTGAACGTTGTACTATGATACGATAAGTGACATATTAACTTTGAGGCGGTTATATTTTCTTCTCTTTACTCGCACATAATAACTGACCTATTTAAATACGTAATAAAAACTGTTTAGGTTTTACCATATCTATCGTGTAAATGTGAATATATTAGTACAAGAAGAGTATTTATTGTTTTTATGAATTGATATAATTTTCAAGTACAATTATCTTGTAACTAAAATGAAGTAGAGCTTTTATATCTTTCCTTCTAATTTATCTGTTTAACATAAAAGTATAAACGATGAGATTTAGGTTTAATATCTTGGTCACGAGCCAACGATTTCTCAACGATCGAATGGAAAATATTCTCCGTCTTCAGATGGTTGTTACCAGGTTTACGTTGTTTTGATTCGAATTTTTCTCTTATCTTCAAAATATCTCCTATTATCGTGTTTGTGATTTACCAACCTTAAAAATTCTAGGATACTAAAATTTCCTTGGGAAAATATGATTAAATGCTAAACTAAACTATAAAATTGTTTTAAATTTCATTGAGCACTGGATTTTTTTTTACCAATTTTTTCATTAGTTTTCCTTACCTCCTCGTTGAGTGGTACCTATTTCTGTTTTAGCATCAGTTGTGACTTGAGTTGTGGTGGGCTTGTTGGTAGATAGTTTAGCTAGGTGAAAAAAAAGGAATGTATTATCTGTAAATTTTTTGTCAATATCAAGTAATAAGAGCTCATAAATACTTGTAAGCAGGTTTAAAGTTGAGATTGGAATCGTTGTGGTTTCTGTATTAGTTAAAGGAGTTACAGGCCTTTTACAAAGCATAGCGGCGTCTTTATCGGCTTTTTCAAAGTCTAGAACGCCAGAATTATAGAATTGAACATAAACATTTGAACTGCTTAAAGGGCTATCATCAAAAGGATTTTCGACATAACTATTAATATAGTAGTTATATATTTGGTTAGATGAAATCATTCCCCTGTATGCAAGCCAGACGTTGTTTATATCTGTAATAGAGTAAAAAAGAAAATATTATTCCCTTGTTTATCAGCTATAAAGAAAGAGTTTTTTTTTCTTATTACCAAATTTCTTCATAACGTCTTTCAAGTAATTTAAATCGTTCGTTGAAGAAGTATCCGATAACTTTGACAGCATCGCAGACTTACAATGGTTCACACCGTTATCAAAAGATCGTTTATGTCTACTAGATAGAAAATAGCAATGAGAATCATCCGATGGAAATTGAAACTCTCCAGGTTGGCAACTACTTCCGGATCCTATAAACAATATATATAAAATCGATAAAAACAAATCACTGCAGAGAACTTTAAATCGTTAAATAATAGATTACTTGTAAATATGCTGTCATTGCATAGTTCCGTAGAACAACATTTATAACACTCTTGGATCTTATTCGAAGGTGTTAAATTTATACAACTAGCAGAGTATTGCTGTGTTTTTGAATTGCATTCTGATTGTGAATGACATTCGTTTTGAATAGATAGTTGTCCTCCATCATACTTTACTTTAGAAGCGCATAGCTGTAATTAAATATGAATATATATTAGTATGTGGAATATATTTTATGAACAAAAAAGCTTACCTTTGATCCACATTCGACGTTCTGTTGACTTGCTATGGCATATAAGAAATCTGCATTTCCTTTTTTACATCGTAAGCCAGCTCCAAGAATAATTAGTAAATTGAATATCGTACTGATATAGACGATTCTCTCCATACCGTTTCAAGGTTATGACTGCTCAGCAATAGACTATCCTGCACATTTTGTATTCGCAGAGACTGATCGATCGATAATAACAAACTGAAATTTTTATTAATTCAAGAGTTACATCCTTTTTGAAATAATTGATTCAGATTTTCGATTTTCCTCTATACAAATAGCGTTACATTTATCATAATATTCAATTGTCTATTATTCAAGTGAAAATTGAACCTTTAAATCTCGAACAATGGAACGGAATTTCTTCGATAAAATCAATTAAATGCTGTATTTTAATTTTTTTTTTAAATTATTGTTTAATTCTATTTCTCTTTCCTCATATTCTTTATCCATAGGTGGGCGCCATCTACATTTAATCTTTTTCAGGGAGAATATTGAGATATAAAGTAACAAGTACAATTGATGTTTTATATATAGGACATATAAAAATAAAATTTATTGCGAAACTTGAAGATATGACATATGAAACATACGTAAATTGATCAGTTTTCGTTCATAATTATTATTGTTTATTTATGTCAAACTGATTTAAATGTCATAGCTACTTTTCTTACAAATTAATAACACTCTCAACAAGATTGAATATATATTTAGATGAAAAACTATAAGTAAGCCAGGGAAAGTTCATTTCAAACCATTTCCTATTATTTAATTAATTATTAATTTACCTTATAGATTGTAATTTAATTTCTTTTCTATTTTTAATATTAGATAATCTAATTGAGGTAATCTACACGATTATTTTCTATACGTAGGTAAGCCTCTTCAAGATTGTTTTAAGGAAGATTCATGTATTATAAACACTACTTGTACGCAGAGAAAATGAGTCTAGGATGATTACTACAAAGACCTTTGAGAAAAATTATCTTTGTTTCTAGAGTTTTCTTAATACATTAACATAAGTTCTCTATGTAAATTATAATAAAACTGAGTATCATGCGCATAGCAGGAATATGTTTATTGTTATGGAAGGAAAGACTCTTTTATTCATCATTCATCCTAATTTGCCCCAGATTTAGGAAAACATCTCTACATGTCTGACTGTGATAAAATTGTATTGAATTCTATAAGTTCTGTTGCAGATAGATAAGGTGTTCTCTTCCCGTTCTGTAAAGTTTATCAATCGTTCGAAGACTCCTCTCTTTCGTAATCAATTAATATACCTTCTTTTATATACTTAACACATACATAATTTAAATTCTAATTCTATTCCATATGCTTAGCCATTCATCTTCTTTTGTCAATTTATACTTTGGACGAAAAAATAGAACTCTATCAAAGTTGGAACTTTCCGAAAAGTTTGCTATAGAATATTCGGGAAAGTTAATAAGATCTCCGTCTATAATATCATTAACAATTCCAGTTAGAAAAACATTATCCATAAAATAATAATTTTGATAAAGTTGAGAGATTTTTACCAATATCCAAACCATTTGGGAGCTTGTTATATAGGCAAAACTTTCGCAGTGTTTTGGGTAGAAATCACCTTCAAAGTCTTCGTTTGTTATGTAATGATCTCGAAAGATATATCTGTCCACTTTAACGTGTTTTTTAATTGAACATATTTCACCTTTTGACAAGTTTTCAATGTTGTTTTGTAAGTAATTTAAAAGATTTTTTACATTAATTAAAATGTTGTCATCTACTTTTATTACATAACTGGTCCTTATACAACTGTAAATATAGTTTAAGGATGCGATGTGTTTAGCTGTAGTATTTCTTAAACAATCGTACACGTCAACTTGAATTATGTCGTCGAAATCCTCTAGTTCCCTATCTATTTCATTTTGAATAGTTTCTTCTTCGGTTAAGCCAACCGCAAAGATTAAACGTAAGTTTGTTATTTTATTGATATCCTTCATATAACTCTTTCTAATTAGTTGACGTTCGTAACGATTACCAGGAGAAGATAGAATAATCACCAGACCTAGTAAATGTTTATTTGATTTAGTACAATTACATGTATTAACTGAACAAGAGATCTTTTCCACTGGCTTACTAAGAGAAAATATCCATAGTAAATAAGCTTGAAAGAGAATAAATACAATCCCAATTGCAGTTAACTTAAAAAAGAGAGATAAGTTTCTTGAAACCATAGTCAACTATTGAAAAAATTCTAGAATGCAGTCTGTCTCCGTAATAATTTTTAACTATGAATAAATCATTAATCCGGAATGGATTAAAGTTCAAGATGTTTCGCGTAGTATATATACATATATACTGTATATATTCAATAGATACTTTTAAAAGGATTTTAAGGGTTTTCATGAGTAATCCATATTGATTTATTGTCCATAAAAAGAGATGTTTTTTTGTTTGTTAAACATGCATAAAGCGACTTTAGATTTTTAGATTTTATCAGTATATTTCATTGATAACAACATGCAAATTTAGTATATAATCGACCATGTAAGACCTTTATAATATCTTAAAATATCTATTTTACTTTTAAAAGTGATGCTATCACATTGCTTGCTCTCTACAATAAGAAAGTCCAAGTTTATTAAAGTGATTTTGTGGGTATTTTTATACATTATATATGTATATATATATATATATATATATATTATCTTCGCAAAGTGTTACAATCTTATCAGTTGTAGTTTATACTTAAAGACCTATATTTCAACTGATTCCTCTGTGCATAGTTTTTTTACAGTGAGAAGTATTGGATACATTTTAAACAGCAGATTATTAAATATTATATAAATGGACGTTCAAGATTTAAAAGCACCATTTAAATGGTTAGATTACGTTTTATTTGCTGGTAAGATTTTCAGTACGAATGAAATAATTTATAAATAGAATATTACTGTTTTAATTGCAATAGTACCACTTATTGTATCATTGCTAATTGGTGCTTATTATGCTTTAACTGGAAATCGTGAAAAGACTACGGATGAATATTTCTTGGGAAATAGGTATGATTTATTAGTTTATAATCTATTTTACCATTTAAATTGTAATAAACAGAAACTTAAGAGTTATCCCAATTTCTCTTTCAATGTTTATGTCTGTTACATCGGCGGTAATGGTATTAGGGAATACGGCGGAGATGTACCTACACGGAGCTCAAATGTGGTTAGCACCTGTCGGAGCAACTGTAGCATATATAATTGCAGCTTTAATTTTTGTACCGTTATTCTATCCTTTAAAATTAACGTCATCCTTCGAAGTAATATAAACCTTTTGTGAAAATGTCACTACTTAATCATTAATATTAAATTCTTGCTTATACAGTACTTAGAAATGAGATTCAAGTCAAAATCAGTTAAACTGGTCGGAAGTATTTGCATCTTAATATCAACGGTATCTTTTGTTGCTTTTTTCTTCATTGGACTAATATTTACTGTAATAAAAAAATTACCATTAATTTTGTAGGTACTCTACACAGGCATTGCAATGTTTTCCCCAGCAATAGCCTTGGATGCCGGTTTGTAAAAGAAAATATTGTTTAGCCTTTCCAAAATTTAAGTGGCAGTTTGTTTTTTACTGTCAATTGTTCTTTTTTTTTTAAGTGACAAACATACCAGTATGGGCTAGTTTACTGGTAATGTCCGTTGTCTGCACTATTTATACAACTTTGGTGTGTATTACTATTATATTTTGTTGCGAAAACTCTGTATTAGATTCTTATTTAGGGTGGATTCAAAGCAGTCGTATGGACAGATGTCTTCCAAGCCTTGGTTATGTTTATCGGTCTTATTGTAATTCTAGTTGAAGTAAAATCCTTGATTCATCACATACAGTATATACTGTATACACACAAATATTTGCAGTACCAGATATACTATACTCTACGTGCAGTCAGTCATATATTTTAGAAAGGAAAAAACACTTGTTGAGAGAAAGATGTTGACAATAAGTAAAATTTCCTTGATAATATTGATATAAACATCTCTAAAAGAATTGCGTATAACAGCCTAACTAGTATACGTGGAAAAAGATGATTTGTTCCTTATATGTCGGAAATTCTAATTTAAACGTTATTTCAATTCTAAAGTGAAGTTAAAACGATATTAAACAATATATTGAATGAACATTTTTCACTAGCAAAGTAATATAAGTTATCTTAATAAAATAGACAAAATATTTGTTATCGTAAAACTGAAGACAGATGGAATGATCAACAAGCAAACGAAAAAGAAAAAACAAAACAAGTAATAGTCTTGGCAGATATTTTCAAAGTCGAATTCTTATATTAACGTTGTTTCTATTATAAAATAATTGGAGTACGAAAGTCAAAGTTCTCTAATAATTTTTCATCTAAGAATAGAAATAGAGAGTGACTGAGCGAGAGAGAAAGAGAGAGAGCGAGAGAGAGGCAGGGGCGAGGAGTAGAGATAGAATAAACTGTTAATATTGTAAACAATACTTTAAGATTTGTTATACGTATTAGATAGGAAAATGGTAAAAAAGGCTTTTATATAAAAAAAACGACATGTATTTTGCAATAGTATTTTATGTCTGGTTCCGTATATATTTATCTTATCATCTCTTCACCCAATAACAATCAATTTACCACTTAAAACAGGGTGCGAAAAAGGTTGGAGGATTGTCGATTGTATTTCAAAGGGCGAAAGCTATGAATCGGCTAAAGTTCGACAAGTAATAACTTAATAAGACAATATTTAATTTATTTGTTTATTTGTTTTGAGTTAATTTTTAATTTAAAAACAACAGTATGAATCCAAATCCTTTAATAAGATTATCATTTTGGACTGTAATTATTGGACGATTTTCCCAAATTATCTCAAATACAGGCACAGGTCAGGTATCTGTACAACGTTTTTGTTCTCTACCTTCTTTAAGAAAAGCTCAACTGTCTACAATATTATTAACTCCTGCTTACATTATCAGCTATACCTTAGTATGCATAACTGGTTTAGTGGTTTTCACTTATTATGATAAAGTTGGATGCGATCCCTTAAGGGCAAGGACTGTAAATGGAGGGAGAGCAGTAATGCGCAGCCAAAATCAACTTCTACCGTTTTTTATTACAAATGAAATAGGAATAAATGGATTATCGGGGTTGTTTGTATCTGTATTATTCTCTGGGGCTCTATCATCAGTTTCGTCTTCTTTGAATTCAATTTCTGCAATAGTATGGAAAGACATTTTGGAACTAAAATTTTATTACCTACCTGAAAGAAAAAAAACAATCATATCAAAAGTTATTGTTGTCATTTCGGGTATAATTGCAATAGGAATGGCATTCCTAGCTGCGCAGTTGGGTGGTCACGTTTTACAGGCTTCAACAACTTTATCAGGTGGAATGGCTGGTCCAGTTTTCGGTCTTTTCATTTTAGGTGGTTTTTTCCCATGCGCCAACTGGTATGGAGCATTGTTTGGTGCACTTTTTGGGGCAGTTTTAAATCTAACTATTGCTGTGGGTCAATATATTGAAAGACCTCATTCGGGAAGATTGGACACTAATATATCAAGATGTCACATGTACAATTTAACCTTTTCTCCGGTACCTCAGAATAAAGATAATGTTTTCGGTCTTTTTAGAATATCTTTTATGTATGTATCTCTTGTTGGTACTTTAACGTGTGTTATCGTTGGATTGATAGTAAGTTGGATAACTGGTTTCCATAAGATGTCTGAAGAAGATGAAAAATACATCTTACCCTGCTCACGTCGTCTATTCTCGTGTAAACCGTTTAGGAAAGATAAATTAGAAGAGAAGAGCAACGAGAATGTAGAAATGAAGGTGAAATATTTCAAATTTTTTTTTTTATATAATAAATTATTAATTACGCTCTTCTTTTCATTCCCTTTTAACGCTTAAAAATCTGCAAATAACGAAATATCAGAAATATTCGAAGAATGCTATCCATCCATCATCCTAATGAAATTAGTATAAATAACGATTTTCGTTTCCTTTTAACCTCTATAGGAAATGAATGTTTTTTTTTCGATATTGTTTTTTATATCACTTTGTCTATCAAAATTCCTGTTTTTACTTTTCAATACAGTTTTTCTACGATTGAAAAATGAACCGAGAACGCATTTGATTAAGTATCTAGCGATTTTGTTTGACGCGAAATTAATAAATCTCTCTTGAGCGTCTTTTTTTTCTCTCTTTTAATTTTGAAAGTCTGCAGAAAAGACAAAGAGAGATAGATTGGTCCACGAAAATAAAAATAAGATAAAATACATCACGGAAGCGTAAATCCTTCAAAGCTATTAAAGATTTAGTTTTATAGGTGTCGCTACCAAATAAGGCGACATCTGTTGTTAATAGACTTATAAAAAGTAGATATTTTGGATATATTCAGTTTAGACAGTTGTTTGTTTTATATTAAAACTTTCTACAGGCGTTTCTATGTGGACTTTTGCGTAGTTTTATATACTAAAAATCATAGAGAGAGAGAGAGAAAATATATAAATAAAAGGATAAAATTTATTTGTTTAGTATTCTAGAAAAAAGAAAATACGGTAAAAGATAGGTAGGTGTTATCCCGCGAGTTTTTTCCTAAAGGTTCTTCATAGTAATCCAGAAATTCTACTGTTCATTTATATGTAGATAAGACTGTGAATAAGAAGGCGAAATGGAAAAATCTCCTGTAAATTACTTACGTCAAACAAATTATTTGTAAACTTTACGTCAGCCAAAACCTTTCTAGGGTTCCTTTAAACGAAAGCAGAAATTTTCATGGCGGTTTATATCCAAAAAACTGCTTATATGTTGAAATATTTATATAACAAAGTCTCTTTTTATATTTTACAATTATTACTATATCAAATTTAGAATTGCAATAACAACGAATTTCAAATCATCTACCATCCCATAGAATCTTTGATTATTTCCTTAAATAAACTCTTTCGATCTATTTGTTTTATACATAATAAGGCTTCCTAGTTTAAGATAAAATTCTATAAATACTTTGTAAAGAAGGAGGAAAGTGGGAGAATGAGAATAAGTCAGGGAGACAGACACTTATTTTAGAGAGTAAAAGAGTAAGAAACTTAAGTATTTCCTTTTGATTTTTGATTTGTATTATTAGTATTATAAATAAAGAGAGAAAAGAAAGAATTTTTTACTAACGGACCATTTTCTGTTAGCTGTTAATATACGTAAATCTAATAGACTTATGGTATAGTATGTATAGGGGGGTTTCGCTACAGATAAACCGAGATACAGCCTGTAACGTACCGCAATGGTGCAGTCGCTGTAGAACTTTGCTGCGAGGTCGATTAAAAATTCCCTCCTCCCATATTTTAACTGGCTAAGGAAAGAAAAAGGCGAGTATAAGAACATTTTCGCTTTTTTCTACAGTAATTTATTCGTCCATGTAAAAGATAAAAACGCTTTATGTTAAATATATATATATATATAAATATATATTAGTTTATATATATATTTATACATAGATACATAGTTAGAAGATGTAAAAATGCATCTAAAGTATGTACAGTATTTGTATATGTAAATAAGGTCTTTTAAATACTTTCCAAATTAAACTGAAATAATGTTAATTACCAAAGCTTAAGTGTTGTATTAATGATAATTAATCGTTTAAATGTCATTTTTTCACCTCATTTAAAATAGGTAAAATTCTTATTAAACAAATTTTGTTTGTAAGAAAAAGTTTTCTTATTTTCTCGTATTCCATCAACCATAAAACTCTTACTATCCGACTAACTAGGAATAAACTGTGTAATAAGAAAATCAGAGCCAGTTGTTTGTACTTAGACTAACCAAAGGCCTTTGAAGGGACAAACTGGACTATAGGAAAATTACTAAAACCCTTATCAAAAATAGTTTAGTCAAAATAGAAAGAAATGTTGTCTATCAGTGTCTAAACTCATAATTCTAATTTTATGTATCAACAATAGATTCGAAAGTAAAAATGAATACTTTTATATATCTATAAACAGAATCTATATAGTTATATAAATACATACACCAGACGGTACTGTTTAATTATAGAAGTTACAAGAAACAAGATTTATCATTCGCAGAAACACAGACACTCGATAGCACCGACTACAAACCAGCCAGTTATGCAGTTTATATACTTTATATAGTTTGTAGTACACATATGCATATATGTATGTAAGTATGTGCGTATACTTTTATTTATACATATAGCCCTAATATGTATATTTGTAAAGTGTATACATACATATGCATGTACATATATCCGCTTGTATATGAACTGAGATATCAGATATTCAAAGGCCTGGTATAGTGATATTCTGTACAACTTTTTGTAAAAGATATGTCGGAACGGCGAAAAGTACGATTCTATTCTGTGCAGTACGAAGAGGACAGAAAGAGAAAGAAATCAGGAGTTAGAAGAACTGTCAGCGAAGCTTTCGAAATGGTAACTCGGAAGTCTATTGCTTCAGGATTTTCAAATGGTCACAAGCGGGGGCACTCGCTAAAGGCTACTACCCTTGCCATATCAAGCTTCAGTACGAGGAAACGACTAAGATCCAAAAGGCTCTTGTCCAAGCACATGGGAAGTAGTGTCAACTTGCTTGATGCTAAAAACTACAATCCTTATCAAGCTGCCCGGGAAGGCTTAGTGGAAATATTACGTCAAAAGTTCGAAACGGATTATAGTTTTCGAGTTAATGACCTCGATGAAGATGGTCTGAGTATTCTCCATCATGCAACCCGATATAATCAAGATGAAGTTGTAGTATTCCTCTGCTCAATCGGGGGTATTCAAGTTGACGTTCGTAGTGCTGGTGAGGAACAAACTCCACTACATATAGGAGCCCTATACCAAAGTGAAAAGGCTGTTGCGTGCCTCCTGCAAGCTGGAGCAGACAAGAACGCGAAAGACAACAAGAGTCGAACAGCTCTCCATTACGCTGCACGGAGAGGTCATGTCACTTTGGTAAAGATGTTAACCTCTTTACCAGATTGCTACGTTGATTGGCCCGATATAGACAATACAACGCCTTTACATATGGCTAGCGTAAACGGAAACGCCGAATTAGTAGACGTTCTGGTATGTGATAAGAGCCAGTAGTAAAAATATTACTGAACAAATAGTTTTATTTCGCCTAATAAACAGATATCTCGGGGAGCTAATCTCATGGCAACCGACTGCAACAATATGACACCTATTATGCTGGCAGCGGCAGATGGACATAACGGTGTTCTTCAAAAAATCTTCGATTACGGTAAATAAGCTTACAAATATTGAACAACGAACAAACAAACAGAGAACAACACAAACAAACAAATACGTACACGAATTGTTCGATACAGCCGAGAATATGAATAAAGTTTGCGAAGAACTCGTTAATCATAAAGACATTGAAGGGGCTACTGCATTACACTTAGCCATTCAAAATCAACAATACGAGGTTTCACTTAAATAAAACTCCCGTTGTCTATTCGGTTTTAACAATGTGTTCTTCTTTACTTTACTTTATCAGACTATCAAATTCCTGTTGGATAAGGGAGCTAACGTGATGGAAAGAAAAGTATACTCTTCTTTTAATATAAATTCTTGGGAGAAAACAAAAATCTTCTTTATTTTTTTGGCCAGGAAAACGGTGTTACAGCCCTTCATCTCGCCTCCGCCCAGGGTCTTACAGCAGTCGTCTCCCTCATTCTCGATTACTATGTATTCCATATTTGTTTATAAGTAGTTATATATTTGCATTATTACTATTAATTGTACATAAAACTACAGGCAATTATTGATTGTGTTGATTTAGAAGATTGCACACCATTACATCGGGCATCCCAATATAATCATGTCAAGACACTGGAAGTATTATTACAAAGAGGAGCTTCAGCTAATAGAAAGGATAGAGATGGTCTATTACCAATTCATTTAGCAGCTTGGAAAGGTCAAGTAGACGCGGTTAAGTTTCTTTTAGAGAGGACTGATCATGAAAATATATATGAAATTGATGTCTTTGATAAAACGGCTCTTCACTGGGCTGTAGAAAATGGACAATACGAATGTGCCGTTATTCTAATAAAATACGGAAGAACAAGGTTGATTCAGATGAAAGACTATTCGGATATGTCTGCCCTACATTACGCTGCGAAAAAAGGCAATTTAGATATTCTAAAACTGATGTTGTCTAACAATGCAGAAGTGGGTGCTAAGGACAGGGATGAGAGAGCGTCACTTCACTATGCTGCTAAATACGGTCATTATGAGTGCGTTAAAGCCCTGTTAGATAAATCAGGGCAAGAGACAAACGATAGCGATGTTGACGGTCGAACACCGCTCCATTTGGCCTGCTTATCAGGTCATAATAAAATATTATCTCTCCTGCTAAGCCATGGGGCTGACCTATCCAATAGGGATGATCACTACTGCACCCCTTTAATGCTGGCCTCCGCAACGGGTCACACTTCAACAATTCAACTACTCTTACTTAACCATGCAGATGTACTAGCAAATGACCGCCTAAAAAATACATCCCTTCATTATGCGTGTGCCAACGGACATGTTCAAATTGTTCTCGCTCTATTAGACGCCAGGGCGGATGTCACGGTGAGAAATTCTCAAAATCAGACGCCTTTGGATATTTCCATTGAAAATTTCCAGCAAGAAGTAGCAATTACTATGCTAAAGCATAGATGGTAAATAACTGACTTTAATTAATACAAGTAATTACTAATTAATAACGATTTCTATTTCTAATCCTCCAATATTAAAGCTGGAGAGAGTGTATGGAAATGAAGGATGAAGTTGGTATGTCCCCTCTCGAGAAACTTATTATCAAATTACCGGAAGCCGCAAAGGTCCTCTTACTGCATTATTAAAAGACTTTGTAAATTTTTCTTTTATATGCTTTTATTTCAGATTTTATTGGATAACACATCCCAAAAGTCTAACTTGGACGATTCTGATCCATCTTTAACAGTTCTATATGATTTTAGGTATTTAGATCCTGGTCCAGACGAGTTAAATCAGGCAAACCAACGCTATTACGCCTTAAAGGTGATAGAGTTAAATATACAGAGTACTTCTCCACTTGAGATAAAATTTTACTATTTCAAACTTTTTAGACAATGGCCACATACAGGAGAGAGAAGCTACTTTCTCATCCCATTTGCCAAGCAAATATGGCCTATAAATGGAATTCTTTTGGAAGAAAAATGTGCGCCATGAATGTTCTTTTTTATATTGTATATTTGACTGTACTTTACCTGCATGCCAAGGGTAATTTACAAGCCAGAAATGGAACAGATTGTTATCCCAATATTACAAGTGATACTTTCTATCTTACTGCAAAGCAGGATTTCCTTATCTCAACTAGGATAACTCAAGCCTTACTTTTTATACTTGTCATAATTTCTTGCTGCCGCGAAATGCTAACAATCTACCAACAAAAACTTGCCAGTTTAGTAATAGTCGACAATTGGTGTGCAATTGCGGTTATCATCTCCACCATCCTCTTCACCATACACAATAAGTCACCTTGTGAATATTACAGAAGATCCGGTTGGATAACCATATTCTTCGTATGGCTAAACCTTACTCTTTATTTAAGAAGGGTTCCTTATATAGGAATTTATATAATTATGTTTCTTCAAGTATTGGCCTCTTTGATGAAAGCTGTTCTCATGTTCCTCTTTTTTTTGTTAGCCTTTTCCATGTGCTTCCACGTGATAATCGAAAAGGATCATAGTGAGATCAACCCTTTTAGAGATATGATAACAACTCTTTATCAAGTCTTTATTATGACCTTGGGTGAAATAGATTTTCAGGATGATTTCTTAAAAAAGTTTAAAAAATTCCAGCCTTTTGACACGGATGTTTATTTTCTTTTGGCTATATTTCTCTTCATTATGCCCGTTGTACTTATGAATCTGTTGATTGGTATAGCTGTTGGAGATATTGGTCAAATTCAGGCCAATGCACACGTTCAAAGGTTATCTATGCAAGTCGATCTTTTGGGCTATACCGAAAATATGCTACCTGGTTTTTTACAGAGAAGAGTATACAAAAGACAGTTACAAGTACAACCGAATAAAAGTTCTTTATCTTTTCTCGAGCGTTTAGGAAATTTTTTATCCGGAAAAGATAATTCTAAAATAAAAGTAGCATCCCCGGAGGGTGAAGAAATCGATTTTAATATACAAAACCAGATTACTAGGCAAACAAGAAGTATACGGAAATTGGAAGAGGAAGTAGCAACAGTTAACAAACAATTAAAGGAAATCGTCGAGCATTTTGATAAAGATAAAACCTTAATTTCTTATAGAGGAGATTATGACGGAACGTCACCACCTAGGAGAATATTATCATCTCAAACTCTATCCCCTACAGCCATTGCAAGACGAAAATTTTTTATGGAAGGTGGAATGATACCACACTCTTAATTAATGAACATAATCCTCTAGTTCTTCCCCATTCTTCCTCTTCCCACTCTCCGTAATGTTCTATTAGTGTGATTGTTTTGGAGTAAATACTCTAATTTTTGTATTGAGATATGATTATCTATGGAAATTATGATAATATACTTGACATTTAAGTATTTATTTGTAGAAGAAAAACTATAAAACATGCAAAATATCCTTTCTTTTAATCATATACTAAATTCCTCTCTGCTGTATATTTCCTTTTCTTTCGTATTCTTATAAAAACTCTCTTTAGTTGAAAAAACTTAAACATATTTTTACAACTGCCTAAGTTAACATTCCCTTCCAGAAATTTCTAGTTAAATATAATACAATGTATTTTATCCCTGAAAATTATCTTTACTTTCCTTTCTGTTTCTAATCAAAAAGTCAATTTTCTATTAAAATACTAGCAAATTACGATATATAAATTATTTCAATATTTATATTTATACCCTAGATCGTATCAATAAGCTTTCCGATTTGTTTAAGTTACATATTTACCCCTTTCATACAGTTGTTTCATTCCCTCATGCATCTGTTGCCTCCCGTCAGTGAACTTTTTTTTTCTTTTTTATTTATCATCTCTTTCATAAAAATGTTGGGTTATTTCTATTTTGAGTACATTTTTAAATATATTAAAAAGTGATAATGTTGCATATTCATATTAATTAGGCACAAAAAAAACAGACGCCTTATGTACAACAGTTATATCATGTTTTATACAGTAGATGGCATCCTATACTGGTTAGTTCAAAAATATTAGAGTATTTTTTTTATATAGCTAACACTCACGACTGTTGATTTCTCTTCAATTGTATTAAATTTTTATTGTTGGTTAATTAGAAAAATATGACTTCTCAACTAGAAAATGTTTTTACTATTTAATTTTATTGGTTCAATATGAATTCGCTGACAGAAGTATCAACATCAAATACAAACTCAAATGTTCTTAAATTTCGTATGTGCTTAATTAAATATTCATGAACGCGCTTTTTTTGTAAACACAAAAAATATCATTAAGCATTAGAAAAAAACAACCTTCAAATCAACAATACATTTAATTATTTTGGCGCGTAAGCAATTTTTTCCACTGAGTTTTAGAACCGCAGAAAATAAATCGTAAAACGTTTATTAACCGGAACAGGAAATTTGCACAAATTTTGCACGCCTGTTTTTCGAAGGATTTTGTTATTGGAATAAAGTTCAGATGGGAAAGAAATTAAAACAACAAAAATTGAAAAAGGAAGACAAAAGTCGTACTTCATTTTTAAAAATAATTGAAAATGAACCAAAAACCAAAGATGAAAAGGACTTAGAAAGTTTAATCTTTGGAAAATCTCAGCCGAGTGAACATAATCAAATATTAAACGAAAAGGTAACATTATCAGTTCTAATTCCCATCAATACAGCTTACCAATTAACATAACTGAAATACATCTTTATTAGAAGGCAGAAGCTGATGTTACTGAGCAATCAGATAAATTACCTGAAGCGGCATGGATTGATGAAGATGATGAAGACGATGACGAGTAATATATAATGCTTCAATTGTTTCTGCACTTGATATATTATACTGACAGAATAATAACTTAATTTTAGATATGAAATAACTGAAAGGCTGGCAACCCGGAAAAGAAAACTTAAGAAAACTGTCACGAATGCATCCTATTCGAAAATATTGCGTAAAAAGTAATTTCATTTTCATAATTTCTTTTAGGCGTACAAAGTTTTAGCTGTGTGTTTTAGTTTTGAAGACGCTATGGGGAAAAAAACTTGGGCCGCTCAAAAAATAAATAAAAGAAGGAAATCAGAGGGTAAATATCTTATATTTCATTTCTCTTATTTATTTTTTACCAGACTTTTATCTTATTATTAATAGAAAGCGAAGACGAAAGTGATATAGAAGAACTTTTGAAAAGCACTGATACCTATTTAACAAACAAATCAGGAACTCTTTCAGCTGGACTTCTTCACATCAAGCGCGTGACAGATGCAAATAAGGAAAGACGTTCGAAAGTATAGATGCATAGCTCTATTAATATTAAACTAACTCTTATTAATAAATTAGGGACAGTTGAGAAATGTTGAATTTCATCCTAATGCGCAAGTCTTTTTAAGTTCCGATAAAGTAGAAAATTCTGTAAAACTTTTTGAAGTAAGCTATCAATTAATTGAAAATGATTGTATTTGAAATATTGACATTTGATTTTTCAGATCGATGGTAAATATAATCCCCTAATACAAACTGTGGAATTGAAGAAATGTCCTATTTATTCGTGTCATTTTACAAAGAATGGCAAAGAAGTAAAAAATCCAAATAGTCTTCAATTTATCATCGTATTATCATTAATTTCATTTTGTGTCAGATATTGATTGGATCAAAAGGAAATGCATTTCACTGCTACGATATGATTGAAGGGAAGATTAATCGAATAAATCATCTGAGAAGTAACTTCGGTATTGCTAAATCGCTTACTGATCTTTTTTTTAATATTTGTATTACACATTTTGTTTTGCATTCAGGAAGCAACGATTTAGACACAACATATTTTAAAGTATCTCCCTGCGGTAAATATTTCGTTGTGCGTGGTAATAATGGATTTATGCATGTTATAACAACGGATGTAAGTATTATTCTCTAATGATATATTCGGTTTGAAGGTATATCTCTTTCCAACAGACAAAAGAAAGAATTGATTCATTAAAAATGAATGGAAAAGTATTAGATTTCGATTTCAATTCGGACGGATCTCGACTCTATTCTTGTGGCAACGATGCAGAAGTATACATTTGGGACCTCAACAGGCGACAGTGTCTAAGGAAATTCATTGATGAAGGTGCTTTAATAGGGACGTCTATAGCAGCATCTAAAAATGGACAATACTTAGCCTGCGGGTTAGCATTCACATTTCATCAATTTTCTTTTCGTTAGCCTAATAGTATTATTTTTTTTTCTTCATTTCACTTACTAGCTCATCAACCGGTGTAATCAATATATACGATCAGGACGGTTTGGATTGCGGTACAGCAACGCCATCTCCCGTCAAAAGTTTGATGAATTTAACAACCAGTTGTACACTTCTGAAATTTAATAACACAAGCGAGATTTTAGCCTGCGCATCGGAGTCAGAAGCCAATGCTTGCAAACTAGTTAGTTTTCTTTTTATAGTAAAATTCTTAGTAATTGAATTTTGCAAAGAAATTTTTTTTTCTAAAAACTTAATTTTCTTCCAACAGGTGCATGTGGAGTCTTTGACAGTTTTCTCAAATTTTCCACCGTTTCGTAAACGTCTGGGAGTTCCAACATGTTTAGACTTTTCATTGAATAGCGGTTACTTTAGCGTAGGAAACCGCGGTGGAAGAGCATTTTTATTTAGGTTTTTACATTACATTTTAATTATTTGCATTTGTTTATCTGAGTTTTTTTTTCAGGCTCAATAACTACTCTTCTTATTAGACCGTATTCTTTTTCGTTCAATAAACACGATTTTCGTTGAAAATTAACATTGAATAATTTATATGTAGTCGTTGGTGAGAAAAGCGACATACGTAGGCTTACTTTTTCGTAACTCGTACACCACTATTTAGAATGTTAAAAAAAAAGAAAGGCGAGGGCTAGGAAAAAAGGCAGCAAACAAGGGCGGTGTTTTTTTTTTGCAGATGCTTGGCGCGCATTGCAATAGCGGCGGCCAACGGTAGAGTTTGTCCTTGCAATTGCGGGCGTTATATGGATACGACTGCAATCACTCTGCTGCATTGGCAGGATTTCGAAGCCGATCCAACGGTTTTGGATGACGTTGTAAAAAAGAATGACGATAATACAGAAGAATGCTCCCATTTATATTTATACGACGAAGATGGTTTAATAAGCAGGTAAGCAGTTGGAAAAATGTCAAAAGAAAAACAAGTTAAAATGCAGATTCTGTTTACTGAATCGGTTTTCGATTTCTTTTGTGATCTGATGCAAAAGCACAATGAAATCGCGTGACTAATTCAAATTCACACTTCTTGAGTTTTAAAGTTGAGAGAATAAGAGAGAGAAAGAGACCCGACAGAACTCAATCATTGATTCGGACTGTAGATGAGCTATTGATACCATTCGCAACTGAAATTTTGTATTCCAAATCAATTCAGAATCCTCTTCTAGATGTCCGTTTATTTTGGCACGTAAGAGTCTTTTTTCAGAACTAATAGATGTTTACGTTATATAGTTTAACAATTTCAAGATTTACAATTAGCAAAATCGGCTCAAACTATCCCCGACTGCGAGCTTTAGCAGTTGAAAGAGTTCGTTAGACGCTAATCGTTTAGTAAAGGTCCGTAGGCGAAAAGTAAACTTTTCTTATTACGGAATAGGAAGAAAAGAGCACGGAATAAACAAACAAATGTTACTAGATATTTCACTGTCGCTCCAAAGGAAGGGTGAGGGGAGGAAATAAACCTAAAAACTTCTGCTGCCTCTTAAATATATTTAACGAAAAATACGTTAAATTTTTTTTATTAATCTAAAAAAAATCTTAAAACTGATTTCCTCTTGATTAGCCAGGGTCCCTCCTTTACAATCATCATTAATTGCGTGCTTAATCATTATTCCTCCTTTAAATTCTCAGCCTCTTTGGATACATGCTTAGCTAAATCTTTTCGTAGTGTTCCATAGAATGTTATTGATAGTGGTTTTCAAATAGATTGATAACCGGTAAAAGGAATCCATAAATCGATTTTAAAGTCGGCCTTAACTAAATAATAATTTTTCCCCTCGAAATGTAAAGAATATCTTTTCTCTAGAACTAGTTAATAAAGAAGTGGTACCAGTTGTGAAGAACAAGGACCGAAACCCGAATTTATACGTTTTTAACGAGCTCGATCTCCTAGGCCTACATTAAAAGATTGTTTTTTTTTCCCAACTAACTCTCTTACCTCTCGCTTCCCCTTCAACCCTCTTTTCTATTTGTCTAATATCTTGTCGCTTTTTTTGTCACAGCCGTCGCAGAGAAATGCTGGAGAATTTACGAGAAAATTATCTCAGTCAGCCTATAGTGAGAAAGGTCGATGCCGAGTGCATTGTTAAAGTGGGAGACAATCTTACTATAAGGATAAGTGGTAAGAAAACTGATTTGTAGTTTAGTTTTGAATTAACAAGCTAAATGAAAAAATGAGTTGAAATAAGAGATTTTCCTGAAACGATGTAGCCCTATTTAATATCACACCCCGCAGCAAAACTGGCTGTAATTCTCAATACTGCGCACGACGCAATTCGTCAACCGCTCCTAGGCATGCTGGAACAAATTGGAAGACTTATAGAAGAAGGCGAATCCTTTTGCGTTGAAGTAATTTTGTTATTTTTAAACTATTCTTTAAAATAGACAAATAAATATCTAAAATAGAATATCTTCTTTTGTAACAGTTTCTATCTTTTTCAATTTTTTTAATGTTCTATGTATAGATGATGTTCCACGAAATAGTAGAAGAATGGTTTAAAAATTGGATTGGTCAACAATTAGATGAAAACGGCAGTGGACTACGCAGCATGTTAACTGACTGTCCAATGATGGGAAGTAGACATATTGGCAGTTGTAGGACAGAGGGGGCTTGCTTTTATATTACAAATAGAACCAGGAAGAGACGCTTATGTTGTTATGACAACGCAGAAAAAGAAGCTGATTATTCGGCAAAAGTTATCGTATCGACAGATGACGTACTTGGTTCAAGTATAACTGCTGATAGTATGGTTGTAAGAATACAAAGTTCTTCAGAATCCGCTTGCTTAAAGTACCTAAGAAGAAGGAAAAATTTATGGACCAATAGTGCCACCTATCGCCGCTTCGGTAAAGGCGTTCAGTTAAGTGTTGCCAAAGATAACGATAAAGAAAATTTAATCAGGACCAATTCTGAGCTTGTATTCTAATGTTAAAACATTTGCTTTAATAAAACATTCATATACTGTATATATATATATATATATATATATTAATACTACTAATCTTGTACAAATAAAAAAACTCTTTTTTTATATCTCTTCTTTCGATTCATCAAAGACTCTTAGTAATTTCCCAGCCCCTTCTAGTCTATTTGATAAAGATGCTAATGTTCCACCTAACTGTCTTATTGTACCGATTTTAATTCTTCTTGATTGTTCCAATTTTTGTAATTTTTTCCCAATACGACATAACTTTTCTCCATACAATAGCAAACGTTCACCAAGTAGTTTAAGTTGTTTAATCGACTTTTCGCTACAGAAGGCTTCTAGTGAGAGTACTGTATCGTCACTTCTAGCGTCCTCATCCGTACAGTAATCCCCACTGGCTGCCTGTAGATAAGCTGAAGTTTCAACGTCGTTTTCAACTGAATCGTTTAGATATTCAACATTAACAATAGAAGATAGAGTGGATTGTTGCTCTGACATCGGAATTTGTAAATAAGGCGTAGAATTTGTTATGAATGCCGTTCTATTTTGAGATAAACCGTTAAGCATTGGCTCTGACATGACATAATCAATATTTGGGATTTCATTATCAGCCATTACTGTTCCTATGTTATTCGTTGAAAAATTGCCTTCCAATTCAGACGTTGAGGATGATATAAGATTGTCTAGCATTGTTTCAATTTTAAACATTCTCTCAGATTTTCCTTGAGAATCCGCTTTGCTTGTGCTCTTTAATTGCCTGCCCATCTCTGCTTTCCTATAGGCCGGCTCAGCTCTAGCTATTCTTTCTCCAATTTTGACAAGTTCTTCATCAAAGCCGCCACTTAAAATTGTGTTCGCTGATGACAGAGATCCTATTGTGCTCAACCAATTCGGCTCCTTCTTTGACATTGTCTCACATAATAAATTTTCGTCATTTTCACATATTTCAATTTTTTAAACTTTTCTTTAAGCCGCCAAAATACGTCAGAATATACGTAAATCTTCAGTATTTGAAACTCAAAAATAACCAACTTCCGTTCTTAGGCCGCCGCCGAATTTCGATTTAATATTCTTAATACAACAGATTATGCAACGTGTTGGACGATCGTTTGCTACTAAACAGCTCCTTCGAAAGTTTGATAATTTGAACGCTAGGGTAATAAATATCAAAGGTATGTTGGAAGAGCGAAAATTGAATTAGCACAAAAATGAGCGATAATTTGTATTTCTACTTGTTTGCATGTCATCCATGACCTCTGGAATTTTCTCAATTAGCAATTAATCTATAGAATTTGACTGTGATTTATTACCTAATACTTTTTGCAGCTCAAGACTTTGAGAAAACTGCAATCCCTATCTTACAATGCAATTATTCAAATGGCGCTCATAAAGATGTTACACAAGCTAATAAACTCGTAAGATATGGTAAATGGGGTGACAGAGATCCATACAAAGACATTAATGGCTTTACACTACCAAAATTCGTATCCCAAGGCTTTCTTCAAACTCCAACCTACATTAGAAACTACAAACGTTATGCTTCATCAGACCGTCCACTACCTCCACCACCACCACCACCACCTACTAAGGAATCTGTAACTCCATACTTGATTATTGGAGCCGCTGGAGCTGCTGGACTAGGATATTATGTAAGATATTTGCACATTTGTTTTACTGTCTTTTTTTTAGATTAACAATATTTTGTTTTTAGCTATGGAAAAATTGGACAGAATTTTTAGCTCTCCTTGGTATTTGTCCAGAAGATAAAACAGATTCACCGACGTCGAGAAAAGAAAAAAGAGCAGATGATCCTATCTCTATAAAATGCGATAAGGAACCGGAGAGAGAATGTGTAGTTTTAAATACTCCAACTCCAGATCAACCGGGTGATGGACCGAGTGCTAAGAGATTACCACCACCTAAATATCCAGATTGGAAAAATTGTCCGGCTATACCAGGATATGCATCATATTTAATTATTGGTGCAGGTACAGCAGCAAATGCGGCTTACAGAGCTATTCGAACTAACAATCCGAAGGCAAAAGTCCTCATCATCAGTGAAGAATGCAATTTGCCATACATGAGACCGCCATTGTCCAAGGAATTATGGTTTAATGACAGTCGTAAGCTTACTGAAGATCTAAAGTTCAAACAATGGAACGGAAAAGAACGAAGCATATTCTATGAAAAAGACTGTTTCTACACTAGCCCAAAGGAACTTCCTTATAAATCATGCGGAGGTGTTGCTGTTGCTCTTGGTCGTAAAGTTCAAAAAATTGACGTCGAAAACAAAGTTGTTTCCTTAGATAATAAATGGCAGATAAATTACGATAAACTTTTGATTGCTACTGGTGGTAAACCTCGTCAACATCCCATAATTGATAATTCAGATGAAGAAGTAAAGAAGAGGACAACTGTTTACAGGAAAATTGTTGATTTTCAAAAACTTGATTGCGTAACGAGCAAAGGAAAGTCCGTTGCAGTAATAGGAGGGGGTTTTCTTGGCTCGGAATTGGCTGTTGCTCTAGGAAACAAAGCGAAAAAAAGTAATGCTAAAATTTACCAAATATTCCCGGAGAAAGGTAACATGGGAAAAGTTTTACCTCAATATCTATCTAATTGGACAACGGAGAAAGTTCGCAATGAAAACGTAAATATCATCCCTGAATCAACTCTCACAAAGGCCACAATGTGCAAAAATGACAAAGTAGCATTAACTTTATCAAATGGTCAAGAAATTCAAGTTGATCACATTGTTGTCGCTATCGGCTTGGAGCCAGATGTTTCCATTGCAGAATGTTCAGGACTTGAAGTAGATCCTATTCGTGGAGGTTTCCTCGTCAATGCAGAAATGAAAGCTAGAGAAGATATCTGGGTTGCTGGAGATGCAGCTTCGTTTTATGATATTAAATTAGGAAGACGTAGGGTTGAACACCATGACCACGCTGTTGTCAGTGGAAGATTAGCCGGCGAGAACATGTCCGGTAAATCTAAACCCTATTGGCACCAAAGTATGTTTTGGTCTGATTTAGGTCCGGAAGTCGGGTATGAGGCGATTGGACTTGTTGACAGTAGCCTACCAACGACGGCTGTATTTGCAAAAGCCTGTAAATCAGATAGTCCAAGGGCTGTTGTTGAGGAAACGAATGAAAATCTACGAAGTGAGACCGAAGAGGTAATTTTGTTTAAATATTTCTTATTCAAATTTTTAATTGATATTTACATTCGATTCTTAAAACTTAATATATTAGACTTAATTATATTGATATTAATTTCTAGTCTGTTTGCATTGAAGTAAGTTCTAGACGTAAAAAAAATATTTTTAATTCCGTTTTTAAGTTCAAATTCTACAAATTATAAATTACCTTTTCAAGTAAATTCTTTACTATCGACAGAAGGTTAAAGTCGATTCGGAAACAAAACCAGCCCCCCCAAATGGTACAGAAGACTTCGGAAAGGGGGTAATCTTTTACACAAAGGATAATGTAGTTGTTGGAATGGTCATGTGGAATGTATTTAACAAAATGAGTATTGCCCGAAGAATATTAAAAGAACAAAGGAAATATGATGATTTGACTGAAGTGGCTAAACTATTTGATTTGCACGAAAATAATTAATGAAATCTAGTAGATAACTGATCTATCGTGTTCAAACGATGACATTTATTGACTTAAGCTATAAAAAAAAATAATTTTTCATGGCATCATTGTCGACCTAAATGACGGAAGTATATAAAATTGTACAAACAGTTTATTTATTGTTTAATGGTGATAGATTAACGTAATATTTTACTCCAAAAAAAAAATTCTTGATTAGAAATATTATAAATATTGTTTAACAATAGCAGTCAGTACAATCATATCGGAAATAATACTTTTTGAACACTTAAAAATAGAGTAAAAGATTCAACAAATACTTTTAAGAAGAATGAAAATGAAAGAAAATAATATGAGAGAAGTAAACGGTAAATTTCTTTCACTCGCTCTTGAATAAGCTATTTTATAGCTAGTGAAATCAGTTCGATTTAGGGCAGTTAGGAATCCTTTTTCAATTTGTAACCGAACGGCATCACGCTGAGCAAATATAGAAAAAGGAGTAGCCATATGATTTCCGAAAACTAAGGCGTCAAACACGCAACAGTCAAAATACTGATCTACAGTTGATTTTCTGCAAATATTTTCGGCGTAGCTTGTTTTGTGATTCTTAGCTAAAAAGCGCTGAACGTCTTCGGTGGCGTCTCTTTCGCAACCGTCACTACATAATTGAAATGAGTCTTGACCAACTGTAAATAGTTGGGGAATGGCTATTGAGATAGAGAGAGTGAGCGAAGAATGGCGAATAACTATCGTACTGTTCATATAACGAACGTATATTTCTGTTTCATTTTTGGACGGTCTTAAGAGACGAATTGAACGAGATTCTTTTCCGCCTCCATGAGTAAGGCCGTTGCTGAGAACAACTGGTAATTGTTCATCTGAAGAGGCCGTATAAGATAAATAGTTTTCTTCCGGTGAGCATTCGTCCTTTGGATGACTCTTAAATACGACCGTAATCTGTATAAAAAGAACGTGACATTTTATAAATAAGGCTTAAAATGTGAATAAGAGAGGTGTCGTGCTAAATTTATAACGTTTTTTATTCAACGACTGGCGGACCGGTCAAGTCGAGAAAAAGGCGATAATCCCTTTTCAGCACACGTCAATATAATTAACATATCCGGCTTTTAAGTTATCACCAGCATAGTTTGTAAGATTTGTTTTACTACCTCTTTGAATCAATAATCTATTTAAGAATTAATAGAAAATAGGCAATAGGCGTGCAAACTGAACAAAGCGCTATCACGGCTCTGCCGCGGTACGCGAGAACAGCTGTTAGCGATAAGAACGCCAATCGTTTTGATAAACCGACCTTCTTTAGAACGAGCACCGGATGATAATTTTCTCTTGACACTAGTTTTTCAGCCGTAGTGACCACATGTAGATACTCGTTATCAACAAGTACTGAAGAGCCTTCCGTTAGACAATGGTTCATTTGACCTTTATACGTTTTTAAATGAGAGGCGGACGTTAATGAGCAAAGCAATCTAGGAGTATGAGAATCTTCCAAAGCACAATATTCCATCATGCTCGGCTCCGTAGGGAGCACAGATGGATCAAATAATTTACCGCTAGCGGAACAGGAATAATTCTGCATTTTCCTCTTAAAGAGGCCAGTGTTCCAAACATAGCTTGTTGTCGAGCGGCAAGCGGAAAGAGATGGAGTCTTCTTTATTTGGCTTTCGATACAGTTTGAAACTGTTCGTAATATGATGCAAGCTTTGTCTGCATAATCCTTAGAAATGGGTTCAGGTGGGTCCATTAAATCTTCTATACGATAAAAATCGTGAGCTTGTAAATATAAATCTCCATGGCATTTTCTAAGAAGATCGTCGCATTGACGTTGCAAGGGTTCTGCGGTAAAATAATTGATTTAACAAGATGTAAAAAGTTAGGAAATGGGTTTACACATGACAAACACCAGACACTGATGTTTGGCATACAACCGCACGTGTCAATGTGTGCAAGTGCAAACAAGTAAAACAGAAAACATTCATCTTATGTTAGCAAATCGATCCAGCAGCGTAAACTTTTCGCAATTTATAAGCAAAACAAATTGAGCGATATATGAGTATGGCACAAATTACAACAAATTTGCATGTGTATCACCCGAAAACAAACATTATTGACTAATTTCGCAATTACGTCAAATAATTGTCAATTTATCACTTACCAGAAAGTTTTAACTGTTCAACGCGTTTCATAAGCATTAAAATTAAGATGACAATTAAAGTTGGCAGATGAGTTTGGTCCATGACCTGTCACAGCATCTTCTCCGAATCGATAAATATGTCGAAAATTTCCAAATACTCATTAATCCCTCAAATCTAAAAGTAAGAATAGTCATTGTAGATTTGCAATAGAAAAACTATTAAATCTTTCTGCCTATGCTGTAAAAATTCAGCAAAAACCGGAATACACATTGAGCGAGCGCTAATCAAATTCGACTGTCAACACTCCATAGAATCTAACCTTTTCATCGCCTACGCTTTTGTAACGGGGTATGACGAAACAATCATGGATTCCGCCCATAGACCTTACTACCCGCCATTTTAGAAAGAGCGACCCACTCCGCTTTCACCAAAAGAAAACAAATAGCGATAGGCGGGACTTAGCCGTTTAGTCCTACAACCATCCAATCATCATCACTACGCTGACTTTGATTGGCAATCCAAAAGTCCAAGGGGTCATATAGGGTTCTTTTAATATTAGTTGTTAAGGGTAAGAAACGATTATTCACATAGCGCTTACAATAAAGGAAACCCCATAAGATACAAAGAGGAGTTTGAATTGGGCTATTGAAAGTTGATTAAATTCGCCTGACATCTTTTTAAAGAGGAAGGTTGTTGAAAACTACCCTGCTGGGTCTTGAGCTTGTTATATAAGGCCAATAGCAATTAGCGCTCCTATAATGAGAAAATCTGTAAACCGAATGTAAATAAATCTCAAAACACGTTGGTAGTATTAGAGACGGCAAGAAATGGATAATGAAGGAATCGAAATAAAAAAGGGAGGGAAAGAGAGAAGGACAAATAGTACATAAAAGACTTTAATCAAACAACGCTTGAATAGAAGGAGAAAACACGAGCTAGCCGAAGAACATGTTCAATCACCAGATCAAGAGGCTGACGGTGGGGAAAGAAGGAATTTAGAGTCCACTTTCCTGACCATCAAAGGATCCCTTCTGTTCTTAGAGATCGCTTTCAAACAAACTGAGGGCAGATGCATGTAAACTGATCAGCGTAATGCAAATGAATCGGAAAAAGTAGCTACGCTAATGCCTATGAACAAAGCTGTCGAGCTTAAACAGGCGATTTCAACAGAGAAAAAGAGGGGGGTTTTTTCTTCCTACTTTTTCACCCGCCGGTAAAAAGTGTACCCTAAGGGAATAACGGAAATACGGAAGGAAGGAGACAAATCAATAGGCTCCTATTATATGTTAAGTAATTCTATCTTTCGACGATCGTAAACTGTCCAATTTATAATAATCGTTTGGCAATTAAGACGAATAGAGTGAATATCTTGAAAGGCCCCCGCAAGGATTGGCGTTCGAAAGAGTGTGAAAGAACGTATGTACACAAACTATTCGGCGTTCATGCAGGTGTTCTTTTTATATTTCGCGCCAAGTATTTTTCTTTCTTATGTTTTTTTTAGGTAATGAAAACTTCTCTCTTATCCTGTTCATTTTCTCCTACAATCCCCTCTTTTTCACTTATTCATCATTTTATCTTTCTATCATTTCGGTCTCTCCTTCTGTCGGCTTTTTTTTCAGTTTTCGCCTTACTCTTCTTTCGCCTATATAACCTGCCGCCCTTTTTATTCTTACAATTAGCTATTATGTATAAAGCTCTAGCCACCACCCTCATATTCCAGGAATATATGCAAAATTCATTACAGTTTCTTTAATCGGGAACCTCGTGGGTGCCCCCGGGTAGCAATTACAAACATCTGTACGAGTTCTGTATCAAATATAGACATCAAAAGACGCCGACGTCCTTCTTTAAGATCGACTTTTGGCAAAGATATTTCATTTATTTCCCTTATTCTTCTTTCGTACCTTTCTCTTTCTACTACACAGATTCACGTCGATCAGGAAAAAATAACCTGAGACGAACGAACGCTTCGTAAAATAAACACAAATCATTCGTTATTTGTTTGTATTCGGCTCTGATGAACGTTTGCAACTGGCCAATTTGCCACGTTCCCTTTTTTTTATTTTATACTACTGTTTAACTGTTCGCTATTTACAATTCAATCTAATTTTATTATTTTGGCCTATAATCAAATAACTAAACGCTAAGCTAAAGAGAAGAAAAGTAGGGAGATAAGTAGTTTTTCAAACTTACCCAATTTTTTTCTCTTAACGGTAGGAGCTACCGAGCATGGTAGGCATGAGGAGTAAACGCGTAAAAAGAAAGAATGATTTATTATGCAAGAACGCCACCTAGGTGATAAGAAAAAGTTTCATCAAAAATGAATTTGCAATTGTGAAGAGGTTAGCTATATTCAAAAGGGGTTAGCATATTTTCACGCCAAAAGATACGGCTGAATGAGCAGATCTAATTGCATTTAGAGGGGATTGGATTATTTCGTTCCTGAAAGACGGTTTCCGATAATAAAACCATCTCAAATCTATCTTATCCCACTTTAAACTGTTTCCATTTTGACTTTACAAACCGGGAAACTTTTACAAAGATTAAAGATATTTTTTTTCCGTTTTAAAATACCCTATTGAAATTCTTATATCCGATCTCATTCTACTGGTCGATAGGACCGCCCCCGGCGCATTCGCACGTTCAGACAATGGAATCGGCCTATAAAGCAAAGTTGAATAAATTGCTCCGGCGCCTTCATTGGTCCGCAAATCACAGTTATTTTTCGCCGCCGCCTGTTTAGCTCGCTGACACGTATCGCTTATCAAGCGCAACTTTTTCAAAGGTCATCGCCGCTAGGCCTATGCGCTACTGCAAAGCAAACTTTTACCGCAAGCGTCGGTTCGATAAGAAAAACACTCGGTGTCGGTTATAAAAATACGCTTGTGAAACCCGTATAAACCATTAAATCAGATCTAACGTCCGAGATTAGTAGCAGATGTAAGCTGCCAGATGGCGCTCATGAAATATCGTTTTTTTTTTTCTATATACTATTTTTGCGGGTTTTTAAAATCAGTTATATGGATGACTACAGCATTATTTAAAAAAATAAGAAGGCATCAAGCATTGAATATGAAAAAAAAAACAAATATCAAGTTTGATTTTTTAATTTAAGGAACTCTTCGCGGCACCATAGGATGATCCCAGTGAGCACTCGACGTTCGTTTTCTAAAACTTGTGCTTTGACGAGTAAATAGGGCATATAAATCCGGTTGCTTAATTCGTCCCCAAATCTTTCTAATCTCTCTATCATCCGACATGGCTTGTTTCAGTAAAGATATCTTGAACTTTTGGTCTGCAAATGAGAATTTAAAAACGTCAAAAATACACATATATTAAATATTTAAGTTTTCAATTACTAACCGCTTATCCAGGTCGGGCAGCGGTGCCTTGGATGCTCTTCATCATCTGATTCTCCATCTGTCTCTAGATCATTTATATTGTAAGACGAAACACTCGATAGAGGTTCCGCGATCCTATCAACAGTGGAGTTCAGGTATGACGATTGCATAGCCATTTGGCGTTCTTTCTTCAAAAGAGCTAGCTTTTCATCTTCGACTTTCTTAGCTGCCGCAAGTCTTGCTTTCTCTTCGGCGATTCTCTGTGCTTCGATTTTCTTTCTTTTAGCTTCTTCATCAATTTGCCTCTGCAATTCCTGTTTTCGACGGTGCTCTTCTCTCTTTCTCTTTATCTCTTCTAAATGTTGCTGTTCTTCTAGTTTCTTTCTCCTCATTTCTTCTTCAGTCATCTCAATTCGACTTTCAGTTTGGGGTTTTGGAAGACCCGACCTCATAGCATGAAGACTGCTAAGAACATTATTAGTTCGTCCAACTGATGGAGATAGTTGATTTCGTCGTTCTTTTGCTTTAGCTTGCTTTTCTTCATTTCTCTTCCTAAGTTCTTCCAATCGTAATTGCTGATTTCTTTTCATTTCTTCTTGCCTTTCGCGCGTAATTCTTTCTTTCAACTCTAATTGTTTTCTCTTTTGTTCCTCGGCTAACTTCATTCGATTCACTCTGTCAGGAGTTCCTTTCAGGGCACTCGGCAAGAATGAAGTTAACGGCATTCCTGTTCGAGGATCAATATGATTAAGACGCGGTTTAATAATTGGTTTTATAGTTGATGCTTCCATTATATGCTTGGTTTTTGATCTGGTGATTCTAATTTCTTGCTGGTTTGAGGATTCCCGTGAATCAAATTTTTGAATTTTTCCCGTTGTTTCAGTATCGCCATCTTGTTTTCGTTTTCTTGGTGAAATGTTATCATCGATTTTTTTAAGTTTAGATCTTGTTTGACGCATATTTTCGTTTTCAGCAGGTTTAATTACTCTTTCCTCTACCTTTTTAACAGGTGCCGGTTTTTCCGGCTCAGCTGCAGGCTTAGATTTTTTATTTGTTACATCGTCATGATTATCATTATCCATATCATTGTCTTCATCTTCGATTCCGTCGCTTTCATCTGAAGTTATATCTTGCCTATCTTTTGAAGCTGTACTAACGTCACTGTCTGTCTTCGTTTTGTCTACCGGGGGTGAAGGTTCAGTTGAATCGTTGGAATCACTCTTTTTTTCCGTCGAGGCGTATGCTTTTCGTTTTGTCTCAGGTTCTTCGCTATCTTTCTTTTTGGCAGTATTTTCATCCATTTTGTTACGTGATCTCTTTTCGCCCGTTTGTTGATTAAATAATTTTACGTTTGTTTTATTTTTAGAATTGTTCTCCTTATCACTCTCTTCCGCTTCACTTCTGAAAGTAACTTCTCTATCTACCACTTTTGGTCTTGTATGTTTAACTACCGACGCATCCATAGAAGTCGTTTCACTCTCGCTTTCATCATCTAAACCCTGCATTTTGGCCATACGCCTCGTACACCTTGTGCTTACACCAGGCAACGCCTTTCGTTTTTTCTTAGCTGTGGGAGTTTTGGGTACAACGTATACTGCATCATCTCGTTTTTCTCTATAGTGTGAAAAAAAAATGTTAAGAAGATTAAGTAACATAAAAATATTTGTTCAGATTCTAACTTTAACGCTTTTATAGTTTCCTTTGCCATCGGTACAACTTCATCCAGATAAGCCATCATCTGATTCGATTGATCCCTCAATGGAACCAAAGTTTTGTTAATCGACATCCGCAGATTTAATAGCAGATCAGATCTGCCTGGTTTCTTTGCTTTCGGCATGTTTTTGGCGAAATTTCTCTACAATGAAGTCATACGAGTACCGCTCACCGCCATCTTAGAAAACCGTTAGTGTGGTTCTTGTACAAATTTTTGGTCTTTCGTAGACGATCGGGAAATCACATAAAAATACTAGATAAATAATGTTTTAATAAATCTGATTCATGAAAATTAATTAAAAAAAAATATGATTAAGATACGAAATATTATGTTTATAGCAGACATCTGGTAATCCAGCGCCATATCATAACATGACATGATGTCTCTCCAGAACGAGATGGACGACCTTGCAGCTGCCAATCGGAAGATTTACGCTAATTTCCAGAAAATTAGAGGTTAATTGTTTGACTGTCTGTAAACGTTGTCCACTTATTATTAGGTTTATAGAAGACATTGATATTTATTCTCTACCTTTCCTTAGATCGATTGAGTAACAGAGACTTAATCTTGTTTAAATAGTAAAATAAACCAATAAATAATTAAATATTTCAACTTATCAATGTTTTAAATCTCCAGGAGCGTATTGAAATGATTAGATAGAATTTAGGAGTCATTTTTTCTTAGAAAAACCAGAAATCTAATTATGTCTTTGAATAGCGATCCCTGTTGTGTTTATTTACATATAAAATTAAGTAATACAATCAAAATTTTTTAATTTAATTTCGTTTGCTTCACTTTTTTTGTAAACTGTAGGCCATTCCCCCCCCCTCCTTGATCCAACATTGTAAGTCAGACAATTGATACAATATGAAAAAAAAATTACTATAATACGAGTCAAAAGAATAATAGTTGTTCTCGTTTTCTCGTATATTTAGTTGTATAATTTTAACCTTGAAATAGCGCTAATGTATATTTATTTTAAGTGGGATATCGGTTATAGGTCAGTGTGCTATTTCTATAACTAGAATTTTTATTAAACTATATCATAACCAGTTTCTCTTTAATAGGTGAACGTCTGGAAAATATTCGTCTATCTAATAAAAATTTTTGGGATGTTGTTGTAATGACAACAGCTGACGAAAACCAGAAGGTAGCCTTTGAAACAATGGTCAACTCAAAAGTAGAAAGGCATGAACTTCCAGAGGGTATTCGCTACCTCTTCTATGCGGATCCGCCAGGATATAAAATTGGTAATGGAGGAAGTACAATATATACATTATGGCGAATGTATAATGACTTTGGCAGGTGGTTATAATGCATTAAATCAATTTTTTGCATTTAATATTACTTAATAATCAATATTTTCTGAAAAATGTTAACTTTTTTTAAAATAGCGAGGTCGACAAATGGCGAATTCTGTTACTCAATGCAGGCGGACAGAGTAAAAGATTTCCAAGTAATAGCGTTCTTGGCAAATTATTTCTTACTCTTCCGTGCGGGTCACCCTCGTATAGTTTAATCGAAATAAAGATGGCCTCATATGCACCTTTTTTAAGTCGTATGCCTCCAGGCGTATTTCATGGTAGTGCTGACACGATTGAAGTATTTGATATCGGTGACGAATCTGATACTTGGACATTTAATAACCCTGGATTTACTGCCCTTGCGCATCCTTCGCCTATTTCGGTAGGTGAAACACATGGAGTCTACATTCTTAGCGGTTCGCCTTCCGGTTGTAAAGCGGAATTAAGATCGTGTCGACGAGTTCTACAAAAACCGTCTATTGCTCAAATGAGAGAAGCTAATGCTATTGTTGAAATGAATGATCGTGAACCCTTCTGTTATTCTGATAGTACATTTTTCTTCGATCATAAAATTGGCCGTCGGCTGAGCGCACTATATGACAGCTTGGGTGGTTTAAAATGTGAAATTGATGCTTACGGAGATTTTTTGCAAGCTTTGGGAACGGAAGGTTCAGATTCTCACTTGCTAAATGCTGGTAACGATCCCTATGTTCAAAAAATCAGGCGTACTGTCTATGAAGAAATTAAATCAAGTTTATTAAATGTAGTTGTACTAAATTCTTCCCGCTTTATTCATTTGGGAACAATGAGCGAGTATAGAGAATATCTCTGTCATGATATAAACCTCAGACTACAAATGAATTTTTCTCCTTACTCATCATTTTCAAGTGGTATAGTCAGGGACTCCAGTCAACAAATTAGTAACAATGGAGCCCGGATTAAAGGTCTGTTTATTCACACCGTATATATGAATGGAACAGATTTAGGTGACGGTTCAATAGTTGATAATTGTCAATTCGAAATTCCTATGCGTATTGGAAACAATTGCATTATATCTTCTTGTAATTTGGTGGAACAAAATTGTGATATTCCATTCATCGATATACCTTCTAATCTACTTATACATACTGTCGCTGTAAGCGAACTTCCGAAATTTTCTAAACCTAAATTCGTAAGTAATTAAGCATATAAAATTTATATATATATATATACAGTATATTCACTATTTTATTGTTCTTTATACAAAAAAGGTTACAATAGTCTTCAATGTAAACGATCCCATGAAAAAAACCGGTAAAGATTTTCAAATGCTTGGTCAGAAATTACAATATGTTTTAGAAGCTTGGAATTTGCAATCTTTTGACGAAAACCGTTTATATGGAGGTAATAATTGTGGACCATGGTACCTTCAAGTTTTCCCTGCTGCCGATACAATGTCAGATAGTTTTCTATTAGCACTAAAAATGATTAATGCTGTAACTTTTAAACCCGATAATCCCATCGATCTATCCAGCTACAAGAAGTTATATTCCATGCACACAATTCTGGAAAAAAAAGATGTTTTTGAAATGATAAGCTTTCGAAATAACCTTGGAGAGATTCTTAAGAAATTGCCAACTTCATGATAATATAAAGAGTAGCTTTTGTTAGTTTCTATTTTACTGAAACACTTGACAGTGATTTAACGTTTGCTTGAATCTCCGTTTAATCATTGTATATTTTACATATACATGAATACTTTGCTCATTCTAGCATTGAATAATATATTTATACATAATTTTCGTCTATTTATGAGAAATGTTAATATATTTATAATTTTTGCATGCTTACTTTTCACACAATTGTAAAAGTAATAAACTATTGATTGAAATTTTATTATTAAAAATGTTGCTTTTAAGACATTTCATAGCATAATGTCTATTTGAGCTAAATGTTTAACATAAAAAGGAGATGAATAGATCTAAGCTAAACATATAGGACTATATTTAATATTAGGACCCCATCAGCGCCCTCTATATTCAATTAAGAAGTGAAAGTCGCGTCGAGTTGAGCGTTAGACCAGCGCCAGCCGCATTAGGAGTTAGTCTAATAATGATTGAAAGCATTGTCAGTAGGTGATATCGGCATGCTTAAAATGTGCACGGAAGCCGTTTCAGCATGGAAGAACGATCTCCGGGGTACGGCGGAAATGGAGTGTCAGTTTGTTCTACAAGGAAAGAGTATAATTGGTTTAGTACAAACCGCCGACGTTATGAGACCGACTGAACCCGTTTCTGCTGCAAGTGATACTATAAGAGGAATTAAAACTCGAGCAAAGTTAATTGGCAGTGAATATAGTAAACTACATAGGTAATTATAGCTATTTCTTGTGATAATAATTCCTAAAGGAAGTTGTCAACTGCAGGCGAATCGAAAAAGAGCATAGACATACCGCTAGATCACATTCTTTGAAAATGACGACGTCAATTCGATGCTTCTTGCACGACTATAGATTGAGCGAAGGAAGTGATACAAGAATGCTATTGCTTAAATGCTCGAAATTGGTCGACTTTTGTAATCTAGATATTTTAACAGAGGTTGGTGAAATGTTTAGTAAACTGGTGGACACACTTTTAGAAGAAAATGTTCGAACTATCGTTTCTGAATTAGCCAATTCCAACTCCCCGATTCAAGCTCAGTGTATATTAGCGGTCATAAACAATCTGGTTGACAATAGCCAGCACTTGTCCAACATATTGGCACGGGAAGGTGGAGTAGGTGTGCTCTTGAACTTTGTTACCACCCAGAGATTTAAACCGATTAGGGCCCACTGTCTTCACGCTTTGGCTAAAACCTGTTGTGATCGTGAGAGTATAGTCGAGTTGGAAAGGATAGGCGGTCTGATTATCACCATAAATCTTCTATCCGACCCAGAAGAGGAGGAAATCGTTCGAGCGGAAGCGGCTGGACTGATAGCTCAGTTATCTTCCCCAGATTTGGATTACAGAATGCCTTCTTTAATTGAAAAAAGTGTTGATTTAATCAAATTTCTTACTGAACTCTGTAACATAGCTAAGAGAGCTGATACGTTTTTATTATCTATTGCTAGTTTAGCGAACTTTACTTTTATGCGTACATCTCATACTTTTGTCCAACTCAATACGGTTGTGACACTAACGGACGTTTATTCAAAACACAAAGATCATGCTGTTTACATTCAGGATCAATTAGCGACTATTCTTGCTAATTTATCTTCAAGTGAGACATTGGCTTTGATTGACTGTGGGGCTGTTTCAATGTCGTGTCGTCTGATTGAAAACGTTCAATTAGACGGCTCTGATGCTTCAATGAGAGCCGTTCAAAAAGCGGCTATTGCTTTAACTAGACTTTGTAAAACTTCAAAGGAAACGAATCAAGCTGCCAAATTTACTAATTGCTACGAAAAGCTATTACAAATCCAGCAAGATGATCGGATAAGCAACACAATTCGACTAACTTGTTTAGCAGCAGCCCAGAAAATACGAACAAGCCTGAGTCAAACTAGTTTGATAGAGTCACTTAAAAGAGTATCAATTCGTGATAAATCGGTTGTCGTTCAATAGTTTCTAATTTATTCACAACATTTTGACATATCGTTAAGACTGAATATTATAATACATGTATTTTATCTGTTGCATCCAACTGTTTCCAGGCAATATAAAAGAGCTTCTCTTATTTTAGACCGAACTCTTTCACTTCCTTGACAAATAACAAACGTTGAATTTGGTTCAACTCTTATAATAGCATCATCTTCGTTCTGTGGAATATAAAATCACGTTACGAATACACGCAGTTTTAAAATTCCGCTTACCAAATGAACCAGAACCGTTTCACTATCCCCCTTATGTTCGACCTTTATATCCGTAATGCCTAACTGAAAAAGATTTATAGCACGGTATAGTATATTCTTATAGCAATCTAAGTAAACAATTACCTTCTTCAATTCGTGCGTAAAGTCTGGCACATTTAATTGTCCTATGGGGCAAACACTCTCTTTATTTGTCATTTCAAGCTTCCTTTTCTTTATGGTCGCTTTCTGACTTGGGAATCTCTATAGTATCATAAAGGGTTAATTTATCATATTCAAAAAGGGTCACTCTTACCCTAAGAATATGTTTATTATCCTGCGTAACAAGATGACCTGAGACGAAGCCCATTACCGTTCCCGGTAGTATTTCTCGTAAGTGAATATTGTTAGCAATCTTAAAATGAAAATTGATATCACAATAAAAATAGAACAAATTTTTTTCCATTTACCTCAGAATCTACGCCTATGAGTTCAAATTGTCGTTTAATGGGCACTGAGATAACATCTCCTCTTTTATACTTAGTGATTGGCACGTCCTTATAAAAAAAAGAGCATATATTTTTACTTTCGTAGGCTTAGTATCTTTTGAGTAAGAAAATATACCGAATGCAAAGGATTTTCAGGAGATAGGCAACTTTCTGTTGTAATGACGTTAGCAGCTTGGGACTCGATGATCATTTTATCTGCTTGCTCCAAGGTTACTCCTGTGTCGATTGGGCGATGGGCAACCTTGGTTAAATAAAGCAATAAGCAGTTGTTATGACAAGAAATTACTCATACTTTCATCGCCAAGGGCTGAAACGGTGCAATTGCGTCGAGATAAGGAAAGTCAGGGACTGTAATTAGCATTGTATTTATTTGAGATTGCCCCCACATTTCAATAAAATGCACAACATCTCCAAATCTCAGTGAGGGATGACCAGTAAAAACAACACAAGGATTTTTCATTTCTAATTGAAAACCATCTGAAAGTAAAAAGAATACAAGTTAAGTCATCGTGTAACACAACATTTTGATAGAGAAACTTACCTTCAATGCTTTTGAAGGTTTTAAGGCGACCAGTTTTAGTAAGCTAAATAAATGAGAAGAAAAAGAATTAAAAATAATATTTGCTCTAAATGTTTGTGAAAGAACAAACGTACTTTTGCATGGGGGAATGGAGCTTCCGGCATGTAAACTCTATTTTGTTTCTTTCCAGACAGCCTGTTTTACAGAAAATGTAAAAGTGCCTGAATAATTCTTATAACAGTATTATATAATAATATACCATTCAGCGAATATATTTGAATAAGACAAACTATTATGAGCGACAGGAGAGATAAAATAAAATGGTATTGTCGATTGTCCGATGTTGTCAAAATGGTTAGATAAACACTCTATTAAATCATAGGTGACACCAGATGGATAGCACGGAACCAAAACATTTCCACCACTTTTAATTGTCTGCGCTATTATTAAGTGACTGTTTTATTGCTCCATCATGAGTCATAAAATCAATCTTACCTGCAATTACGCAAAATTCTCCCATCATTGTGTCTGGATGACTTTCATTTGGAGCATGACTTAGAGTGGACAATATTAAAACATCACTTCTTTTAATTGATTCGCTATCCAATGATTTAGGATGTGTTATAAGTGTGGAGGAACCAGATATATAAGAAATTTTTTCTTGATGCGTTTCGATCAACCAATTGCAACTGCCTATTCTGAAGCCAGAACTAGCTGCTGTTACTTTTAATGTTCCAAATATATTTTGACTTTCGTTGTAAGATACATTTGAGACTTTTGATAGACAACTTTGAACATCATGCCTGTTATATAATTTCCTCCACTTAAGTGGCTCTATTGCATCTCGAAGTGGTGGCGGTAGATTGCTAAATTTTTAATAAGCAATCACTTGTTAAACAATCGAAAATATAAATTATTTAATTGACAACCATTGAACTTTTGTTTGTTTCCATCTGGTGGCATTATTCAACTTTGGCATCCTTCGTAAGTATTCAATCATCTCGTACATGTACATGCTATTAAAAAAATTCTTATATTATACTGTATATATTTATCAAAAGACACAAATGGTACCTTGCCATTTGAACAGTTGGTTCAGTTGCCAATATTTTACCCGTAAACGATGTATATTCCGTAATATAAGGCAAAGCAAGCATGTTATGTAAATTAGATATCAGTATTACGTCTATTTCTGACAGATCGATCATAGCCAGCTGTAAGTTAATTTAATAAGGGCTACTAGAGAACAGATTATTCTTCGTAAATACTATAATTCTATACCTCTGGCAAATAAAATTCAGGCTCGCTATTAACATATAATTTATCTTGCACTTCCTTAATTTCCTTTAATAGAAATTATAGATTATAGATTATAGATAAAAAGTATTCCTGGCAAACTCTGACTTACATCTTCCAATCGGGCAGCAGTAAATGTTGGTATCCAGGGTTTTGTTTCAATATTTGTTGGACTGCCAAAGTAAAAAACAATTTACTAATGTAAAAGTTTTACATCTTTTAGCTACCTTGGCACAACAGGTAAAGGAAGGAAATTCAGGGTAGAGCACATGTCCAGTGTACAATCAAGCATAACTGACGTACCCTTAAACCTTAGTATGAAACATGGTTTATTAGGTTCGCCTGATAAGCAGTACTGTGAAATTTAGAGAATGTTAATTAAGTTAGGTATGGATCTTTATTTATAAACCGAACCAGTTTCATTTTTATGTGAAATGCAAATCGCTTTAAGACTAAACTCGTTTTATCGCCAAAAAAGCGACCCGGTAAACCTGAAAGTAATAATAAAAGATTATGTGTGTTTTACATGCACGAAAACTGGTATATAATATTTCAGAGGTAGAGTCTATAAAACATTTCAATATGTAGGTCGCGTAACAAAAATACCAGCGCCATTTTTGTTTTTACACATAGTCGGATGACCTGTCCTTTTAAGACTGCGTGACACACGTGGTATATCTTACAGCAGTCTTTCATCATTTAACCTGATAAAAGGCACTTTTGCCACATTTGAAAAAGCTAGACTTGCTGTGCAAATTAAAAACCACAATGGCAGCAGAAAAGTCGAGTACAAAACTTCGTTTCCTCCTCAGAATGGAGAAGGAAGTTCAAAAATCATGGGACGAGCAAAAAATATTTGAAATGGACCGGCCGGACCCAAATAGTTCTGAGGCAAAGTAATAATTAAAGGTTATTTAAACGGTATAAACATTTTTATCTAATATTGCTCTGCGTTGCAGAAAAGAAAAGTACATGGTGACTTTTCCATATCCATACATGAATGGCCGACTCCACTTGGGACACACGTTTTCACTTTCAAAGTGTGAAGTAAAAAATATTTCCAAACATTTATACTTTCATTCTTGAAAATTTACAAAAGAGATACTAATGCGCTTGAGTATATATTATTAAGATACATTTTTAAACAAGTACTATATTAGTTTAAGTTAGGTAATAAGAAATATTACTCTTAAAAATGACAATAAGGTCTAGCTTAATTTCCTAAAAATGTATTACCGAAAATTTTTTAATTTCAGTTTGCCGTGGGATTTCAAAGATTAAATGGAAAGAGATGTCTCTTTCCCTTTGGTCTTCATTGCACAGGAATGCCCATTAAGGTAATTATGTGATTTAAAGTTAAAAGTTCATTTTAATCCTGCTCAATAATACAAGCCACTTTGATTAAGTGAATCCATTACTAAATACAACGTTCGAGTTAGGATAAAATTAATACGAGTCTAGGAAGCATAGAAAGTATAACTTTTTATGTGCTGACATCGCTCTTACAATTATTAGCTTTGATTACTTCGGTAACATGAATAAAAATATATATCTATCTTTCAGGCGTGTGCTGATAAACTGAAAAATGAGATGAAAGATTTTGGATATCCTCCTGTATTCCCAGAAAAACCTGTTGAAAAAGAAATAGTCGAGACAGACGTTTTCGCTCAAGATAAGGCTAAAGGCAAAAAGGTAATTTGATTTTAATTTTATTATAAAATTGTTAATATTGATTATTTGCAGAGTAAAGCAGCTGCAAAGTCAGAGGGGCTGAACTATCAATGGCAAATTATGAAATCTCTCGGTTTGAAAGACGAAGAAATAAAAGAGGTGAATTTGAAGAAAATTTCCAAATATACTCACGACCTGATAAATTTTCACGCAGTTTGCTGATCCGGCTTACTGGTTGAAATACTTTCCGCCTATGACCAAGTCGGATTTGAAGCGGATGGGGGTCAAAGTTGATTGGAGAAGAACATTTATCACAACAGATGCTAATCCCTATTATGATTCATTTGTTAGATGGCAAATGTTTCGTCTTAAAGAAAAAAGTAAAGTCAAATTTGGAAAGAGGTAAAGATCCCGATCCGAAGGAAAGACATTAAGAACATTATTTATACAATTTTTTTTTGTAGGTATACAATTTATAGCCCCGTTGATGGTCAACCCTGCATGGATCATGACAGAAGTAAAGGAGAGAATGCAGGACCTCAAGAATATACGTTAATTAAAATGAAAGTTTGCAAACCCTATCCTAAAAAATTAAAGTTCGTTTTATAGTTATGTTTAAATAAACCAATGCTTATTCGAATATTTCCTTTAGAATTTTTGAGGGTAGAGAAGTATGTTTGGTTGCTGGAACTCTACGACCAGAAACTATGTATGGCCAAACAAATTGCTGGCTTCATCCAACAATTAAATATGTGGCCATTGCAACAACTTCTAATGAAATATTTATTTGCACACGAAGGTGTGCTAGAAATTTGTCTCATCAAGGATTTACAGAGAAATGGGGAAAATATGAAATTTTGGGAGAATTTTCAGGATCTGTAAGAATTTTTTTAATTGTGTTACTTGAATAAGCATGGTCTATTGGTGTTATATCTATTGTTATAATTACTTCAGTAGCCGTGCAAGAGCAACTCTATATAGTAGACTGTTGCAAATGGCATTTCTTTGTAACAGGGGATAAACTATAGAAATATTTTTTTTTAGGACCTTTTAGGTACTGCTCTAAAGGCGCCTCTAACATCCTATGATAAGATTTATGCCTTGCCCATGATGACAATCAAAGAAAATAAAGGATCAGGCGTTGTAACAAGTGTGCCATCTGATTCACCAGATGACTTTGCTGCTCTTCGGGATTTGAAAAATAAAAAAGTAATTCTGAAAATCTGAACATTTTAATGTTAAATACCAGCAATTATCATAACAGGATCTCAGAGAAAAGTACGGCTTAGGCGACGAAATGGTTTTACCCTTTGAGCCCATACCAATAATTAATATTCCAGAGTTGGGTAATTTGGCTGCTATTAAAGTCTGCGAAAAGCTGAAAATAAAATCTCAGAACGACACAGATAAATTAGTTCTCGCAAAAGATGAAGTGTACAAGAAAGGTTTCTACGAAGGGGTAATATACTGTCTAAAAAACGAATAGCAAATATTGATATACTTTTTATTAGGTTCTTTTGGTTGGAAAATACAAATCGGAATTGGTACAAAATGCTAAAAAGAAAGTTCAAAGTGAACTATACGAATCCGTAGGTGTTCTATTTTCTAATCCACATAGCTCCTTATAGACCGTTATTTTATTATAGAAAGAAGCAGTTAAGTATATGGAACCAGAGCGCTTAATTGTTTCGCGTTCTAACGATGAATGTGTTGTTGCCTTGTGTGATCAATGGTAAATTTTCTCTTAAATTATTTAGAAGTTTTTTTTAAATGATGAATTACAGTCTCGTTCGTCTGAATTAAATTGGTGACAATTTTACTGTACTGATCAATTAATATCAAGCGACAGATTCAATTTTGTATTTAACTCATAATTCTAACATTGTTTTTTGTATTTTAAAGGTATTTGGATTATGGTGAAGAGAATTGGAGAAAGGTCACGGAACAACATCTGAATAGCTCGTTTGAAACATTCTCGTCAGAGGTCAAACGAAATTTTGAAGCTTCATTTGCATGGCTCAAAGAACACGCTTGTTCTCGATCATACGGCCTAGGAACCAAGATGCCTTGGGACGAGCAATATCTTGTGGAATCACTTTCTGATTCCACAATATATAATGCATATTATACCGTATGCCATCTCTTGCAAGCCGGATTTGATGGTTCAGAAAAATCTCCCAGCGGAATTTCAGCTTCTGAATTAACTCCAGAGGTTTGGGACTATATATTCTTTAATGATTCAAAACTCCCCAAGACTTCGATATCAAAGAATATACTTGATCAACTAAAAGCAGAATTTCATTATTGGTATCCTGTTGATGTTAGATGTTCAGGAAAAGATTTAATTCCTAACCATCTGACTTATTATCTCTATTGTCATACTGCAATGTGGGATAAGGATGCATCAAAATGGCCAAGAGGTTCAAGGTGTAATGGACACTTGCTTCTTAATGGTGAAAAAATGGCTAAATCAACCGGTAATTTTCTAACTCTGGACAATGCTATTGATAAATATTCTGCTGACGGTATGAGAATGTGCCTAGCTGATGCCGGAGATGGAATCGAAGATGCTAATTTTGACGAGAAGATGGCCAATTCTGAAGTTCTTAGAATATATAATATGATTGACTGGACAAAAGAAATGATTCAATTCCGGAATACTTTCCGAAAAGGACCTCCTAATACATTTTTTGATAAAATTTTCGAGAGTGAAATCAACAGAAGCATTGAATTGACGAAAAAGAATTACGACCAGATGCTATATAAAGAGGCATTATTGACTGGATTCTTTGAATTGCAAACTGCTCGCGATCAATATAGAGAATTCGAAACAAGTGGATTAAACGAGGAGCTGATATTCAGATTTATCGAGGTTCAAGCCCTTTTGCTATCCCCTATATGTCCTCATTCATCTGAATATATATGGAAACTCACAGGCAAAGTAAGCTAATTTTTTACATCGCATGTGAAAAGCTTGTTAAAATGAGTTTTTGCAGAAAGAGAGCATTATGAAGGCATTATGGCCAGCTGGTGGCCCTATTGATGAGAAGCTGATCGCCTGCATGCAGTACATTAAAGATTGTACTCGCACTTTCAGAGCTCGTCTTAATAATTATACACAGCCAAAAGGAAAGAATAAGACCCCTGTTGGCAAACCGAGTCATGCTACGATTTATGTTGCAAAAACGTACGCACCGTGGCAGCAAGCTATTTTGAATACTCTCCGAAGTCTTTACGAAGTAAGATAATGAAATTAATAGATGTCAAGACATTCCCAAGGGAAAAAAATTCGTTAATAACTAACTAAAATCAATAGCTTTGTGGATCGTCTTGTTAATGAAAGCTTTCTTCCTCTTTGATCTTAATGTAAATGATATTTTAAGAAATTTTCCCAATTCACAGAAAAATAATAACAGTTTCCCAGAAAAAAGAATTATCCTACAAGATCTTTCGAAACAAGAAATTTTAAAGAAATATTTGAGTAAACATGTTATGCCATTTGTTCAGCTAATGATTGTTAGTATATATCATTATTATTGTGTTAACTAGATGGCTTAAAGAAAAAAACCTCTAGTAAAGCACTTTATAATGAATTTTTAACTCATTGATTTTTCATTTATAGGAAAATGTTTCTAAGAAGGATATAAGTGCTTTGAATTTGACAACCGATATTGATGAATATCAGGTTTTGACTTTAGTCATACCTTACTTGCTTGATAACCTTGAGGTTAGTTTAATTTTCCCCATTTTAGTTTTAAATAACGAGTTTATTGATGCATATTTTGTAGCTGGAAGGAATCAATATAGTTTACAGCGAGGATGCTGATCAGAAAATTAAAGAAGAGTGTAAACCGGAAAAGCCATTTGTAATATTTAGGAACGAGGTAAACAATACTCAGCTTAGTGAACTTTCACTGATATTAGTCCGTTTCAGCCTGCAGTCTTTGTAAAATTTTCGAATAGGCAAGTAAATAATGGATGCTTCTCTGGCCAATTGAAGATTTACGAGAATGATTGTCTTGATAAAATCAAAACAAGAATTCAAAAGGAAAACAGAAAGATTAAAGGTATGATTAAATTAAAATTTACGATTTATCGCTAACTCACATCTTTCATACAGATATCAATAAACTGCATATATATCGATTCAAAGATATAAAAGCTGGACCTAGGACAATTCCTCGTCTTGATCAACCATTAGATGGAATGGTCAAAGTGGACAACAATACCCGCTTTTCTATAAAAAATGATACAAACCAATTGTTTATTAAGGACACACAAACAGAATGCGGAAATAATATTGTTTATCATGTCTGTTAACTTAAAAAGCCTGTTTTTTTTTGATTTAAAAGAGATTTAAGGTTAAATAAATTTATAAATGCGGATATTTTACCGTATAAATCCATAATAGCGCATCAATAAGCTTTTGTCTGGTGTACGAATACATAAACTGTAGTAATAGCTCAAAGGACATTAAATAATTAAGAAACATATTCGATTTAGGTGAACTTAGCTGATGATTATCTCGAAATAACCATTTATCATTTGTTATATGCACGATCTGGTTATTTATATGCTTGGCTATTTATTTTTCATTAACTATGTCATTGAGAATTTGATAATATATATGAATGTATGTATATATACTGTAAATGCTGATATAAATATAAAAGATGTTACCACTCACCGCTTAAACATAAAAGATGTATGCTTTTAAAAAATTGCATAAAATGTTAAGTAGTGCATCTTGGACATTCTTTTCGTCTGGCAAAACAATACTTATGCATAAAGGCACAACAGACTTTGCACTGCGTCGCAAGATTATCAAACGGAAATAAAACCTCAGGTTCTCGGCAAATACAGCATATTTCTCCCTTTTTTCTGCACCGTGCACAGTCTGTTTTGATGTGTTGGGCAAGTGCACTATGAACATCAATTAAAAACTCCAGTAACTCATCGTTGGCAACGTCGATAAAATCCTCCAAAGAGTATACATCTGAATCGTCAACGAAATGCTGTCTAGCTGACAGTTTAAGAAGAATCTTACTTTCTAAAGCGTCTTTGCAGGTGATTACGTAAAATTTCATGTCCATTAAATCTTCCCTGAGTTTAACAATCTGATCTAATTCCCCTACTAAGCCCTTCAAATCTTCATTCAAGTCTTTTAAGTAAAATATCGGTTTCTTCCTTAAAAGATTAAGATAATGATAAAAATAGCGACTAACAGGATATTCTCTTATATCCCAATTATGGATTATTCTTGCAGGTATATACGTTGTATTGTTCCAATGGCACGAATGACAGAAATAAAAGCCTGAATAATCGCATAATCTTGGCATACATCTATCATTTCCAAAAAAAGATAATTTCGTTTGGCATCCTGCACATTTGAACTTCTAAAAATAGATTATAAAAAAAAACATAAAATAAAGAGTCAATAAAGAGATCGGCAGATAAATTTAGAATTGATATGTTTACAGTTTTACCTGCTTTGCTAGACCTATTTCAGGGCAAATTTTTATTTCCACTTTAATTTCATTCTCAATGGCTAGAGCTGCACAGGAAATATTGACTTTATTTAAACAACCTTCGTGAACGCAACAGTTACAAATCTTGCAGTAATAATAAAATTTCACAATTCTCCAAATGATTTGATGACAAGTTTCACATTCGCTGGATGATGATCCTTTCCTAACTATGAATTTGTGTCCAGATACCAGTTTTGAGTTGACCATTTCAAAATCTTCTTCTTCCTGAAAATCCAGTATTAAATATGCATTATAAGTCCAATAAAGAATCGATCTTACGTCCATGCTGGCAAGTTTCATTTGAATTCGCACTAAAGACTCAATAAGCTCTTCTCGTTGTAACTGATCGTCAACTTCTTTTATTTTTCTCCTCAAAAACTCGGATCTATCATTAAGAGCCGAGCGATTTCCAGTTGATATTAATTCTTGCTAATTGATATATACATAATAAGTCTAATAACTATCTGGCCTTTTGTTAATATACATACGTCTGTTTTAGCAAAATGATTTTCATTAATTTCAATATCGTTGTTTTTATAATTTCCTAGTGTGTGGTCATCGTCAATAAATAGATTGTCATCTAACGATGATAGGGAGTCTGATGGCTTTTCACGCCAAGTTGTACTGAATGGAGGCGATGGTTCTTCTGCAGGTTCGTTTATTTCGAAATTCAATGAAACTGAGGCAATGGAAGGCTTTGCTGAAATATTCTTTGGGGTCGTTGAAGTTTCTGTCATTGTGTGATCCTATGAAATGCATTTATATAATATTAATTTGATAACGAATAATCGTTATTCATGAAACCAGAAATAAAACTTGATTCTGGTGTATATCTTAAAATGAATCAGTCTGTTGATCAATCGTGTTTTATCGCCCAATCAGATCAACTATAGATCGCGCGAATAGTACGGTGTCCAAATATATTTTTGTCATGAACAATAGAGTTTCTAGAACAAAGTTCACAAAAGTGTAGCAATGATAACTAAGGCATTTCTTTTATTTCTTTTTAGTGATAGTTTATTGATTTATGGCTTAATCAAGTCCACTGGAAAATCGGATTGGACTAAAAGCGATGAAATTATAAATCTTCCAGGTCTATCGGTGAAACCGAGCTTTCGACAATACTCTGGTTTTTTGAATATTGATAAAGGAAAATATTTTCATTATTGGTAAATAAACATATAATATCTATTTTCAAACGCAGGAGAACTCTGTTCAAATTCTTGACATTTTTTTAATTAACAAAAGGTTTGTCGAATCGCAAAGGAATCCTGCTAAAGACCCTGTAATTCTATGGTTAAATGGGGGACCTGGATGTAGTTCAGTTATTGGTTTATTAACTGAAAATGGTCCATTTAGATTAATGGACAATGGAAAGAATTTAACAATAAATAACGAAAGCTGGAATAAGGTTTGCATAACAAATATATGATTTTTTCCATAGTTGATGTGTTTTGTTAAATAGATTGCCAATGTGGTTTATCTAGAAAGTCCGGCAGGCGTCGGATTTTCGTTCTCTGAAAATGAGAAATACGTGACTAACGATGACCAAGTAAGTTTTATATAAGACTTTTGAGAAGACTTATAAAATATACATAAACAAATTGAATTTACTCTACCTCTTCTTCTTTTCTTAATTATTCACATAGACGGCGAAAGATAATTTAGCGGCAGTTCTTATCTTCTTTCAACGTTTTCCATATTTCCGCCATAATGATTTTTATGTTATGGGCGAAAGTTACGCAGGAATTTATATTCCAATGTTGGCGAATTTGTTACTGAAAGAGCCGAATGTCAACTTCAAAGGGGTTGCAATCGGAAACGGTGCAGTAGATGTAACTTCATTAGGGACGAGTGTGATTGAATTTCTCTATTCTCATGGAGTAATCGGATCGAGGTTTAAGCTTATAATCTTATAACATGTACAACATATACTCTTCAATACTATTTATTTTCATCCATTTTTAAAGCCAGTATAGTCAAGTAACAAAACTCTGCTGTGGCTCTACACCTATTCGATACTGCAATATCACCATCTCAAAGACACCAGCTTGCAAGAAAATGGTAATTAGTATTTGATTTATCGCTTAAGTAAATGTTTTATATTTGTATCATACGCTATGAACAGGTTGATTTTATACAAAGTCGATTCCACGATTCCGGTCTTGATCCCTATAATTTGTACGACGTTTGTGCTTATAAGGATAAAAAGGACGTTAATGGGTTACCGTGCGTTGATCCAAGGCCTGCTAGAAAATATTTTAGCAGTTACGCTGTTAGAAAATCGTTAAATATGCCTGAAAAATCATTGTGGGATGGACCTTGTAGTCAAAGACTGAATTACACGGGACAGACTTCAACGGTCAGGGGTTATGTGACAAATTTGGTAAAGGCTAAGAAGAGGGTTTTAATTTATGCAGGAGATAGTGATATGATGTGTAATTGGTTGGGTAATTTATGGTTTGTTGAAAGTCTAGGTTATAAGGAAATAGAACCAAACCGACCTTGGTTCTACAAGGATCCAAAATTCGGGAAACAAATAGCCGGATTTGCAACAATCTTTAATGGAATCGATTTCGTAACGGTTAAGGGTTCTGGACACTTTGTGCCACAAGACAAACCATTGCAGGCCTATACAATGTTCGCTAGATACTTACAGGAGAAGCCTTATTGATGGCACGCTTCTCACGTTCCTTTTACGTTCCTTTTATTATTAACTCTTTTTTGCAATAAAAGCATCTATCGTTGTGTCGTCCGGTAGGATATTATGGAAAAATCCGATATGGTTGTTTCTAGCTCTTACCAAATTGATAGTAGTAAAAGTATAACGATAGAATTTACTGCCTGATAACTTCTGGTGGTCTATTTTTGTCTTCGCGTGCATAATGTCATAGGACATGTCTATAGACTTTTTACGCTGGTTGCCCTTTAGCTGACTAGGGCGTTTATTCAGATCGAATTTCGGTTTTAGTCCAATGGTATTGCCATAAAGCGTCAAATATTTGACATTGTCTAATGCTGTCGCATCAATGTATTCATAGAATCTTTTATGGCCAGCAGTTAATTTATTAGTGGATTTCATAATAGGGAACTTAAAAGAGAAATTTTTTATCATGGAAGGAAACGAAAGATATTTGGATTAACTCTTATTCCAGAATAAATTGTAATGAATAGATTTAGGAAAATCTTTAGAATCCACAAAAACTTTACCTAAGAGAATTTCTATAAATAAGGCCAATACATTAAAAAAAGGTACAGCCATCGAAGAGAATAGAGCAACTACTATAGTTTCATTTACGCTTGAAATGGCTGCCTTTTACTGTAAGATTATACACTAAAATTTCCCATTTTACCTCTTATTGAATCCCATGCGATAATCGGTTTTCAAAGAGCACCTTTTGTTTATATTTATATTCTCTTTTAAGAATATTTTCAACGTTGATTTCTCTTACATCCCATCATTTAATCATACCCATCATAAAATATTATATAAAACTAAACATTGTAGAAATTTTTCAATAGAATAGCCATTTGCATTCAGATCTTTATTCGTCTTTTTTGTTACAAAATACAAATAATTAACAAACGTCTCAGCCAAAATAGGTATAACTAAACTCCCGGCAGAAAGCGATTAATTAGCTCCAATGGTGATAAACTTGCGGCGAAAATAATTAGCCGTCAGAAAAAATAGATCTTAAAAAATGTAATATCTCCTTTTGAAGAGCTAATTACACGCATTAGATATGCTATGTATCAATATATACTATAAATTTCTTTATATATATATATATATATATATATATATACATATATATATATATATAGTAAGGGTTGTATTAGCATTTTCTTAATCCTAAAACGGTTAATACGCCTATTCAACTTAGATTAAAGACGAAAATAGTAATGATCAAAACTACACAACTGTTACAAACTATTTCACGGATAATCTTTCATAAATTATTCACTTTTCATCATGTGACTTTTGCAGCGTGTAAAAACAAACAAATTCAACAAAAAAGAAAAGGCAATAGAAAAACGAAACTAAGACAGGAGAGAAGAAATTTTTAGGCTTTTTTTTTCTACTTCTTTTTGTAGAAGAGATTTTAAAAAAGAATGAAAAAAAAAGAAAAAGAACAACAAACTTCTTTCTTTCTTTTATTTTTTTTTTTTAAAAAAAAGAAAGATAAAACTTTTTTCAATGAGGCAAAATAGAGAGATAGAACGAGAGAGAGAGAGAGAGAGAGAGAGAGAGAGGGAAAGAAAGAAAGAGATTGGGAAAAAAACAAGTAATTGAAAAAGAAGCACAAAATATTTTGTTAAGCTTCCTTATCATTTTTTGTTTAAAAAAAAAAGTTCAAATGTTTTATCTTTTAGTTCACATGGAAAAAAATAATTTTATCGTTTGATCAAATTTTGCTTTTTTTGTAACTTTTTGTTTTTATCAAGCTAAAAAAAATTCTTGGAGAAATGGGAGAGGGAGAATGAGGAAAGGGAAAGGAAGAGAACAACACTAAAATCTTTAAAATACTTTTAAAAAGATATGGCAAACGTCTTGGCAAAAAAAAAATAATCTCGGGAAAGAAGAAGACGAAGGAAAACAGAAGATTTTCTTCTCTCTCTTGTTGATTTTTTTTTTGTTTAGAATCATTTTTTTTTGGTTGTTTTTTGTTTTTAGTTTTTGTTTCAGCAGCTTTCAATCGTACGTACCCAATGTGTTATGTGCTTTTTTTCTGCACTAATAAATAAGTATTCAAATCTCCTTTGCCCTTGACAAAAGTTTGGCCTCTATATTTAAAATCGTACATGTCCTTCATTATATCCATACATTGTTCTGTGACCTGAATTTTACCAGGTACTCCCGTACTGTACATCCTACTTGCTACATTTACAGTATCACCCCAAATATCATACTGCATTTTCTGTTTACCAATAACGCCGGCAGTTACTTCACCAACATTAAATCCGATACTCATTTCAAAGTCAAAGTTAAGCATACCTTCATTGAAGTGTTGCATAACTTCTAAAACGCTTAACGAGTAGTCCATTAGAGAATACATATGCCTTTTGGGATTATTTACGTGCCTTTGCCTCTCTTCCGAATCCAGTCCGGCTGCAGCCATTAAACACGGTCCTATAGTTTTGATCTTTTCTACCTGCTTAAATTCTTCTCTAGCTAAAAGTGCCTCAAAATCTCCCATAAGCTCGTTTAAAACACGAAGATACTCCATACCACCAGCAAAACCTTCATCATAAAGATCTTCAAAGTTAGTAATTTTGGCAAAGATGACGCCAATAGCTTGATGATTTTTAGAGTAGACGTTTCCCCGTCTTGCAGCGTCTTCCAAATCACTTGCGATATATTTCGGAATAACGTTATCTAGAAAGAGTTGAACTTGCGTTTGTTCTTTCTCCATATCTTCCTTTAAACGTTTAGTAGTCGTATGACGGTGGAAGAGAACACGGTTCTCATATTCCAGAGACCGGTTTAGAGAAACGATTAAAATGATTAAGAGTATAATATTAATGATAATCTCGTACATTAGAGTACTCTCTATCCAAAATAGTGATTTTTGAGTTGGCGATTCCGTTACATTTACCACCAAAGGTTCGCTTGAAGTTTCATAGGAAGTCAGCAAACTAGCTGAATCTTTGTCACAGAACCGAATAGCTATAAATATAATCTGAAAACAGGCCGCTAAAACGGCTAGAATATTCTTGAGAATAAAAGTGGCATTGGCAAAGTTGACGAAGTGGAAGAGAGAAGTAGCTATAGCAATCAGTAGGTAGCCATCGTTTCCCTCTCTAGAATTAAGCATTGAGCACGATGCAAACGAGTAGGCGATAGCACAAGGTAGACTTATAACGAGTGCACCTAGTAAATTGGAGGGGGCGGCTGCGTAGAAAATCTTGGAAATCATCCCTTGATCTGCCTGACGGCATCTTGCACAGCTTACTACTGATATGGTACCAAGTAAGATGATGGCAAAAATTGCGACGAATAGGAAGGGAGTAGTCCAAGGAAATACGAGGAAGGAAGCGACACTGATTGATAACACAAAGAGAAGTGAGACGATGACGTCGGATGTGTAACCTGCCCTTGCCGATGCACAGCTTTTCGTGTTAAATTGGTTTGTTAGTGCCCTGGAATGGAACTCTTTTTCCAAATCTTTATTATCGAACATCAACGTCACAATATTAATATCCTCCAGCACAAAGCAATCATCTGCTCTAATATTCCTCAGGGCTACTACCAACTGTTCGTCGTTTGCCGATTGCCTGGCTCCGGAAACGAGTATTGTACTTTGTTCTATATCTGTTTGGTCGTCTTCCATCAACGGCCTTTCTTGGTCTTTTTGTTTAACGTCATTCGTAGTTTTAGTATCATTATCAACATCAATAACAGTATTATTCGTCGGTGGCTTGACGTCTTGCGGTTCCGCAGCCAATTTCCTCGACTCGATAAAGTACGTTTCAACCTCTGTCAAGTTTATATGGATTTTATATCATTCTTAATAAAAATAATTAAACGAGTTTACAAACTTTCTTCGTCCCGAACGTGTCCAATTTGATATTGTCCTGTTTTCGCATTATAATACTCCTTTAGAACTTTGTGCTTTCGAATATCTGTAAAAAATTGATTTTTAATTGAAAAAATACGTAAAATACGTTTCTTTAATTATATAAATAACCCTACTCTTTTCTAATAAAAGTCAGTTTTATTAAAAAAGAACAACGCTGTGAACTAGTTCAAACTTCCAGAAATAGAAATATCTCGCACTCGACACTCTTTGACCCCGATTTACTGCAGCTGCAGCAAAAAAAAAGGAGAGAAAAACCGCCAGGATCGTGATTGGAATAGTAAATAAGATGAAGGGTTAGAAAAGTAGGTTATTTTATAAATTGCTTGTAAGAATTCTTACGACTGGTAAGAATATATTTGGCGTGAAGTAAAAATAAATACAATGTAACCCTGTATCGACCCGAAATACAGTGAAAGAGAGCGTTAACAAAAGTCAACATCAATCAATATAAAAGGCTTACCTTCAACCGGTTCGCCCTTCTGGAAATTGTATAGATCCTCGCAAAAGGCATAAGTTTCACCGGAAATGTGAACTCTTCCTGGTTGTCCGCTCGATTCCATCGTATTTGCCAAAGTCACGTCATTCGACCATACATCGTACTTGAAACGTAAAGTTCCAACCAAACCACAGAGAACCGTTCCAGTATGCACGCCAACTCGCATGTTTACTTCTTCGTTGTGATCTTCGTCGAATTGTTTGATAGCTTCGACCATTGCTAATCCCATTTCAACGCAGCACTGGGCGTGATCTCGTCTGGGCGTTGGGCATCCAGCTACGCAGTAGTAACAATCACCCAAAGTACTAATCTTCTCGCAACCTTTTTCAACGCACAACCTATCAAATCTACCGAAAAGGTCATCGAGTAGGACGACCAATTTATTAGCTGTCTTATTCGAACTCATTTTTGTAAATCCTACGATATCAGCGAATAGAATAGAAACGTGATCCATTTTATCCATGTAGAAATTACGAAAGTTTACTTGATTTCCCGTCGAACCCGGTTGAACTGTTGGACTTTCCTTAATAACCTTTTCCGCAACACTAGTGGGCATAAGTGATTCAATCATGTTCTTTTTCTTTTCTCTTTCCATACGTATCACTATCTGGTCTCTTGTCTGATTAGCCATTAGTCGGAAGGTAGACCTCTTTCTTACGTTCGCCTGCAGGCATATGTGGACGGCGAGTACATGGATGGCGACGTGTAAAAGTGCCCGACTAAAAATAACATTAAGCGTTCTTGAAGGGGTGAGAGAAGAGGAAAGGAGTTCAAAAGCGAATGAAAATATTACACCGCCTGAAAAGCAGAAGAATAGAGGCATAGGCGTACAGGCGTAGAAGAGGACGATCAATTCGAGACAGGAGGCGAAGAGGCCTACTTCAGAGATATTTCCCATGCCATCGTCCTTGTAGACTATATTCGTCAGGCAAATTGCTACGGCGTGTATCATCATAATAGATACGGAGAGTACTTTGGCGAATCTATGATAGAGTGATAAAAAGGTAATGCAGAAGACGATGATCGAGAGCATAAGTAGTAGTACGCTAACTAGGGCATACGAGACCCAAAAGTCAAGGCGTAAAAGAACAAAATAGAGAATCCAAGCGAGTTGAGTAAGAGCCAAATACAAAAGTGCCAAACGAAATTGGCGCCTTTGTAGGACGAATGACCATTCGTTGTATTTGCATTCAAACTTCTCGCTTTGAAATTGAGGATTGAAGCAGGAAAAGACGCCTGGAGAACTTCCTGGGAAGAGGGAGCATAATTCCTCTTTACGATTCTTCGAAGCCGGAGTTGCGTGAATTTCAACGGCAGCAACGTCGTTCCGATATTCCGCTTCAGTCATGTTTCTCGATCTGTGTTCAATTTTATATTGATTTTTTTTATACGTTAGAGTTGTCATAGATAATCCGCGCCACTAATCCTTTCCTCAAACGTTTTACTAGCGGCACTGAATAAATTACGTATAATAACTTTTTGGCTCAAGTCTCTCTTCTCTGATATATGTTGTAGACTGTGCTGCACAGTCTAGAGTCTACAATCTAACAGTATACATTCTATATAAACTGTAAATATGCATAAATACATTTATCTATACGTGTTTTTAATATATACATCTAATGTACACACAAATATATAATAAGAGATAAAACCTAGTGTATATATATCGTATTATTTCGTATGTTGAGCATACATACAGTAGATTCAATATATTGCAAAGATGATTTATAGCACATACGATAATTGAATGTGCGAAAGCACTGTTTAAATGCTATGTAAGATATATTATTAAATATATATATATATAATATCTATGCTTTCTCCCGGCTCTTAATTGAAACAGCATATACTATAACCCATATATACCATAGATATATGCTGGAAAAATTAAGACTGCTAAATTAATTAGCTGAACAGCGTGGCATATTACACTAAACCATAAATCGCAATCCATATTATCAGAGGAAGGTTATCTAAATAAAAAATAAACAATTCGGTTACCTTCGTCAGAGTATTCTATTAAAAATCGATAAATCGAGAGCTCTAGCTTATTTCGCTCAAATCAATCAATAACAATCAGTTACATTTGTAGACGATGAAATATTATCGAGACACTATTGGAAAAACGTCGATCCTTGTAACAGAACACGCTTGTTTGATATATAACGGCGTTAATCGTAAAAAACTCCACAATTAATTCATCCTATACGAGATTTTTTCGCCGTTTGCGTCCGGCTCTTCTAACACTTGACTCAATCCCTTCTGCAGATGGCGCTTTTGGCATTTAAATGTCTTCTTAAAGAACATTATCGATGTTTCACGTTCGATAAAATAAATTTTCTTGTAGTATTCATATAGCAAGAATTTTGTAATTAATTATTATTGTACGAAAATAGTGTCCTTATAGCAGACGATATTTCTTTAAACTAAAAAAAGTACAACATTGTCACGTGATTCCGCGCGAAAAAAAAAATTTTTAATTTCTCCTCTTAAACCTTAATTGAATTTTCTACTTTGTGAAAATCGACTACTATTCATTCTTAAAGGTAAATTGAAAATCTAAATACTATATGATTATCAAATTAGTTGAAGCGTAATATTCTTTGTTAGCACAAAAGCTGGTCATAGGCCACAAGCTACACTCAAGACCGACGTAAATAGTAAAAATGTCATCTAATCTGAAGGATATACCTCCACCTCAAATTATTGGCAGTGAGTTGATACTATTTTACTCTTTGAAGATATATATATATGTTGATGTATACTTATAATAACCAATACAATTTTTTATTTTATTGCGTAACTTTTAGATACTGGCCACATAGTTGAGCCTCATGTTGGTTGTGTTCGAGAACTTCCGTCATATCAACCGTATGAGCATTTAGTCGAGGATGGCATTTATAAAGAAGGGGTTAGCGACAAAATAGTTACCTTTCTGCGTCGAGTATTGGAAGTTTTACTCTCAGTAGTCACCTGCGGTTGCTTTCCGGGCTGGAAAGTAATCGATGCTCGGGCTGTTATGAGAGACAGCCATATGATTGAACAGGAGCGGGCTGCTTTACGCCTTCTTTTACAACAAGACTACGACATATTGGATGAAAATTGCATGCGATCTTTGGTGACTTTGGCCTATTCTGACAGTGCCCACCTTCAACATTGTGCAGCCCTGTTTTACCATGAATGGGGTAATAATCATAAAGAGGCCATAGCGGATGCAAATAGCGATCAGCTTGCACCTTTAGCTTCTTTATTATCTTCAATTAATTTTGAAGGTGTTGTAAAGACTGCTATAAGGGCAGCAAATACAATATCTTTTTATAACGCAGATGCATTAATCGAATGTCGAGCTTATATAGCTATTATTGATCTAATGTCGTTCGATAATAGGGAAATTTCGTATGCGGCAACAGCAACTTTAGCTCGTTTAGCAACTTCGACTAAAAATCGTCACAAATTGGTTCGTGCTGGCGTTACCTTAAAACTTTTGCATTTGGCCAGCAAAGGGAGTCTATGTATAAGACGCAATGTAATTGGTTCTTTGTTAAATTTGACGATGGAGGAGGAGGCCCAAGGAATATTCGTTGATCATGATGGAATGGAACTGTTAATTGAACTTTTTCACAGTAGAGATGATGTTATAATTAATTATAGCGTTGGCATATTGTCAAATTTGGCTATGAATGAACTTTATATAGATCTAATAAGCGATATAAGATATCGTATACTAATTGAACGTCTTGTTCATTTTTTAAGCTCGTGGAACACAAGAATTAAGGAACAGTCTTCCACCGCTTTAAAGAATCTCAGTTGGCACGAAGGCTTACAATTCGCTATCGTTCAAATGGGAGCACTGCCGGTTCTTGCAAATTTAGTAACATCCGGTAGCATACTTTGCAAGAGATCGGCCTTGGTTTGTGTTAGAAATATGGCGATGAATACCGTTAATCACTCGGCAATCGTACGATCGAAACTAATAAGACATTTGCCATCGATTATTCGAGGCCATTCCAAGGACAATGAACAAGTCTTACACGCTGTTGGAATTGTTCGTAACCTAGCTCGAGGTGAACATCTGGAATATCTGATCGAACGAGGCTGTGCGTCAGCTTGTATAGATTCCTTTGCGAGCGTTGAACACAAAGACAAGGTCGTTTATGAAGAGCTGACTCAGGCAATTATTTATTTTGTTGATACGGAAAGTGGTCGATCATTGGTGCTTAGAGGCATTTCTCCTTTTACAAAAAGCCTTACTACTATCTGTGAATATTCCCCAAAATTGCGTTATACTTGCCTAGCAATTCTAGGGCAGTTGACTCATGCCGACATTATTCCCGAGGATGTTATAAAAGAATGCTTAGATGACATTTGTCTTATTTGTCGGAACGCCATCTCGGATGAAGCAACCCTACACGTTGGTTTGTGGGCTTGTTTACCGATCCTAAGAGACTCTGACGTTCGAAGAAGAATGATAAAGTTTGGTATGATAGAACTTTGCGCTCAATATTTGGATCATAGCCGTCAATTGATCCAACAATTAGCAACAACAGTTCATCAATTACTAGTCATCTGATAGCACCTATCTATATTTACTGCTAAAAAAAAAACAACTACAAATAACGTCTAAAACTTGTTTGTTATTTTTTAGTCTCTTTCTCTCTCTCTCTCTGTTTTTTCTTCTTTTTTACTCTGTTGGTAGACCGTAAACGCTGATCTTTCGAATGCAAGTAAATTCCTCATTTCCATGATTACTTTCTATTTCAGCTTTTACATGTGTAAAGACTTTGTTTAACTATTTCATTTCATTGGTGTAAACAACAAAGAAGGGAGTAAAGAAGCAAAGAAGAAGTTTATAAAGAAAGATTTGCATTAGTTTTTAACTAACGAAACTTACTTGCGATTTTTGTACGTTTACTTCTTCATACCTGCTTCCTTTCGGATAATGAATCGTTCCCAAGTTTAATTTAGCTGTTAACGACACTTTCGATTTCAAACCCTGTTTTTTGTTTACAATCGAAAAAATACAATTTAATTTATTGAATTTGCTGTAATTAACTTGCTTCTCTTATATTATTTCAACTTACAAAAAAGTGTATAACTTTAGGGGCGTCACTCCTCTTATTATTATATATATTACATGAAAGAACTTCGTCATATTCTATACTTATTGAATGAATATGAGATGACGAAGATAATTTGATTATTATAAAACCATGTTTGCCTTCCATAGGCCAACAGAGACTCTCTTGTCTAGAATCCTAAATATAAAAAATTGTAATTATTGCAAGTTTGTTCCACCTAACCAAATACTTGGTTATTACTTTAATGACAATACTGGGAGATAGATATTTATCCATGATTGGTAGAATACCAAAGATATATTTTCTATGGCTAATGCCTCTAAATGTCCTAGACCAATCAACAACTTCTGCTCCTAGAATTTATTAGTTTGTATTCACAATATAGATGCTAAGTAAAAGGTTAATATAATAATGCAACCTAGACTACTTTTTGCTAGATTGATTCTCTCTCTAAAAATAGAATTAAGACTGGATTTAGCAATGTTTCCAATTGCGAGAAGGGCAGCATTTTCCGACCTTTTCGTAAAACTATGCAAATTATCATCAGTTATCAAAGTAATAACTAAAAAGAGAATGAACAAAATTTTGTTATTATATCTATTTTAATTATATTCTTTATTGTTTATTAAATTAAAACATTTCCTCTATTGATTTTTCAATTATTTACATAAAATGATGCCAATTAAAATCTTAGAAAAGAGTATGAAGACACCTCTATAGTTGGATTCAGGGGATTTTCTACAAATAAAACAAAAAAAGAGGGAATTCGTTATTTTTTCATTATTGATATTAATTTATTTCTTTATTTATTATGTTAATATATTAATAATAACTTTGCTACTATCCAAAGTTCGCATATTGTTATCCATTTGTAAAGTTTTTCCCATTTAGTGTAATACGATATATAATTCATTGTTCGAATGAATGCAAAATATATTTTTGAATGAAAATAATATACAAACAATCTCTTAAATAAAAAATTAAATTATATTGTGACATTATTAAAACTAGATGGCTCTAGTTTAGTCAAGTCACGTGCGTAGTCACCTTATCCGGTCAAAGTTCGTCTGCTTATAGAGCGTGGCAAACGTAGTCCAATACAGCACATTCAGTCTGTTCATATCGAGTTTTCATTGTTAGCTACAATCAAAAAAACATATACCATGGGTAAAATTAAGGGTGGAGACGTTGTTGAAGTTAAAGGAGATGAAATGACAAGAATCATTTGGGAATTAATTAAAGAAAAACTCATCTTCCCATTTGTTGACCTCAATATTCATTCGTACGATTTAGGAATGGAGAATCGTGACGCGACCGACGACCAGGTCACTATTGATTGTGCTAATGCCATAAAAAAGTACAGTGTTGGCATCAAGTGTGCCACCATTACGTAAGTAGATTCCAGCATATACTTACCGGCTTTTTTTTATTAATGGAAGACTTATACATGCATGTCTTTTTTTGCAAAATACAGGCCTGATGAGAATAGAGTCGAGGAATTTAAATTGAAAAAAATGTGGAAGAGTCCCAATGGAACTATCCGTAATATTTTGGGGGGAACCGTATTTCGTGAAGCCATTATTTGCAAGAATATCCCAAGGCTCGTGTCACCATGGACCAAACCTATAATCATTGGTCGTCATGCCTATGGTGATCAGTACAAAGCAACCGATTTCGTAGTTCCTAGTGAAGGAAAACTTGAAATTAAATTCACTCCTTCCAATGGTACAGAACCTATGAACTTTGAAGTTTTTGAATTTAAAGAAGGTGGTGGTGTTGCTTTAGCTATGTACAATACTGATAAAAGTATCAGAGAATTCGCTCATAGTTCATTCCAAATGGCTTTGTCGAAAAAGGTTCCACTATATTTGAGCACAAAGAACACTATCTTGAAGAAATACGATGGCAGATTCAAGGATATTTTCCAAGAGATCTACGAAAAAGAATACGAAACTAAGTACAAAGAAGCTAATATCTGGTATGAGCACCGCCTTATCGATGATATGGTAGCTCAAGCGCTAAAGTCCGAAGGAGGATTCGTTTGGGCTTGTAAAAATTATGATGGGGACGTTCAGAGCGACAGCGTTGCCCAGGGTTATGGCAGTTTGGGTATGATGACCTCTGTCCTAATCTGTCCTGATGGTAAAACTGTTGAGAGTGAGGCCGCTCACGGAACAGTCACCAGACATTACCGTATGCACCAACAAGGAAAGGAAACATCAACCAATCCAATTGCATCAATTTTCGCTTGGACTAGAGGTTTGGCTCACAGAGCTAAGTTGGATAACAATACCCAACTCGCTAAATACGCTTCGACCTTGGAACAAGTTTGCATCAATACCATCGAAAGTGGATATATGACGAAAGATTTGGCAGGATGCATTAAGGGAATAGCAAAGTAAGTTGATTTTACGACTTAATCATTCTCTTACAAAACATTTATCTTTTTCCTCCTTTCTCCTCGCAGCGTCCAGAGACAAGATTACCTGAATACATTCGAGTTTTTGGATAAAATTTCCGAAAATTTGTCAAAGAGTATGGCATGACTAGAGTACTCTAAACTCTGAGATCGCCCGAGCTCTTAGAATATAGGTTAAAAGAAATAGAGTGTGATATTAATTTTACAATTTCTATTTGATGAGAGAATAAACTGTTTCCAATTAGCTAAAGGCTTACAAAATTATGAAGTTAATCACTATCGGAATCATCTTTGTAATTATTCTTTTCTTCGGGTTGTACAAGCGTTTCGTTAAGCACCTCTTTTTTCACTAGTAGTTGTTCAAACGCTATAAATAGAGATAGAAATATATATTCATATGATACGGGATTAATTTATACAAATATCAAAGTTAGATCATCTGAGTAAGTTTAATACCTGCACAAGTCTTTAAACTGTCACCAAAGCTTGCATTACCAATAAATCGAGCCTTCATATCGCCATTCTTATAGATAAATAAAGTAGGTAAATTCTTATCAGGATAATTCTGAATCATAACTTCAGAGACTCCTTTAACAAATTTTACATAAGGGTGTAACTGGGCAATAATCCTCAAATACTCATCAATGTATTTACATGTTTTCACTCTGATAATAAAATGTAACAGTAGGAAAATATAAAATTTTAATAAAAAGTATCTCACCTGTTGTTGTATATGAAAACTACTACCCATATTTCCTCCCCGGCCTCGTTTACTTCTGTTACATACTGGGCCTTACTTATCTCAAGTACACTACCGAACTTTGCAGCTTTTTGAGCTTCCATCATTTCCTGAATTCTTTTTCTTTTATATTCTTCGAAGATCTTTTCATCTTCGTCGTCGATCTCGTCTTCCAGCTCATTTAGCTTGTCTATATTTAAGGAAGAAAGCTTTTCTTCCGCAGTCGGCTCAACAATTTCTATCTCTTCTTCCTTCTTTTCCTCTTTTGGTGGTAGAATATTATGTTTTCGTAGGATATCGTTCCATTCAGTATCTTCGTTCGGATTCTAAATAAATCTCTATATGATATCCAATTACATGTGTTAAAGCTAAATACCTGCATTATCGCCCAACAATAGTTTATCTAAGCACAAGAATCGGAAATCAACAGATGATGTTTACGAAAAATAGCCTTTTATGTCTATTTTAGTATATGGTATAAAACGCTAATTTTGATTAACTTAAAACAGCCGTAAGCTATTAGTTGAATAACTTGAACGCTGAAGCTGAGAATGAGTTATCAACACCAGGGTTCGCCACTTATATTTATTTTTTCCTAATTTGGTCAAAGATAGAAAACCTTGTCTTGAAAGTAATAAATATTTATTAAATGACTCAAAGGAAGCAAACTCTGTAGAATGGCAATTTTCACTTTTCAGATTGGTAACTAATCATCTGAACCAAAATATAATTAATCTAGATAGCATACATTGAATTTCCGGGAAATATTTATTACAGGTTTATAATATTTAATTATTTATTAATTTTTAATCAATATTCAACAAATAATTAATAATAATAGTTAAATAACATCATTAAAAGAACCAAAACTCAATGGTGAAAATTTATTAAAATCTAACTGATGTTTTCTATAGTTTCTTGTATTGCACATGCCTCTGACATACTTATCTATTATTGTTCGTAATTTCCCTCTTTCTCTAAGTCTCTTAACAGCCAATTGGAAATGAGGTTGAAAATTAAAATTTGAAGAGAAACTAAGAGCAGTAAGAAGATATTTTTTCAATGATTTTCTTACAATTAAATGACACGGTGGCTTCGATATTCTGCTCATTAGACTATATTCGGAAGTAATTAAGGCTAATTGCCCTTTTCCACCTAAATTAAGTGTTTATTAGCTAATTTATATTAATCGAATGGAAATATTTAATAGAAAATTGAAAGACCTTTCTGAATTCCTTCTAAAGACCAATAGTTATCTAATAACTTATTACCATTCACTTTTTCTGTAAAGTTAAACCACCAAAGATCCTTCTCTAAACTATCTAAAATAGGCTCTAAACCTCTCTCATAACGGAAATCTAAATTATGTCTTATGTCTTGTAAATGTTCTAGCTGCACCACTTTCGGTAAAGAACTTGTTGAGATTAAGTGGGCTGTGATCTTACTTCTTAAGTAGACGTACCAACTGAGAGCAATTGCCAGCCAAACAAGGTTCAAGATATTATTAGTCAGAAAATGTGACGCTCGACTGGGTGTCTTTAGAATTAAAAAAAGAAACGAGGTAAATAAAAAACAGTAATTCCAAATAGAAAATAAGCATACTAGATGAAGAAATGGTAAAAGTACAAATTCGACTAAAGTAAATATCTCTATATCATAAATAGGCCCTGTTAATTATATAATTTTATAGAATAGGGGTAATTAATCTTTCCTAAAGGTTAATACATTAAATATATATAATGTGAAATACATTACCTCTACTCTCTTTTGATGAAGAGAATGGTGTTTGCCTAGGTAAGGAACTTAATAAAAAGGCTGATGAACAAAACATGACACCAAATATTAAAACTAAGTATTTAAGCTCATTCCATTTAATTAGATGCATAATTTGATTGACAATATTTGGTGATGATGATAAATTTGTAAGTATACCAGTTTCTAAATTTTCATAAAACAAATGAACAATATTTCCATGTTTTTGTTTTATTCTTGAGAATCTTTCTATTCTTATATCAGATTTTGTTTCGTTAGTTACAAATTCATAGTGAAAACTTAATTGCTTTTGTAACTAACATAAAAAACCATTAATTTCGTTAGTTTAAAAAAATAAAATACAATATAGGCTTATTGATATTTTACTTCGTTTATTATATCAGCATAAATACCGTCGTTGTTCTTGTTTAAGAAAGGGTAACCCTATTAGTTAAAAGACAAAAAAAAACTTATATATATACAGCATAACTAGAAACAGAAATGGTTACTTTTTGGGCAAAAATTGTAAAATTTTGCGAAATTAAAGATCCTCGGAAAATTGATAGGAAAACATTTTTAAGATTTGGATCTACCATTAAGTTTAAACCTTTATTGATATAAGACGTTGGACTAAAATTTCCCACAACTTCCCATTGATTCTTTACAAACATTACAAGCGAAGGAGTTGATGTTTGAAATTTTATTTCTTTTATAAAATTATCTTCGGATTTCTCAATTACTTTATCATTTTTTATAAGATATTTTATAGCTGATATTAAACCAGAAGTGAATGATAATCCTTCGATCTAAGGAAAAACGGAAAAAATGATAAATATTATACGATTATAATTAAATGATCATCAATTTACGCATTCCTTTCCGAAAGTCTTATTATTGCAAGATTGTTCTAATTCATATATTAATTGACTAAAATTAAACATTTTATCATTCTTTACTTCTTTCCAAAGCTTTGATGATTCGAATGTTTCATTTATTGCCAAAAATGTTGATTTAGATCTGGACTTTGAAATAGCAGAATTCCAAAATTGTCGATTGGCTAATAGCTATTAAGTAATTGCATATATATTAGTATATTAATTATTAACCAATATGCAATATAGAAGAATTTAATACTTCTCTAAAAGTATAAGAAGTAAAAATCCATGTCGTTGCAAACCTAAATTTATCAAGCTTTTGGGCAATTTTAAAAATATCTGACCAAACATTTTCTCTTACATTTACAACAAACATTTTATAACCTAAAAGTAAAAAATGATTAGTTTGCTATTCTAGTTTTGTTTTTTTAAAAAAAAAAATATCTATCTTTTTTTCATTCACTTTGAATATATCTTGCTAGAATTTTCGTATCAATTTTGCAACTAGTTATAAGAAACACTTTAACTTTTATACGTCTTTCGTAGAATGTCCTAGCAAAACCATTAAAATAATCATCTATAATTAGATTTTGATATCTTATCAATATCCTTATCTGAAATTCTATGACTTACATGATTCTACTATGAATAAAACTTTACGAAACCACCAAAATTCGTTAATGAGTGCATTTAAAAGAAAATACTTTTTATAATCTTGATCGTTATTGTTTAAATAAGCTAAATATATAGGAATTTTTACAGCTGACAGCACAAATTTTGCAGTTTTTATGTAATTTGAATTTCTTAAAATTACAATAGCAGCATCTGTTATATTCTTGTCTCTCAGATCTCTTACTGATATTTGTTTTGTGATTTATTAGAAAAGAATTACATATGGAAGACTGAAAAACTATCACTGATTTTAATTAATAACTTTACCCTGAAAGTAGAAGTCTGCACCAAGGTCGCAGGAGGATGACTGATCGTTAAATGATTTAAGATGACTAGTAAGAGTATAATTCACAACTCTCTCATTATTTAATCTATATCCTTGAAGAGCATATTTTGCCGCATTCAAGTATAATTCTAGTCTTTTTGAGCTTAGTTCACTAGCTGTTAAAACCCCTTTAACATATTTAATTAAATGAATATTCATAAATTGGCTTAATTAACTATATTAACCAAGATTTATTTGTTTATTTGAAGAATCTATTCCATTGTTTTCAGAAGTTGTTATAGTTTTAATAAATATTACAAGAAATATAACAAAAGTAGTATATAGAAATAGTCCCATTTTTCTATCTCACTTTCAGTATTTGAATGTATTTATTATGATTTTTTAAATTAATTATTTCATTTCTTGTAAACTAATCCTATTTTCAATTTATTTTTATAGTAACTATTCAAAAATAGTTTTAACAGTCGGCATTTTTATAGTTAGGACCATTTTCTGAATTTCAATAGTCTCTCTAGTCATAATTATTTCATAAAGAGGCATTATTCTTTATCTTTTCCACCTATTTGAAGATTTTTATTTTATTACTTACATTTTTATAGATTTATTTCTGCTTAGCTAAAGCTGAATGAATGCAAAAGTATTTTGGTTTTTTCCCACTAAGTCTCTTTTACCATATTTTGTTAACTACAAATTTAGCCCTTTTCTTTAGCATATAGCTGAAATACGACACTAATATTTCATTAGGAGATTTAAATGTAATTTATGACTATTAATTGCTAATTTCCTTAATAATAACTGTTTGTAATCAAGATGTAAACATGCTTTATTTATTTGGTCTTTAACTTAACAAGCACATTGAAATTTAAATGTAAATTATGAAAATCAAGTAATATCTTATTCGAATTTGATGCCTTGGGCTAGCGGAAGATCCTTCGAATAGTTGATAGTGCTAAAAATTGAAAAATATTCTTTATATAAACCTAGTCAAGCTAATAATTATCTATATTTACCAAGTGGAACGTCTCATGTATTGTTTCCAAGAATCACTGCCACTTTCTCTTCCACCACCAGTATGTTTTTCTCCACCAAAAGCACCGCCAATTTCTGCTCCACTCGTAGGTATGTTTACGTTGACGATACCGCAATCAGAGCCTTTGGGTCCCATCCATTTGAAAATTTCACCAAGATCTTTAGTAAATAAACTACTGGACAGCCCTTGTTTGACCTATAAGAAATACTTATGCTATCAAACAGTTAAGATGACAATCGCAAGGTTTACCTCATTATTCCAAGCAATTCCTTCATCCACGCTTTTACACTTCAAGACGTAGACAATAGGAGCAAAAGTTTCTCTATGTACTATTTCAGCATCGTGCTTTAAGCCAGTAACAATTGTTGGTTCAACAAAGTGACCTTCCCTCTCTATACGTTTTCCACCGCAGACTATTGTGCCTCCTTGAGCTTTAGCATCAGCCACAGCTTTTTCATACAAAGCAACGGCTTGTTTGTTATGAAGGGGACCGTAGAGAACTCCATCATCTAATGGATCACCCATTGGCACCTGAGAATATGCCTTCTTTAGTCTTTCAACGACTTCGTCGAAAACATCTTCATGAAGGATCAACCTCCTTGTTGTAGTACACCGTTGACCAGCTGTACCTACGCAGGCAAATAATGCAGATCTTACAACCATGTCAATATCAGCATCTTTGTTAACAACGATGGCATTGTTGCCTCCTAATTCCAACAAATATTTTCCAAATCTTTCTTGAACTGTTAATGCGACTTTGTTGCCAACAGCGCAACTTCCAGTAAAGCTTAGGAGATTAATTCGTTCATCCTTTGCCATTCGTTGTCCAATTTCGGCTCCTATAGTATTAAAAATCTTACAGTTCAGATAAAAAAAACTATTGAAGTTAACAGTACATAGACCTACAAATATAGGTCAATACTTTTTAAAGGTGAAGGTCTAACATATCACGATGATATCGTTTTTAGTCAACTGTGCATAACCTTTAGGAAGTAATTGCCTTAAACTTACCGCCGCAAATAGAAGAGGCGATAGCGCCTGGTAGATTATTCGCTTCAAGAACTTTTTGAACAATTTTTGTCAGAGCGACAGAAACCAAAGGTGTACTTGGGGCTCCCTTCCATATACAGACATTTCCAGTTACCCAAGCAATAGCAGAATTCCAACCACATACAGCAATAGGAAAATTAAATGCTGTAATTACACCTACAGCACCCAGAGGATTCCATTGTTCAAGGAGAGCATGACCTGGTCTTTCTGATGGGATCACTTTGCCTAAAATATAGATGTCATAAGTTAAATATATTATGTAAGTTTTAAGAAAGTTAAGAAATTACCAGAGAACATTCTGCTTAGGCCTACAGCATAATCACAAACATCAATATATTCTTGCACTTCTCCGACGCCCTCCGGTAAAATTTTACCCATTTCCAAACTTAACAATTTTCCCAATACTGTTATTTTTTCTCTAAGAGCTTCACCAATTTGTCGGACAATTTCTCCTCTTTGTGGACCTGGAACTTCAGCCCAAACATTCCATGCTTCACGAGCGGCCTTCATCACTTGTTCGTAATCATTTTCAGACCCTTGAATAACTTTGGCAATGGGTTTGCCATTAGCTGGACAATACGAGGTAATGGTCTGCAAAGATAAATTTATATACTTGTTATATAATAGATGGAAAATTCTTTACTTTTAAATGAATGAAAAATTACAATGTCATCTACCTCAAATGAGGCATGTCAAATTTTTTAAATTAAAATCTAAGCAAAAGTCAACTATAAGTAAGGAAATTTTTCCAAGAAGAATGCAAATTGTAACTCTTATCAAGATGTTGTAATAAGAAGTTAGTATTACTGATTAAAGTTTATTTTTTCTAATTTTAAATAGAGCGAAAATATGTAAGGTACACGTTACCTCGCCGTTTCCATACCATTTACCGTCAAATACTCCCTTATTTGTCGATGACAAATCTAACTCTTGCAACCAAGAGTATTTTGGATCTTCAACTAGCATCCCAGACATGGCTCTGCTGAACTGATAAGTTAGTGGCGTTTTCTTAACTGATAAGACGCGAAGGTTACAAAGTCCACGAAGGAGTACAGATGCCGCCATTTGCAAGTAAAACAGTCACAGAGGTCGCCACTTTTATTACTCTACTGAAAGAGGTCACTAGTGTGAATATTCGAAATGTCGGCATTTATATTTCTTTTTATATGGCTTGAATATGGGCAAGAAGGTTAAAGAATGAAAATTAGAAAATGTATATAATTAATTAAATAAATATACTTTTGATACTTGACTCCTTGTGAAAAGAGTTTCTTAATTTACTTTATTAGACTGAGCAGACATGAAACAAAAAAGAAACAAATTCTTTTCAAGTATTAAAGTACTATTTGGAAAAAGTAGTTATAAGAAAATATACTAAAGAAAAGAGCTACATTCAAACTACTCTATAAAATTCTAAAAGCGTGGCTCCCAAATCCTCCCAATTTCCCACATATCTTCTAAGGAGTCTAGTATTGTCCATACCACCACAAAATTTCTACCAGTTTTTCTACCGGTCAGTTATCGGTTTTTTGAGCATTTTACATATATTACTTACAATTTGATCAGATCGGAGAGGTTTAAAGAAATTTTAGGGAATTAGGATGTCCAAAAAAGTGAAAACTCCCAGGTATAGCCAACCTAAGGTTTCTAAAGGACCAAAACCCGCCTTTAAATCATCTGGAGCAAAATACAAGTCCAATTATGGAGGATCGAGTTCTCAGAAGATGGATGGAAGAGGACCAATGGGTCGACCACCAGTTCAAAATAAAGTAAAAAAAGAAGAAACAGCTGACTTAGAGCAACAGTTTATTCTCAGATTACCTCCGGTAAATATAGATTTTTAACAACTTAAATCAGTTAAAAGGAATCACATAAACAAGTTTACTCAAAAATTAGGGACCAGCAATGGCTCTCCGGCATGATGTTCAATCAGGTGCTCAAAATTTAAAGGATAAGCTAAGTATTGAACTGCCTCATGATCGCAGAAAAGGCTACGTTCGATTCGGAGGTGACGTTTACAATGCTAAGGTAGATTATTTAGGGATAAAAGGAGAAAGTATTGCAATAAAAATTACACTTTTCTAAAGCTAATGGATTTACCTTGCATTTTGGAATCTTGGAAAACTTTGGATAATAAGACACTGTACAAAACTGCGGATATTTGTCAGGTTTTTAAAAGTTAAAACAAATAAATGATCATAATCTTACATCCTTCTTTCAACAGATGTTAACTTGTAGCTTCATAGCGTCAGATAGTGACGATGAGATGGATACAGCTGATAAAAGAAAACAACGAGAAAAAAAATATATTTACAATCACGGATGTAAGAAAGCCTAATTGTTATTTAGTTGATTTGAGATCATTTATATGTTTTTCCAGTAACGCCACCATTAAAGAACGTTCGAAAAAAACGTTTTAGACGGACGACAAAGAAAAAAGTTCACCAAGAAGCTCCTGATATCGAAAGAGAAGTAAAACGGCTACTTCGAGCCGATAGTGATGCAATAGATATAAAATGGGAAGTTGTGTATGAAACCGATACAGAACATGAAACAACAGGAGCGTCAGGACAAATCGGAGAAACTGAGCTGTTTGGTGGCGCTATAAGTTCGGATGATGATGAAGAAGAGGCTCCTGAAGCTGAGATAGATTTTGATTCTTCTAGACTCTCCACAATAGGTGAACAAAGCCAGGATGGTAGTGATGTTATGCGTAAGTTTTCATTTATAAATTCAGAAATTATTATTTCTAACTTTAAACTATTTTCCACTTTTCATTTACCAGCCGATCTCGATGCTCGATTGCTTAGTATACAAAAAGAGTTAACCTTGCTCCTAAAAGAAAAGGAGAAAAAACAAAATTTACTATCTCTAGCCATAGGGGATGACAAACAGAAAATAGCAGGTGAAATTTTACAAATTGAGCAAGAAGAAAGTGAAAAGAAAAAAGAATGCGAAATATTAGACTCTATGAGATTGTAAATAGCATAGAATTATCCTTTTTTCCAATTTAGTTATTTGTGATAAAAAGAAATATGGTTTTTAAGAGAAAGAAATCTTTATAAGAAAGTTGGTTTTTTTTGAGAATATTATTCATATCATTTTGTTAATACAAATTTTAATTACTTGAATCAATATTATATATAAAACATTTATATGTTGATATCGAGCACTTGACGTTTTTTATTTTCATCTTGCTAGTGTCGACATCTCATGGATAATGAAACAAATTATATAAATAACAGTATTTCTATAAAACTTTGCATTATGGCTAAGCTTTATTTTATGGACATGTACAATGAGAATGATAGTCCCTTAAGTTCTCTATTAAATTTGCATCAAGGGTAATTTTTTTGTTGAATTAATTGAGAAAATAAAGCAGGAATTATCCAATAGATGGCCATATATTACCTAACAATATGAAAAGCTAATCATTGTACCCTCATTACTCAAGCAGACAACATGTCATTGCTTCGTGTAAGTACTAAATAAACAATAATGCCAAGACAAAAGAATGCTTAAATATTCGTTGCACAATTATGCAGGAGCCAACCCTCTATACGATAAAAGCAATTATAATACTTGATAACGATGGAAATCGTATGATAGCCAAGGTGAATTTTCTTAGAAAATATTGACTAATATTATTTAAGGAAATATCTTTCGATAGTACTTTGATGATATATTCCCAACTACAAAAGAACAAAGACAATGGGAAAAGAATCTTTTTAATAAAACACATAGAGCAAGCTGTAAGCAAAAAAATCTATTTCTGCTTGATGGTATTCATTCTTTAATTTTTTTGCTTTTTATTACTTAGCCGAGATAACAATATTAGACAATTTGACAATTGTTTATAGAGGAAATGTGGATTTATTTTTCTATGTTGTTGGAAGTTCAAGCGAGAATGAGGTTATTTCTTTTTATTTAATTTCGTATTTTATATTAAAAGTTATTGTGTTTAGTTGATTCTCCAAAGTGTCTTAACGACACTTTATGACTCTGTTAACTCCTTGTTGAAGAAAAATGTTGAAAAAAGCTGTTTATTGGATAATATGGATAGCATATGTTTAATACTAGATGAAATTTGCGATCAAGGGTTTGTATTTTATTAATTACTTATTAAAATCAGCAAAATATATATTTAAATATTTCTTCTTTTCAAATAGCATTATATTAGAAAACGATTATCAAACTATTGCAAGTAGATGTGCACTTAAAGGTGATGATATTTCACTTGGAGAGCAAACAGTTGCACAAGTAAGAGATTATAAGACACTATCCTATTATTACTTTATAGCTAAAACAGAAGAATTGTACGAATTTTAAGTTGATTATTTTATTTAGAAAAATTCTTTTATAAATTTTAACTAATTCGGCTAAAATCTTTTACTTGATTTTTTAGGTTCTTCAAACCGCAAAAGATCAATTTAAATGGTCTCTTTTGAGAAATTAAAATAAAAATTCATTAATTACTTTCTCTTCACTTCTTTTTCTGTCTTTATTTTTTATTCTCTCGCTCGCTCCCTCTCTTTCTTTCTTTCCTCTTCTTCCGCACTTTCATATCATGTATAATGGCTTATTCTAGAAAGTATCTGTTTAATCAATGCTTATTGTAACAAAATTTAATCTTATACTTATATTTTTATGAAAAGTTTGCAATAATTAAAATACTCAAGCGAGAATTTATGCACAACATAGTTCAAGGTATTCGACATAGTCTTCATATTTGACAATGCGTATAAACAGTAAAAAAAGACTTGTTATTACTATATATAGATATATATTATTTGTTTTTTTTGAACAGTAATATTTAATTTATATAGTCTTTTTGAGCTAAGATTCTGTCTCGTGGTATTTACTTCGATAACCAGGTCTCTTATAGACGATCGGTCCGCTACTTAGTGAAGTATGCATTGTTCCCATCGATGATAGTGTATCGACATGGAACGTTTCTGGTAGTTCATGTTCTCTAAATTCATTTAACAATCTTCTTCTCCTTGTCTCATAATATATGCAGACTCCTAACAGAACAACCACGACCAGTAAACAAGCAACTATTGACCCGATAGATATCGTCGATACCATATAGACAAAACCCAAAGGAGTAGGTTTCGGAGTTGGGAATACTTTAGAGGAGAATAAAAACAGGCCGTTAAAATATTTAAATAATCTATATTACAGAGTTACTGACAGTAATCTTGTTTTGTTATGGTTGGAAAGTAATCCCTCCAAAAACTATAATGTCTTTGCCTGTAATTAAACCACGTGTAGCTCCATTCGTCTAGGACGAGATAGGATAAATTATGGGTATTAAAAGGATGCCAAGTTATATTATAAGTGACGTTAGGTGTTGGTTCCCTAAAAATAAAATTTGTTTGAATAAAAAAAATACTCTAGACTTGGTTTAGAATTAATAAAACCTACCCATATTTCATAAAATTGGTCCACATATTCATCATTGCATCACTAATATTACGATCCTCATAATCATAATAATGATGTTGAATAACTTGTGAATTATTAAAAAGCGTTTCGTTAAAAAACGGAAATCCCAGCATGTAAGGGACAGCAGCCGACCGGGTTTGACCTGATAAAGATATTACAGAACATATTTCATACGCTTGAATGTTGTTTTTGCTATTACAAAACATACCCATCCAAAATGGTAGATGATTATACCATGATCTATAGTGGAATACGTACATATAAGTACTCGGTGATTCCTCAACATTAGACTTAACAACAGTATCCATTGGCTCTCCAAATTCTATATCTGTTATCATCTATAGAGGGCAATTAGAATTAATAGTAAATCCTTTTTTCTATCTAAAACAAATATATTACTCTTATAAATTCCTGGGCTCTAGCAGTTGTATTTTCGGGATTGGGCCACCACGTGTACTGAAATTCTATTGATTCTTGCACTCTAGGCCTATAGATATCCAAAGTTTTCCATCTGAGAAGCATATCAGCAATAAATTCTTCAAAATCCGCTTTAAACATTCCATGTTCTAAATTACCCACAAGTTTAGCTGTTTGAATATCAAAGAGATGATGTCAATATATTGTTACGATATACAATGTAGAAGAAAAGCTTAAGTGACTTACATGCTCTATATCCACCATCCATAGCATTTATTCCTATAAGCATAGGAACGCTTATAAACTTCTTTTGAATTCTGGCATCTCTTGGGTAGAGAGGCAGAAAAGGGAAATAATCTCCCGCATAGTGGGAATCTAATGTTGGACCCCAGACATATCCCAATTTTCCGTTCTATAGAGGGATTTTTATTACAAACATGTTTAGATATGAAAGCTTTTACATACGTTAGGTTGAACTTTATGTTGATACTCTACTATTTGTTCCCAAGATATTTTGTCAGAGTCTCGTAAACAATTCATCATTAAAATAGAGTCAAAAGTTGGGCAAGATAACATATCGCCGAGTTTTTTAGCATAGAGTTTAGGTTCCCAAAATGGATCTACTAAACCAAAAGTACTTATTTCGGAACCACTCATTAAAATAGCACTATGAAAGTATTTGTAGGCTGAAAAGTTGTAAAATTTTATCGAAATCTTGAAAAGACGCTTAAAGAGTAGAATGTTTACTTACGAATATCTTGATAAATTGGTGAAATTAAATGCAGACCAACGCTAGCAGCTCCAGCTCCATCTCCAATGATAGTTATATTGTCTGGATTACCTTGAAAATATTCGATATTTCTTCTTATAAAATCTAAAGCCCTATGCTGATCCCATAAACCATAATTTCCAGGTCCATATTCATCTTCCAAAGACAAAAACCCTGTTTATGAAGGAGTGGTTATTCAAACACTTTCATATAGTTATTAAATCTTTGTACCAAGTGCTCCAAGACGATAATTTACTGAAACATATATAACTTCTTTCGTTGCTATTACATGACCGGGATGTTGTTGAGCAGTACCGGAGACAAAATCACCACCATGAAACCAAACAAGTACTAATGGATCAAAAAATAGATTATGAACTGTAAAATATAACTATTTCTATAGAGTATTATTACCAGGATACTTGTAATTATATGGTCTACTAGCGACATCCGTGTACTATTTTAAAGGTTGTACAGTTATTAGTTAGTATAATAATAAAACAGTCAATTAAACAAACATTAGGGGTAAAGATGTTTAAATATAGACAATCCTCGCTGATATTCTCTTTAGTAAAAGACGGTATATCATATTTGATGAAATCAAGTGTTTGTGGACAAGCTGGCTTGTACTCTCTAGCTTCTAGCGTTTCAGGCCAAACGGGTCTTTCGGCTTTCTATTAGCATTAAATAATGAAAAATGTTTATTAGGCATTTAGCGCAATTATCTGATAATTCTCATACTTTGAATCTTAAACGTCCAACGGGCGGAGATGCATAAGGAACACCTAAAAAACAATTTATTCTTCTTTGATACCATATCGGCTGTTCATTCCTAAATAGCAAAACGGATATCATGTTAATTTTTATTAACTTTATCATTCTATAATTAGTTATTTACCAATCCCATCGCCAGTCATTATCCCATATATCCCACGGAACGCTAAATCCTCTTACTTTTCCATATTCCGTTCTAACTACCACAGAATCTTCAAAAATGTCTGGATGCCATGGTGGTTTCTGATCTGGTCTGACATCAATTGGAGGGTCAAACGGTCTCTCCGGTTTATAGACTCCTTGAGATAAGACATTTGATAAGGTAAAAAAACTACCAAAAAAGCAAAAAGTCCATGTTTTTTTAGAGAAAGATATTGTCTCTTTCATCATTCTTTGGATTCAGGTGTTTCTTACAGTTATCTCGATTCTCTTCTCTTACCAAATTTTTAAAAAAAAAGGTAATGATAACTCTTAGCGAGTGTAACTCGCCGATCTCAAACGATTTTAAAATGAGAAAGTCCACATTTAATAAAAACAGTTATTCTTCTGCGTCTATCTCAAGATCAGAAAAATATACTGATCTTCTTCGTTTTCTTCCTATGAGAAAAACTTCTAATCAAACGGTACAGGTAAAACTAAACATGTAGCGGCCTTGACCTTTGTCTACCAGTTGAATTTTATAGAGTATTCCATATTCCTCAAACGATATTGGCTGAACTGAAGTACTATTATAGTTATGATCTTAAAGAAATTAGTGATATTCACATATGCAATTTTAACTATTTATAATGTGCATTGTAAAGCCGGTTCAATGGAGAATGTTGCGGTCAAACACATGGTAGTAATTTCATAAAAACCTTAAAAATGCTCTCAACGAATAAACATCTTACATGTAACGTCGGCTTTTTCTAGTTTCATTTAATGGAAAAAGCATTTTTTTGTTAATAACGGAGCACTTTCATTCATACAAATTTTATTTCAGTTTATTATAATAGTAATTGTTTATATGATATTAATATTTTTTGTTTATAATAGCGTTTTTAAACATAAAAATATTAATATTCAATAATATTAATATATTTATATATATACTGTATATATGTACTTTATAGTCTGGACCAGAAGAATGTTCCAATAAAGTTGATGTAGGCGATGTGGTATCTATTCACTATACAGTTAGTATATAAATAAAATACGACATTTCCCTTTTTCAGTGTTAAAAACATAAATCTTTTAGGGTAAGTTGAAGAATGGAAAACTTTTTGATTCTTCAAAAGAGAGAGGAGAGCCATTGACGTTTGAAATTGGAGCAAGAAATGTAATTCCGGGTATGGAAAGAGGGATTATTGGAATGTGTATTGGGTAAGAGATGAAAGCTTGTTTAATTATATAAAATCTTGTTAATTGTCAATTTTTATTTTACTTATTAGTGCAACTAGGGTTCTCACCATTCCTCCCCATTTAGCCTATGGTCCCAATGGACATCCCCCAGTTATTCCACGTACGTCAATAATTAAATTCTAAATTTGTCATTTAGTATATTATCAAAAATAAACAGCTGATTCGACTTTGATTTTTGAGGTTACATTGGAAAGAAAACAACAAAAGAATGTAGTTGATAAGTTTATGGTTTCAGTTTTCCAATTTCTAAAATTGATAAGGTCAATAACTTAAAGTATTATTTCTTATTTCAAATATCAAATTATTTTATATTCAGCTTTCCTGTGTTTGGCGTTTATATTGTCTATATTGTCTATAAGAAATATAAAAGGGAAGACGAGCAAAGAAAAGAATCAAAAAGAAAAATGAAGCAGGAAAGAAAAGTAGAGAAAAAAGTTGAGAAGAAAATAAAGAAAAAATAATCGCTGTTTCCCGACAAAGACATCTTTCACATTTCTCATAAGTACTATACATTTCATTTCTATTCTGCTTTAACAATCACTTTTCCCAAAAGGATACTTTGTTACAAAATAACTTTCCACTTCTTTTGAATTCCTTTTGTCACTCTTTGTTTGATTTTTTTTTTGTTTTTTTCTACAGTTAATACATGTTCTTTGTGAAATCTCGGTCACTATCTTTAAATCTAGTTGACACAGTGTTTCTTGGACGTCTACTTTTAAACAGATATCACAATGCACATTCTGCTAAGAAGATATATTTTATTCAATTTAAAACGACTGTAATGTTGGGTGACAATTTAACATATACAAATATAGCAATTATATACTAAGTGTAAACAGGACGGAATAAAAGTTTTGGACGGATATTGACAAACACTAACAAATTAAGTATTACATTTAAACTCCCCACGAATTGGATAAAATATTTATAAAATCGCAATCGTTGTCAATACAAATACTGAGACCATCGTAATATAGCTCAAACTCTGGAAACGAAACATATCCAGGATCAACACCATCCGAAAACGAATTTAAAAATTGTTGACAACATTCCTCTTCCTTAATTTCTTCTATAAAAGAAACAAGATAAAATGAGATTTTTTTCATTGATTTTCTGTTGAAAGGCGAATTATTCTGAATCAACAAACTTACTATTTACGACTTGGGGATGTTTATAAGCGTGATAAAATCTCGCTAAGGTACTTATGGGAATTGTACCATTAGACCCACCATCCATATTTTGCCAAGCTTTCCTAACAATCTTATGCCTCGTTTCGTTCATTGAACCCAGAACTGTTCTCATATATACCGAATAATCGACAACGCCATCATTATTTTCATCCAAGATTTCCCACAAATCGTCCTGTAGCTAAAGGTAGAATGGGAAAATAATTGGAAATTTATCTCGTAATATAGAAATTATTATTCTTACATCAGTTGGTAATTCAAGTTTGAATTCTATCAGTGATTTTTCAAGACAAAATCTATTTAATTTGCCATCTCCATTTTCATCTAAGGAGTGAAAATGTCTGGCAAGGCCTGTGAAAATTCGAATTCCTCTTCTCTTCAATTGACTTTGAGAAAGCCCTTAAAAGCAAAAAAGTAAAATAATTAGACTTCAACAAATGATACTAATTACTTTGAATTTTGTATAGAAGACGCTTAATTTCAATTTCCTTATCAGATAGTGATGGAGCTTCGCTCCTGAAATAAAATAGGACAATAAGTTCAACAGGTATCTATTTAAAAAAAAATTACTCACAATAGCATCTCTCGAGCAGAATTATCAGTTGTTCCCACTTTCATAGTAACGATAGAGCTTTCTCTAAATGTTTGCGGTAGAGTTTGATTTTGCGTATTAAAGTATAATATATTTCCTTCAACAATATCAAGAACTGTATAGTTTTCTCCTTTTCTTGGTCCTTTTAAATGTTTATATACGTTTCTTTTCAAAAAAGGTAAAGCCTTTGAACTGTTTTATATTTTAATTAGTATTTCTTGATTAAGAAATAATTATTTAATTATCTAACCTTTTCCCAAAGGTTTTAAATTCATATACAGTAATACTGTTGTCTATACCGAAAAAGAAGCCAGTTAACTGTCGTATTGAATCTTTGCCATTTCGAGATAAAATTCTAGCTCCAAATGATACTTTATGTGATAAAAGATTCTCCGTTGCAGTGGCGGATGTTTTAACTCTGTCAGTTATAAAAAGACGTACTTTAGTATCAAATACAGCTGACGCTTAAATTAAAAAATTACTTGCTGTTGTGCAGTGCTCTTAAAGCACCCTTCTTCATTCCCATTTGAAAATCTTTAGGCCTATGTTGCGTTAACTCATTTTGTTCCGGATCACAAATTACAGCCCTATAGAGTAAAAAATTTCAGCGATGAATAGACATGAAATGAAATATAATTTACCTGGATAATTGATCAATCATGACGGTTTCAACTAACTTAAGCCTACGCTTTTCCTCTGCTAATTCTTCCTATCATAGGGTAAAAGAAAAGTTTGGATAGATAAGAATCTAATAGCTGATTGTACGGTATACAGCATGATAGAACGATTGCTTTTCTCTTACTGACCATATCAGCTCTTTTCGACATTTGCGCCTTAGAATAAGGTTGTTTTGTCCATGTTTTCTGCATCATATCTCTTGTTAGATCGCTTTCAGCATCGGTAACTTCTAGTCCAATCTTTAAGCGCTCGATTTCTCTATCAATATCTTCCTACGGATTAAAATTTTCTAATTAAGCAAAGACTAAATTCTTATTAAATATATCTTAATTTACATTAGAAATTTCGGTTTGTGGCATTTTCATCTGCTTCTTATAGCCGTTTTTCATATCATTAGAATATTGATCATACATCTCCCTGTACTTTGCTGATGGAGGTCGTAAATCATCGGGAATAACTTTAGAATCTGATGGATTTTTCTAAACGAAACCATATAAATATTTTTTATATTATTTGGATGCTTTTTTTGCTTACTTCTTTCATCTTTTTCAAAACGTATGGATGCATTACAGAAGAACTAGGAGTTCCCCAGCTGTTTTTTTTTTTTTACAATTAGAATATCAACTACTATGTCCATTTTATATATGAAACACTTTAGTATTTGATCAAGCCAACTACCTTATTGTTGAAGCGGAATTCGGTGTTTTAAGATTATAGTCCAAAGGAGCTATCTCTATCGGAGTTCCCGACACATCTACCCCAACATCGCCTAATCTTCCTAAATTGAGGGCAGGAACCCTAAACGCTTCAATCATGAAATCATAAGATATATTTACAATTATATCATTTACCCTTCAGGTCGATTCCTTCTGTCCCTTTCATCAGTTCTTCTCATTTCTCTACCCTAATTTAAATATTTTTTTAGCATCTAAATCTAGTTGAATTAAAATTTTAAGCTAACCGTAATAGGATTACGACTACTATTAGGCCTACTTCCCCGGTGATTGTAGTCCATGGCTAATCTGTTAATTACGAAATTCATTACCAATTCGCAAGATAGAGGCAAAATATATATTAAACAATGTATTTAGTTCTTCTTTTCCGACTGACTATCAGCTTTGACAATGAAATACAAATCAGCGAAAAACACTAAAGTTCCTGTAAGTAGGGCAGCTAACATTTGGAAACTTATGTTTCCTTCTCCCATAATTGAACCGCTAACAACGTAAGCAAAAACTGCTGAACCGATTACGGTACCCATAAAATTAAACATCATCATAATTTGTTTGTTCATTTCTTTCTGAGATTTAGCGAAATCAGATGCTATTGATTCTGCATTTGATGATAGACTGACATTCTTTGTCATTTGCTTGTACTCTCTTTCTTCAGCTTCCAATCTTAAGCGAACTAAGCGGTCTTCTAGCTCCTTACTTCTCTGAGGAGGTTTCGGACTTGGAATAATCATTTCTGTAGTCAATAGCGCCTGATTAAGTCCTTTTCCATTAATTTGTGAAGTCGTTTCATACAAAAGTGACAATGGAATGCTATCATTCTCTTCGATAAGCTTCAATAATCGATCACAATTAGATTTTGATAGTTCCCCGGATTCGCATACACTTTTTAGATATTTAATCAGATCCGATGAAAGATTAAAGCTTATTTCTTCATAGGAAGAAGCCATTTAAAACATTAACTTACCCAAAAATATTTGTGAAATATTACGACCTTCACCCTAATTTACCAGTTTTCTTTGATATATGTAAAATAGTCGTTATGCTACGATGACAAAAAATTAACTCGAGAATACGAAACAGCTGGTTCTTGAATTAGCTATGTCCTCAACTACTATAACAATAATCGGTTATTATATTTATAAAGATAGGATCCTATTAGAATATTTAAAAACTTTGTAGATTAAATGTTTTAAAACAATTGTTTTATACTTCATAATTTCATTTTAAACGCTCATCAGGTGGATCGATATTAGCGGTGCTTTTCGCTGGATACATGTCCCAAAAATTTCTACCACCTCCCAAGCCCGGCATAGTTGGAATAGATTTAGGTAAAGAGTAACTGTTGTTTTTCTTTTACAAAATACCATTCGAATATTTCTACTATTAGGAACAACATATTCGTGCGTGGGTGTCTATCAAGCTGGAACGGGAAAAGTAAAGATACTAGAAAATAGAGACGGGGATCAATGCATTCCAAGCGTTGTGGCATTTAGTGAAAATGACGTGGTTGTTGGGTATAAAGCTCAAGCTATAGGCTCTCCAGATAGCACTATATATGACGCCAAACGATTCATTGGTAAAAAGTTTAAAAAGTCAGAATTAGAAAAAGAAGCTTCAAGATACTCATTTCAAATGGTAGCTGACGAGTACGGTCAAATAAGATATAAGCTCGTTGAGAAACCAAAAGATATTGATACTTTAGTCAGTCCTGAGTTTATTGGATCGAGAGTAATAGATAACTTGAAATCAACTGCTGAGAAAGCATTAGAAAAGAAGGTTACTTTAGGAGTAATGTCAGTGCCCGCCGAATTTAATGAAGATCAAAGAAACGCTACTATTCATGCTGCAAAGATTGCTGGTATAGATATATTGAGGGTAATTAACGAACCAACTGCTGCTGCATTGGCCTATGGTTTGCATAAAAAACCTGATATTTCCTATGTCTTGGTTGTTGACCTAGGAGGTGGAACATTAGATGTGTCTCTATTAAATGTCCAAGGAGGGATGTTTATCACGATGGGTATGGCTGGTAATAATCATCTTGGTGGTCAAGATTTCAATGAAAGGTTGTTGCAATATTTAATTACTCAGATCAAGCAGAAATACAAAATAAATACACTGGATTTATCGGATATAAACTCATTGAGAATGTTAGTTGAGAAAACTAAAAGGGTGTTGTCATCAGAGATGACGTCAAAGATAGTCTTACCATTAAAAACTCTCAATGGCGAGACTTTTCATTTTACAATCAAAAGAGAGATTTTTGAAGATCTTATTAGTGACCTGGTAAAAAAGGTACTCGAACCAATTAAGCGGGTTATTGATTTTGTTAAAATGGAGCCAGAAGATATCGATGAGGTTGTTCTAGTTGGAGGCTCGACAAGGACACCGTCCGTACGTAAATTATTAGCTGAATTTTTTGGTAAAAAGCCTAATACGAGCATTGACCCGGAATTAGCTGTCGTTAGTGGCGTTGCAGTTCAGGCAGGAGTTATAGGTGGAGCATGGCCTCTGCAAGTTTCAGCTGTAGAGGCTCGAACATCAGTTAGGAAAATTCATATATCCTAAATATTTTAGGTTAATTACATCGTTTCTTAAGCGATTGTTGTTTGTCTGTATTTCTCACGTTTTTTTTTCAATGATAAATTTGCCATAAATATAAAAAATATAACCTACTTCTTTAACACAAGGTCGATTATAGAATTGGGAAAAAACAAGCATACAAAACAATTAGCCTAGTTTAGTCGTGACCTCACTGCATTTTCCCACTCTATGACGTAGGCAAACAAATCTCGTCTTTAAAGGCAACGATCTCTCTGCCTTTCTGCCTCATCCTTTCTCTCTCTCTCTCCGCCTCTCTTATGATGGTATTTATAATAGACGTTTGATCGTTCGATCAAACGTTGACATGCGATTTTAAGAATTTGCTCCTACTAATCGGATTTATGAATAATGATAATTGTATTTTTTTAGTCAAACGACAAAAAAATTACAATTTGTTTATTAATCTGTTTCTACTTTTATTTTTTATCGATTTTGAAAATGATTAGATAAGATACACAAATAAAATTAAAAGTAAAATTAGGTAATATTATAACAATACAATATATGAAAATATGATCAAGATACACTTTAAATCCCATTGATTCCTTTCTAAAATAGAAGTCACGTTCGTTCAATTTTCTAACGACTTGTTTAATGAACGCTATGTGTTTATTTACATAATTTTACAGGGATTTTTTTCGGCTCGCGAACAGTGCTAACACCGAGAAGATCAGCCTAGTCGCAATCCGCATACATCGATTTCAGCCAATCAGAGAAAGGTGCGGGACGGGTACCATATAGTTTTTACATAAAACCATTGCAGGCATTTGCAGAATAGAGTCACTACGAGGATAAGCATATCAATTAACGAGTAATACAGGGACATAAGCATCGATGGTTGATTTTTCTCCGGTTTCGGTCGATCGAGTTTTGCAATGGGTCGAAAATAACCCTGTTAATTACACCACCGCCACGGCTGTTAATAACGGCGTCTTTTTGGACATTGACCTCTTGCTTCAGCTGCTTGCAAGGTTCGTACGAATCGATAAGTCATGAATTGGTTCCTTGCATCTTTCCTAGTATCGTAAAATAGAAAACACTTTTATCGATTAACGCTTTTCAAGGTCATTTAACAAGAGTACTACTGCAATATTCCTAAAAATAGCTTCGACATTTCGTATGCGTATTATAGAATTTATCAGCTGATGATTAGATACTAAAAGTCTTATTTACGTCCTACAGCAATAGTACGACTGCCATACAAAACAAAGTGGAACAAGCCATGGACATGGTTAAGCTTCATCTCATGTTTACTGTAAAAGAAGAAGTACAAATTTTACAGGGTCAACTTCAACAGTTGTCTGATAAACATAAGAAGTTACAATTAGAGAACCAACGGCTACGACAAGTTATCGATCCTCAAATTCTAGCAAATGTACTTCCTTGAACAAAACAAAATTTTGTCTTGAAAAACTGTTGTACAGAACATACTAGTTTACGAAAGCTTATAAAATGAAACAAAAAAACCTCATACTGATTTTCAAAATAAACTATTTCAAACTGTTCACATTTCAAATTTCCAGTTTTGTACTGTTTGTTCTCCAACTGGTGACATGTCCTGTTGTACAATTTCTAATGTTTGAATTTCACCACCTTGTTGAACAACAGATTCAACTTGAAAGGTTTGCACTATTTCAGGATCTTCTTCAATCTCTATCTGAACTGTTTGGTCAAGAGTGGACTGTCTGTTCTTTCTTCCATCAACGGCTGGTACGTTGTGGAGCTTTATTTCATGTTGCTTACAGGTTGTCTGTTGTCCAAATTGAGCAGCACAGAATCTACACTTGTATGGTTTTTCTCCGGTATGGGTTCGGTAGTGATTTGTTAAAGTATACTGTTTCTTGAAACTCTTTTGGCAAATATGACAAGCAAATGGTCGCTCATCAGAATGCAAGTTTTTATGATGGTGTAAAATACCGACTCGTGAGGTCGATTCAAACTGACAGTCTTCCACCGCACAGCGCACTTTGATGCTTTTAGGATCACGGATGTCGCTGTGCTCCGTTTGGAGATGTTGTATAATAGCCTGCTTATTTTGAGAAATGAACGAACAGTACATCATCGGACATCTTAGATCTATGTCGTACGTAACTTTTCTTCCCTTATTAATTTTAACATCAATATTTTCCTCAGTTATATAAGCCAAGCCCTCTTCTAACTGTTGTTGTTGTTCATTCGTTATGCCATGAACTTTTTTTAGATGTATTTTACGTCGGAGCCAATCAATAAATGATTCATTGCAAATACTACATGTGTACGGTTTATCTCCGGTATGTATTCTTTCATGAATACGTTTTTGATCAGCTCTTTTGAATGATTTTGGGCAGTATGAACACCTGTGTGCTCTTTCCGATGTATGTACCGTTTTACGATGAAAGTTTACTCGGCTGCTACTTGTCGTTCTGTAATTGCACTCAGGACATTGAAACCTTTTCTCCCCATGAACAAGTTGATTATGATTATAATAAGATGCTTTTGAGTAGCACACTTTCCCACATTTATGGCATATCACAGTCACCCTTTGGCGTGCAATGGAATTTCGTTGGCGCCACATGGCTAAATTATTTTGCCGAACAATTTCTGGGTGTTCTGATTTCATGTGCCGACTGTGTTTTATACGGGATGTGCACCAATGATCGCAGTGTGAGCAGGCATAAGCTTTATAAAGAGTTTTCGTTTTCTTCGACTTTCTCCCTAATAACGAGCCAAAGCAAATGTTATTTTCATACATTTTTCATTATTTACTTTAACTTACTGCCCCTCGTTGGTTTTATTTCGCTACTAGCTATAGGTTTAGAATTTTCGTTTGCTTCGTTTTCTAATCCAACCTTCTGCGCAATTGCCATTAACGTTGATAATTTCCTGGTTGTTTCTGGATCCACTGCGGAGTTTTCAACAAGCGGTTCAGATTCGATGCTAAAAGGGAAAAATTATAAATAAGATTCACTCTTTATCATTTCAGTCTTAATGAAAATTACTTACTCAACCTTCCCTATGTCCTTGCTATCAACTTCGTCAATAGGTTCAATTTTCTGCGCTTGTTTGGTATTCTTTAATTTTTCAAAAACACTTTTTAATTGTTTAGATAAACCTCGACCGAACATTTGTTGAAACTGCGAAATATCTGCGTCTCCATTTATATAAAGAACGTCTCCATTCTTCCATATACCAGTGCTCGATAAGGAGGCGTCATTTGCAATAGCAGCAAGAGTTTCTTCATCAGGTATTAGCTTATGAGCCGGCTCAATTGCAATAAATTGCGATTTATCGGCAAGATTTGGGGGTGGCTCGAGTGCTTGAGTTAACTGAGATTCCTGAGATTTTTTCGTATCTTCGTCTGCTTGTTCCACTTTCTTTTTCCTTCAAAAAAAAAAAAATTTGAGTTTCAGTTCTTAAAAAAAAACCCCTATAACATAAAACGCAATTTTTCGCTATAAATATTACCTCCGTTCGGCTTCATCGATTTCTTCTAATAGAAAGTCGTCTACCTCACCGGGTATCATATCTTTTTTATAACTCTGCAACTCGTCTCGAAGACCTAATTTAGGCATTTGTTTCATAAATCTAGGTAAGTGAAAAAAAAAGGATTATCTTTGATTATCGTTGTTTTTCTGTTATCTTAAAGTTTAAAATAGAATTGAAGATAGTGAAAAAAACATACACGTCTAAAACCATTTTAGTAAATCTGGTATCGGAGTCGATTTTACAAGCTTTGCGCAGTTTCGACCATCGTTCAAATTGATTAGTTATATTTAGGCAAGTATCGGTAAAACGCGGTCGTTTCAATCGACCCTTAAGCATCTCTCCTTCTACCGCTTCTAGGGATACATTTAAACCTTTATCGTCAATTTGAGTAACTGATGGAACAGCTGAAGCCATAAGTGAAGATGAGTCCCATAGTTGAGGGCAATTGTAATATTTTCGTTGAAAGTGATCGCTGCAAATCTTGAAATTTCTAAGACAATGAGGATTTTTCTCAAATTCCTCTTCTAATTCTGGATTTTCGCAGAACTTTATCCACTTTATGCATCTAGTAAATAAATATCAAGAGAGGAATTTTATTTACATATTTCATTAATCAACTACTCACCTTTCACGGTCTTTGATAAAATTAGGAAAACCATGAAATTTAAACTTTCTGTAAGCTTGCATATTTTCGCGATTGGTACAGGATTTAACGGCACAACTTTTATGAGACATTTTCATTTCTTTTTAAACAAAGCAGACAGTAATTATATTGAGTTAGCGATCCTTTATAGCAAATATTGACGATATTGCTTTTATGTCGATATCGATTCCATTTGATCAGACATCCAGATATGATGTTTAGGCTTTGCTGTATGTATTCTGCATGGTCAAACAAAACTTTAATAACAAATTATTATCTTTTTGTAGTTATTAATCACAGAGTCTAGGTTTTTGGCTTAGGAAATTTAAAGAAAATGTCTTTTATGCGTACTTCTGTTCTTTATTGACTGTCTCTCAGTTGAAACATTATTCCGATTGTTCTTTATTATCAGAACATTTTGCTGATAATTTCCATCTAGGTCTCTTTGCTACGCTACCTCCTTATAAGTTTAGGCATTGATGTGTATATATGCTAAATCGAAACATAAATGAACCTTCATTAACAATAACGAAGTTAATGTGTTGATCATTTTCCCAAGTGACGAGTATTCTCTGTCTCGCAAAATTTAGGTTTGGATTCATCGTTTCAGGCATGCCCCTGTCAGATCGGGATTCTAAAACACCCAAGACCCGATAAGATTCTTTAAAAAAACTTGTCGGGTTCTTGTTCCCGTTACTTTCAGTATCTAACCTAATTAGTAAGGCTTCTTCGTGTTCTTTTTCTGAACATATATACACACCTTGCCGATGGAATATTACTGCTATTAAACTCGAACGTAAATATTAATATCGTCAACGCTCACAATTAATTATAGAAATAAAAAAATAATCACGATAATTTGAATAACAAGCGATTAGCAATTTTGCGCCAAAATCTATACCTCAAAACCAGAATTAAACTACAACTCAAACCCAAAATGGCGATGAATAGAAAATAGTCACGTGACGTTAAGACCGCGAGTTCACTGTATAAAAAAAAAATAAAGCTTTCAATTGGTCACGTGATTTTCCATAAAGATATCAAAAACAAAAGACATAAAAATTATTAATATTTAGACAATGAAAAATTTTACAGATTTTACAACATAAATCTTGCAATGAGTTTTCTTTTCGATTCATACAATGATGATGGTGGGTGTCACGTGATTATCTGGCGCTGTGTTGTAAATCCACTATCAAATACAACATTCTATTTCATGTTATTTTACAAATAAACGTTTTCGATTAATGAAGATTTTTGACAAAAAAATTTTTTTGGTTAGATAATTTAAGTAATATGGAAATTGCATAAGAATCACTAAATTATTAAAGAAAAAAGAATAAAATTCTTTATCAATAGCCGTTCAAAAATCATTAAAGTTAATTAGTTTACTAGAACTTATAGAGCTAACGATGAAGTTGATATTTTCACTTTTATATGTTAAATGTTACACAATACGAGTACAATAAAGCTAGAATTTTCATAGTAAAAATATTATCATACAAATATTACACATCATATTAGTATATTGTATGTGGCTCTAACAGAGACGTATAACTAATGATTAGAATAGTTAACTTCCTAAATCCAATTAACGCTTAATAATTTTAATCTTCTTTTTTAGTCTTTTTTGTTTTTTTCTTCGGTTTTGGTGAAGGTGAAGCTGCAAAATAAAATTAACAACTTATTTACATTATCATACTTTTTCGGTAAAAGACTTACATTTGAAGTAGATCAAGTATGTTACAAATTCTCCTATGATGTATAAGATGAAAAATAACATAATACAGAAACCAATAAAAGCAATTCTCAAAGGCCACGATAGAACCTTTAAGACTGGATAAACCCAAAAATCATCAATATAGTAGACGGCAAAGATTACAGAAGTATATAAAAGCACCAAAGTTGCAATTCCATAGAAAGCGTTTAGTCGACTTTGAATATGATGGTAAACAAGATATTTTTCCATTAATACTAAAATTAGTGGTAGTGTATGCTGCAATATTAAATTAATTTAATATTTCACATAGATAGTATCTCTGAAATTAACAAAGAGTTGGTAGCATTTTTATATATACTAACCCAACTATGATTCAACCATGAGGGTATTATTTCATCGAATTTTTTGGGAAATATTAATTCTCTGTTGATACTATATACAATCCAAAACATAAACACAACCAGAAAAGATATAGGAAAAATGACTACATTAAATAGATAATCTAGGATAACTTTGATTGTTCCTCTTTCTTCTGGTTTCTTCAGGTGGTTCACGTTTTTGTATAGTAGGTCGCACAAGAAAGCAATCCAATAATAAATTATCAAAAGATCCTGAAAATATTTAAAATTTAGTGAAAAAATGTAATGCATGATCGAATAGTCCCACTTACGAAACATATTTGCGTGAGGTACTTATATTTTCCCGCAAAGCCATTGAAATAGAAATAATTAGAATATCCAGTATTGCCAAATTTATCAGGAATGTTTATTATATAATAATGATTAGAAAAAAATAGGTAACTGGCCACAGTGCCATGAATTAATGTAGTTAAGGACATTCTATCAGTAACAATTTTAACCTTTTGGGGATATCCCTTTTGACGTCACGTGGGATTTACCACAAATAGAATAGAATGAAAGCTCAAGTATAGTACAGTATATTCCGACAATTATTGAAAAAAGTCGGTTAGTATTTAATATAGTATTAGAGAAATATATTAACTATTATAGTCACCAGTCTAGCTGGTTTATCAATTTTTTTAGAAATATTTTTAATTATTTACTACTAGCATTCATTAAATATTTCATAAATTCTATTGCCTCGAGTGCAAATTAAATTTTAGAACAAAATCATCATAAACACCTCTATCGGAGAGAAAGTATTATACTTAGCTATACAATATTTTTTAGTTAGTAGAATCTATATGACAAGGGAAAAATGTATCAATCTAAAAGGGAAGCAATCTAATCTTAATGCATTGAAAAAACTAGATATGGGGAATAAGTTGCATACTAATTCTCTTTTAAAATATATTATTTTGTTTATATTTTGTTTTGTGGTTTCTGTTCTATTTTGTGACAGATTTGACAAAACTAATTAAGGGCTGTAGCTAAAACAATTCTTACATAAATAAAGCTTAGTCAACTGATGCTAGTGTTGGTGTATATTTATATACAGTATGTGCGTATGTATGTATAATTTCTTTTATACTATTTTCTAAATTACGTAATATTTTGTTATTTCATGTTCTAAGTCAGATGAAAAAAAAAACAGTATTTAAGAATGAAGATAACAATTATTAATATTTTTGAAGGACATAGGTGGATGGTAATTAATTCATTTTTAATCCTCTTAAGCGACCTCTTTTTAAGTCTAATGCCAATATGTTTTCAAGACCCAATTTCCTATTAGTCAATTTCTTCCTTCTAGTTTTTGTGGGAATTGGTAAAGAATATATTATACTTCTGTTCGGTGTATTATATTTAGAATGACCTCTCTTATTGAATGTAAATTCTAGTATGCCCCTTTTTCGTCTATATAAGCCTTTGGATTTGCTTGGGTGTAGTGGTCGTTGAGCTTGTTTCTGCAGCATTCTACACTCGATTTCGTAAAATGGGTACAGTTTTCGAGAATTTATTCTAGAGAATTCTCTCTCTCTCTCTCTCTCTCACATGTAATTTCTAGGTTACTTGTTAGGTTTACTTTTCTAGATTTCTTTTTCTTTCCTTTTTTCATATTCTTCCTTTCCTTTTTCCCCTTCTTTTCCCTTTTTCGATTGTAAGGAAGTAAAGCCTTCCTTGTTAGTATCATTTATCTTGTATACCCCGATTACCAGCTGCTATTTCGTCCATTTGTATATTATTTGGAAATATACGATGAATTTTTTCTTATGTATATCCTCTCACGGAATTTAGCCTGTTGGCTCTTCGTTGGATGACTACTGCTAATATCTAAGTTGCTTTTAAGAGCAACTGAAAGTTGTTGACTATTACGTTGTGCATTCCTAATCTTTTCCTCTATCGGTCGTATATTTCCTGTTATTTTCTAAAAATAATTTGTTTCATTGAAGTTCAAATTCCTCCTGGTAGTATATTTATCTGGATTCACCTTGACATTCTGATGATTTATGGAAAATAAGCTATATCGTCTATTTGGGAAATTTCTCGGATAGTATTCATTTCTATGATTTGTTTTTTGGACAATAGTAGCATTCGCGTTCGTTGACCAATTCTGGCAATCAGACTCGTATTTAATTGCATATTTCAATTGTAATTTCTCCTAAGCCCATCCGTTTCAAGCTTTAAAATAATATAGATGGGACTTAACTATAGATCTTAAACTCCTTGGGATGAATTTTAGACTATTGAAAATTTTCTCTAACCACAAAATCAATATCTTTCATAAAGGCTTCTGATGTTTACAATTGTCTTTTTCAAAAATTGATTTTTAATATACAAGACTGATTCGTATAAAAATAGAAATTTTAAGTACTTTTTTATGTTTATTCAGCAAATTTTATTGATCTTTTTACTATTTACTTTACAAATCCGTTATTTTCAAAGGATGTGTATTAATAATTCATTTTTAAACATATTCAAAACTTCCCGCTTATTTAAGTCCGGAAATGATATCAAACGGACAATTTGAGGCGCCACCTCTGTTTACTCTATTATCTGAAACCGCAAACATTATTCTGGCATAATTAGATTATATCCATCTAATTTATCAGAATTTGGACTAATTTAGTATATTTCTTCAACCAAATATACTTTCATATAATAATTCTTTTGAAATAGTGCAAAAATAAACCAAACAACTACAACTTCCCCATTTTGAACGATAATTCAACGTTGATAACTATAAGTGGTAGATGGCGCTGAAAAGAGCATCTCCGAATTTTTGACCAAAAAGCGTCACTCTGATCGATTTGTAAACCTGCTTTACTCCAAAAACTACTATTGATTGTATAAACTATGTCGAAAGAAGGTTAGTTCACTTAATTTTTTTACTTGTTATTCAATTGTAAGGATAAATACGTGTTTGACTATCATATAATAAAAATTCCCTTTAATGAGTCAACCGATTAATAACAAAAAAGATATCTTGTGTTCGGTAAGTGCAAACTTTTGTAGTAAACATAATAAGGAATTTTACTCGTGTAGGCGAAAATTTGTATAAATAAAAAAAAGAGCAGAATTAATTCTATAAAATGTAAGAATTTTTTTTCTTCGGTTTACTCAATTGGAAATATCATAGGAGTTGTAATGTTTCAAATAATTCCTCCCTTAACAATATAAAACGTCTTCATATAAAATTCGTTAAATTATTTATATTCTATATTAACAATACAGATTTGGCAGCTATAGTAAATAGCCTGTTAGGAGGAAAAAATTCTTCGGGTCAACTCTTAAAGTTAGTTGGATATGTTACAAATGAAGGTAAGCCATTTTGTAATTTTATTCAAGTTATACGTAACAGACTCTAATGCTACGTTTTTTTGATTACATAGATACGAAAAGCCAAAGTATTGATTACATTTTGTCCAGTGAAGTTCTAAAAGAATGTCGATTAATCTTTGATACTAGAGATCGGGATGGAAAGCTACAATGTGCTGAATTAATAGCAGAAATTGCTAAAATTGGTAATAATTTAGCCTCTCTTGTTGTTTGGAGGGACAGTTTTAAAATAAAATACGCTAAACTTTTTTTCAGAAAAAGGTCGTTTAGCATGCTTAGAGTCAAATCTTGTTCCTGGCTTAATGTCATTATTGCGATTTGGAAAATGTGAAGAAGTTATTGAAGCGTGTAGAGCTCTGGGAAATATGTGCTTCGATTGCGGTTAGTATGTCCGTTTTAAGGACCTTTTCTACAAGTCTTACTTATTCTACCGACATGTTGTTGACTTAATTTAAGAATTCTGCTTCCCTGCATAAAGCGTTTCGCGCATTTATAAAAATGTTTCTTTTTTTATCAAATATTTTTAGAGAAAGCAAGAAGAATTATAGATGAAAATGAAGGAATTGCAGCACTTTTGGGAATTCTTAGAGAAAATCTGTGTTCTAGATATGAAACAAGTGATAAATTACGTACTGTTGCTTTGGGTTTTTTGCTAAATTTAACAAATGATAATGGTAAGTATTATTATTTATTACTCATAAAATCATCACCTAAATATATCACATATTTAACCTATCTAATTATGCAAAGTTAATATTCAAACATAATTTCAAGACAAATATGAAAAATGATTTTTTCCCTCATAAATATTTCTTTGATTAGATATCGAATTATCGGAATGTAATATCAATAAACCGGTTGAATTCGGTAAAGACAATTCAAATGTTTCTTTCAAGCAAATGTCTGTCAATATACAATTTAACGCCAGCGTCGACCATGGTATACACATTCGTCTTCATCAAAATTCCCATAGAACACATAGACTAGAATTATTTGTTTGTGGGTTAATTTTTAGCTGTTTTCCTTTTTTATTCTTATTTTACAATTCCTATTTTTGCTCTCTTTTTCCATCTCTCTTTCATACATCCACTTTGATTTCCTTAAAAACATATCCCATCAGTAGAGAGTAATCAATTTGCAATACGTATAATCGATAGGAAGTAGGAAATAATGGGAAATTGTATAAAAATTAGCTTTTTAAAGTAGTGGTTTACAGTAAAGATGTAAAGAAGGAGAGAGATTGTTTGAAAAGTTATAGATTTTTACAATTAAATGAAGCATGAACTCTTTCTAGGGAGTAATGTTGTTAATATTGACTAGATAATCATAGATTGTATATGTGTATATATACACATATATTAATGATTTTCAATACTTGTATATTAAATAAATACAACAAAAAAATTGATATATCATATTTGTATGGACAAAATGCAATAAATATATATATATGTATTAATATATATATATATACTGAATATATATAATATTTTAAGGAAAGTATTATTATAGTTTGCTATCACGATATAGAAATTTAAATAATAGAGTATTTATTTTCTCTCCAACCTTTATTGTTTTTCATCATATGTATACTGTATGCTTAGTATATCCTTTGTATAGATGAGAATATTCATCAATTAGTCTGGGAGTAATTATTATTTTAATCTATTGTAGAGAGTATTCAAGAGAAAGTTTGCTGTTTGGGTGCTATTGATATTCTTCAAGATTACCTAAATGAAATAAAAGATGAATCTACGTTAAGAATGCTTTTAAACGTTATCACCGGCCTTGTCGATACAGGTATTAAGTCATTCTAATATACTTTACAAAAAACAATCCTCTTTTAATAGGTTATTAATAATTTGAATACATGATATTTACAGATATGTGTCGTGATGCCATTTTAAAAAGGGATTTCATAAAAATGTCATCGGAGCTCCTTACTAAGAAAGATGTAGATCCAGAAATAATTTTAGAATTTTTATCATCTCTGTGTAATTCATCGGATGATGCTAAATTACAGTTAGCTATGCATTGCAAAAATCTCCTTAGCGTTCTAGAGAGATACAGTACTAATGAAGAAGATATTGATATATTAAAAAGCGTAACAGATTTGATCGTTTTATTATTTGCCGGCGGTACGTTGTAAATTCTATTATAAATATTATTAAGATTATTATTGATGCATATAAAATTAATAAAATTATGCTATTTTCTAGAGAAGAGTTTAAAAGAAGTATATAAGAATGGTGAGGGAACTCTATACAGAGAAGCTATAAAATGGTTACAAAGCGATGTGGAACAATTGCAGTGTTGCGGCGTCTTAGTAATTGGGAATGTTGCAACAAATGGTGACTTCGATTTTCTATCTTTTTTTCTTCTCCTCATTAATTTTTCTCTGTTGTTTCGTCTTTTTTCCAAAATATCAAATGTACTTTTCTTAAGGATAAAGGGAAGATTTGAAATAGAACCTAATCTATTAATTATTTTCATTAAATAGATGAACAAAGTATAAGTCTAGTGAAACAAGGAGTCGTATCAAAGTTATTAAACCTATTGCTACCCGATCCACAAAAGATATCTGACGATCTTCAACACGCAATCTTTAGTACTTTGAGAAATTTATCAGTTCCAGGTAAAGACTTTTTTTTTCTCCTGTGCAGTGTGCGTTGTAGGTTATCCGTATTTTTATTTAATTATTCTTCTTCTCACACAGTTGAAAATAAACAAGCTCTCATCAATGCTGGTTTATTAAAAGTAGCCCTACAGTTCTATGATTCGAACCTCTACGTTGTTCAATTCAAACTGATTGCAATGATAAGATTATTAATTGATGGACAGAGTGAGGCATCAAGTTTTCTTATAAAGAATGTTGATTTCACAAAGAAAATCATTTCGTTGACGGACGTCCAAACTCATTCTGGAGTACAGGCTGAGAGCTCTAGGCTTTTAGCAAGATTAATTAAAAATTCTAAAGATGTCGAAAGTTTAAGTATCATTTTGGAAAATGATGGATTAAAGCCTTTAGAGAATATGATGATATGTGAACATGATGTCATGAAAAATGAAGCTCTAATGGCCATTATTATACTTGCAAACGTTCTTAAGAATAACATAGGTGATAAAATTGACAAATCAAATATTATGGAAGGTCTAAAAACGCTCTTTGACGAGAAGGAATCTTTATATATTATTCTCAATGGCCTAACATTGCTTAATTCTATATTATCCCACGGTAAATAATTGAATATTTAATAAGGATTAATAGTTATAAAATACTTAGTTAGATCTATAATTTTAAGAATTCTTTACCTAAGTAAATATATACAGTATATATATATTTATTATATATATTTATTAGTATATGATATTAGAACTTAAAAGCTGAATAGCGTTTATTTTATGTTTTTCTGACCGAACGTTTTTTTCTTTTAGATACTTAAGCAAAAAACTAGTTATTAGTATTTATTCACTTTACACTCCCCAGAGTATGATAATCTGAGATAAGCTTAAGACAGTGTGAAGTTTATTTACAAACGTATAAACAGAATATTTATTTGGTACTTCCTTTATTGGTTTTTTTTTCTTCTGCAAACAGACAAACTGAAATCTAAGGCAAAGAGTCTAGACATTGAAAATTCCATCAAGAGCCTTCCATTTCAAGGGGATGAGCAGTTTAAAGTATCTTCTAACGTAGCATATTCTCTTCTAAAGTAGTTTTCTTTCTATTTATTCCATTTGCATTGTCTTCTGTTATATATATTTATATATAGATTTGTGCATTGCAATTTATTTCCTTTTAGTTTCTATGCATATAATTCATGTTTCTTCTGCTTTAAGAGCTTACATAAGACATCTCTTGTTATTGTTCTTTTTGTTATAATTATTCAAAGGGTTTTTTATTAATAAAACTGTATTTTATATTCCAAATTCACTCATTAATTGCTCTTCATCTCTTGCTATATCTCTCTCTCTCTTTGAGTCTTTTAAGGCTAATTGTAGGCTTAATCCTAATACAAAACTACTGACTTATAGGAATTGATTTACATCTTAGATCAAATCGACAACGGCTGTAAATTAGTATGAGGCACCAAGGTCTACCCTTGACGTTTGTCGTTATCTTTCTTCATTTATTCTTTGAGAGTCTGACCCCTCTATTAGAGAGGAGAAGTCTCTTGAAGGAAAGGATATACAATTCATGAACAAATTGCAGGCAACAACCACTTTCATTGTAATTGACTTGTCCTTTTTTATTTATAAGAAGGAGACAGTTTTAACTAATTCTTTTCTGTTTTTAATACGATATAAGTCATGGTGAAAAGAGGGCTTTCAATCAAAATGACCAAGACTTTTATCCTATTTTCGTATAAATCTATGAATACTATCCGCCGGTAAAATTCTTTCCTTATAAAGAAATTTTCTAAGCACAATTCGATATTAACAAAATATTTTCGTACAAAGAGAAGTGAATAAAGGATAAATTTTCCGTTAATTAGATTAAAGAAGGTAGGCTGTCTGTATATTTAAATATATTAGATGCACAACAAAGCAGCAGATAGAAAGGAAAGCAGGACGTATATATATATATATATATATATATATATATATATATATATATATATTACTGTACATACTCTAAAGTGATTATAATTTTTATAACTACTCGTTATTTTGATTATTTCACTTATACTATCTACAAAGCATTGAAAATAGGTAATTTTATACTCTAGATGGCGTATAATTATGGCTATTATACTAATGCAAAGGAAGATTTATATAAAATTGTTAAAAGTAAAACCATCTAAATAATTTGATGGCAAAGGTAAAGAAATAGACGAAAGGAAAGAACTAAACAAAATTTGAACGAATATTTTTCATCTAATTAACAGAAACAGTAATTTTATCATTCTAAAGATTCGAAGTTTTATTTTCGGGTTGTTCTTCCTTATTTGATTCGTTATCTTCCTCTGTGTCTTTTTCTTTTTTTAACTCATCTTCATCTTTTGTCTTCTCTCTTTCATCCTCATTATTCTGTTCGTCTTCTTTATTATTTTCTCCATTTTCCTCTTTATCCTCCTCCAAATTTGTTTTATCTCTTTCGCTCTGCACTTTCCATTTAGCATAAAACCATTTACTTTTAATTTTCATCCATCTGCACCGTATGTTTATTAGATTATAGTGGGCTTAATTATTTAATAAAATTTTCCAAGCGATGCGTGGGTAATTAATAGGAAAAAAAAGCAATTAATTGATATTAAGTTATAAAGGAAAATAAGAACAATGTGTCTTTTTTTTAAACTTTAATCCTCCTTCTTCTCTTCTTCTTCCCCTTCCTCCTCCTTCACCACCTCTTTCCTTTATAAAAAGAAGCACATACAACACACACCAACACTCTGTCTTAATAGATCAATTGATTAGTGTTGGAGAAACTAAAGAGAAATGATCTATTTTAAAAGCAATTATTCTTTTTTTTTCTCTTTTAAATCGTGCTTTTTCTACATCTATCATTCAATCAACTCAATCTCTCTCCTCTCTTTTTCCCTTTCCATCCTATTTGCAATTTTAAACGATTAAACTATTCAATTAATTTCGTGTTGTGCACAAACAAAAAAAAACTAGTGACAAACTATTACCGTGTTTATTTAATGTATTTATTATACTAAGATACCTGTATGCTGTATAAATACTCCATTTATTTACATTCAATAAATTGCCGTCAATTTTTTTCTCATCTCTCTTATCACTTTTTACAAATAACCGATTAGTTTGCTTAATTTTCATATAAGTTTCAAACAATGCTCTCATCCTTATTACATCATCTTGTAAAGTTTGCATTTCTTCAATTCTCTGTAATACAATATATATATAGATATATATATATATATACTGTATATATTTAAAGGAGAAAGGGTAATATCTCTTTGTTTTTTTTTTAATTGATATTGCATAATCAGAAGAAAGATATGTGCATAAAATCTTTTTGTGAGTATTTTGAAAGGAATATCACAGAAAATAATGTTAATATCAAAAATGTGTCAATGAACGCAGGCAGCCTGCTGGAAAGAATGTTTAATTTTGAATCTGTGATAATGTTTTTTTATAATAGAAATGAGAATTTTAAAAAATTGTTTTCATTTCTATTTGTCTTTGTCTTTGTCTTTGTCTTTATCTTTATCTTTATCTTTATCTTTATCTTTGTCTTTGTCTTTGTCCTTATTTTCGTCTTCGTCATCGTCATCGTCGTCATCTTCTTCATCGTCATCCTCCTCCTTATCCGCTTTCTTCTCTTCTAATTCCTTTACTTTTTCTTGTAGCGATGTGACATCGGATTTTACCTGCGTTATGCCTCCTTCTCTCTAATTTTTTAAGCAAAGCAATTTCAAAAGCGAATGATTATCAGCAAAATCAGTTTAGTTTAAGTGCTATAGCAGTAGATGGCGCTTATTGTTGAAGATAAGCACCATCTACAAAAATAATGCTAAACTTGCGTCTTTTCTATTATTAATTACTATATGAAGAATATTGTTAAGGTAAAATACTGTGCAGTTATCTCTTACCAGTTTTTGTTCACTTTGTATTTTCATACCCAAAACAGTTTTCACTGTTTGAATAGATTCCGCTAACTTCCTTATTCCCTTTTGACAAGTTTCTAATTCTTCCTTAGAAACTTCACTGCTGCCTTCAGGTTTCGTTTCATCGTTATCACCTTTAGTCTTTAATTCCTCAATCTGTTGTTCACGTATTTCAGCCTCGGCCTTAACTTTAGAATCAATCTCGGATCTCATAAGAGTAAACCTCTCTTCGACTAATCGAATATCTTCTGTTTGCTGAATGGATTGATCTTTAATTTCTTTCATAGCCTCAGAAGTGGCCTCCTGCCATATCCACATTGATTCCATTTTCTCCCTCAGATTTTTAGCTTGCATTGCGCTTGCCTATGAAAAGAAGATAGAGAGAATAAAAAAGCCTGATAAAAAAAAGTCAAACATGTCAAAAAATGTTAAAAAATAAAAAAATATGCATTTAAAAGCTATGGGAAAGATACGAAAATATGAATAAAAGTGAATATAGGAATATATATATACTGTATATACTGTATCTTTACGTATATAAACATTTATATAAACGAATAAAAGATATAACAAAACTATTAATAAAAAAACATCCAAAAAAGGAGCAAAATAAAAGGGATAAAGAGAAAAAACTGGGCAAACAAACCAGACAAACAAACAAAAGTAGCAAAAAATCTATGTTTTCGTAATTCTTTTCTTTTTTTTATTACTACAAACTAGATAGAAGATAATTATTATATAAGAAACGTTTACCTCTTGTAATTCCCTGGTCTGTTAACGAAAGGGGTAAAGATATAATAATATGAACTATATATGTTATACATTATAAAAATGACAAGTTGATTAAGTGCACGAAAGATATGAAAAAATGTGCATATACAGTATTTTCCAATACAAGTATTAGTAATATATATATAAAAAATTCCCTTCTCAATTTGAAGGTTGTGTTCGTAATTTTTGGCTTAAAGAGTTGAATACTTTTTAAAAGAAAAGATAACATTGATCCGCAATCTGACATCTACAACAGTAATATGACAATACCTCTTCGTTTATTTCTCTTAATCTACAAATCTATTCAATTGAATATGATTTAATCAAATCAAGGCAATCTTCAGGAATGGTTAACAATTGAATAAGAAATCAAACTTACATTAGTTATTCTGTTGTCTAAATCATCTTCCATTTTGCTAAGCCTTGATGTTATCGACGTTACTCTTACTTCTAAATCTATAGTGGCCCTTGAGGATGAATTTTTCAGTTCTTCAGCAATACTCATTAGCTCTTTCTTTAACTATTGATCAAAATAAAGATTAGAAATTAGCAATATATATATGCAATTTCATGCAACTTATACATAATATGCTCATGAATATGCAAATAAATATTAAGCAGTGTATAAAAACTGTAAAAGCACACTACTATAAGCATTCAATAGTTTCATTTGCAAGCAAACTAGGCAAAAGAATAAAGCTCTATTGTGTGTTATTGTAATTGTTATTTTTTATCTAGATTTATAAATGTAAGCAAGAAGAGAGAAACATGTGTAAAAGCCAAAAAGAGAAAAAATAGAATGGTTTGCCTGGTCAAACTCTTCTTGTTCAACGTTATTGCCAGTTGGTTTATTTTCTTTGCGTAACTTCTCTAATTCCTCATCAAGCTAAGCGTTTAGTAAATAGTAAGAAGAAAAAGCGTTAAGCTTAAATTATTTATAAAAATAGCGTTTTTTAAACAAAGCCATTGTTAATTATTCAAAAAAAAAGAGGAATCGAAAGAAAGTTATTTAATTGTCAAATTGAAAGGAAAAAGAAAATAATACACTACCTTCTCAGAATGACCGTTCATTTGAGCGTTTAAACCTGACATGGAATTTTGCAGTGCCGCTAAAGCTAATTGTAATTTATTTTCTAAGGCGTCGACATTCTCTTTTGTTCTATCTTCGTTCTTCTTCCTTGATTTAATTTCGGCTGTTAAAACTTTATCCAATTGTCTTTTTTGTTCATCCAATTGTTTTTCTAAAAGATTTATTGATTGATAAAGTTCGTTTATACCATTTTTTTGTTTTAATTTATCATTTTTAAAGAGATCCTTAATTGTTTGAACTTCTTGATCATTTAGTCTTTTAATCTCATCAATTTTTCTGTCAGTATCATTTCTAATATCCCTTTCTACACCCATCCTTCGCTCTAATTCGCTTTCAATAATATTTTGCAGTTGTGCGAATTTTTCGTGCATTTCCTCCCTAAGTCTAATCTCTTTTTGTCCTAACTTTTTTGTTATTTCTTCCCCCATTTCAACAACTTTTGCTTGTAATTTTATCTTATCAGTATCTGAATGATGTTGCTTATCCCTATGAAGTCTATCAATAGAGTTTACAGCGTCATCTCTTTTACGATCTTGCTCCACAACGGCGGCGTTTACATCGGCTAGCCTTAGGGCAGTTTGCTGCTCGAATCGCTGTCTCTCTTGCGTTTCCATATCAACTTTGGTTCGCATTTCTAGAAGAACGTCGCGCAATTCGCCGAGACGAGCTTCAATCTGAATTTTCAACTGGCTTTGACTTTGTTCCAAAAGGGTACTACTCTCGTTCTGTCTTCGAGAACCGTCCATCTATTTTCAAAAAGGGAAATTATCTTCATAAAGATCAATCAGACGAAAAAGAACATTTATACAAATAGATCGCTCTATTAAAAAACATTAATTTACCTTCTATGAATATTTTAAGAGGGCAGCATTAAAGATAATAATAGAATGTATGAATAAATTATGTAAATTACATATAATCAAATACTAAATATATAAAATATAACTAGAAATAAAGAAAGTATTAATCTTACTGTCAAGTGTTGATCATCTTCTAGTTTCCTTGCTTTATTTTTAAGTTCATTTAAAGAGTTATTTAATTCCATTAACTGCGAATCTTGTTTTGATTTAATTTGACGAATTTGATCATTTACAGTAAATATTGCATTTTCTAATTGAGCGTTTGCTCTTTCAGATTCGGCTAATTGACTACTGAGTTCTCCTAATCTTTTTCATCCAAGGGAATAAAGAATAATAATTATAGCTATAATAAATAATAGGAACTATATCAACTTACTTATTGCCTGTTTCTCCTCTTCTATTGAGAAGTTCTTGTTGCATACCCAACATATTTTGTTCGATAGCTTTAACATGTTGCACTAGAGCTGAGACGGCTGATCTTTCATCTTCGACTCTCTCTTCGAATCTAATCATACGTTTTTGCAAATCTGTTACAGTTTCTTGACTAGTTCTTAGAGAATTTTCAACAACACTTCTAGATTGTGCTTCATCAGTAACTTTCTTATCGCTTTTCCTCTCTAAGACTTTCATATCTCCGCGAATCCTAACCATTTCTTCTAGAAGAGTTCTATTAGATTTTTCGGCAATTTGCAGCCGTTGTTCAAGCTGTGAGATTCTCTCGCCACCTCCCGACGTGGGAAGAGCCAACTGATTGCCCTCATTTCCCGAAATGTTTGGTAATGTTGAAAAGCGGTTTGGGAACGCAGGAGAGCCCCTAGTCATACGTAAAAGTAAATAAACCTCAAATATTACAATCTAGAAGGTCTTAAGTATGCATTTAATCTGTCGAATTATAATAACTTGTTGAATCTCTTATAATCTTATTACTTTACTAACAAATAATCTCCGATTAGAGATAATCTTAATTAAAGAAACAAGAATCATTTTACATTTATCATGCAATAAGTCTTTAAATGTTACAAAAAATGAAAAATATGCATAAGGCTTTAATAAATAAATTAAGAACGAATATGGCACGAAGTGTCAATAATCGATTACTCTTTGTAAATCCACATTTCTAATCAATTACCATATAGCAAAACATTTTAACTTTATATTTTTACCTTTAAGAAGCGCTGTCTATTAAAAATCATTTTAAAATTCTCTTAGATTGTTTATCTATTAAATATTCAAATAGTTTAATTGTACAAACTATTTTGATATACGGAAAAATTATTCAAAATAATTTACTTACCGCCGATCAAAGAATTGATCCGCCATTATTGTTTATACCGTTGTCTGGTCACGTGACCAAGCTGAACGAGGATAGGCTAATAACTTTTCCTACATTCCACAGTATTATTGCTTTTTATATAGGAAGATAAGATTTTCAGATCAATAATAGAGAAAACAAAAGCCTATAGTGTTGTCGTTTCACGATTATCTTTACTTTTTATTGGTTTTTCTTTTTATAGCCAACATAAAAACAATCAATATATTATATTCTGTCAAATTATTTCAACTTAAAAGTTTGTTAATAGAGTTAAAAAGTCCCCAAAAAGAAAGAAGAAGACAGGAAAAACCTGAAAATTCAATAACCCTCTAAATATATATTTAATCTATATAAGTTGCTTTTTCTTTCTTTGTATAAAGAAAGAAGTTAGTTTTTCAAAGCGTTCAAACAAACACCTAGTTTTATAATTATGAAAGTTAGCATAAGAGCTTATACACTATTTATATATTATATATTATTATGGTGAAAGTTAGAAAAGAGAATAAAAAGGATTATAGAATTTGTAGAGACGGGATAATCTATCCTTTTCTTATTTAAATAATTAACAACAAAAAATATTTATGATTTAATTATGATAATCTATCAATCATTCATAAATTAGTGTGCTTCTTTATCCATTCTCGTAAATTCGTAACTCTTGTATAAACAGCCGTATTGCCACCGCATTTAGATGATCCGTAGCTAGTTAATCCGTAGAGATAGAATATACCATTTTTGGGACAAACCAGTGGACCACCGCTATCACCCTTTATTAATGAGAAAGATTATTTAAATATGTATGTTAATTGTCAGTTATAAACTGAATTATTTACAAAGCACGTATCTTTTCCATCTGTTGCACCAGCGCAAAATTCAGCAGTTAAATAAGCCCTAAAATGTTCTAGACAGGAATCATCATCATGAATTTTCAATTCAACTTCCTGAAGATTATAATAGTTTATATCATAAGGATCTGGAAGCAATTTAATTACAAACAATTATAATATAAATGATAAATTGATTGAAGAACTGTCAATCTAATAACCTCCAGTATTTCTCTGTCCCCAGCCAGTAGCTATACAAGACTCTCCCAAAATATCATGATCTTTTGGAAGGCATACCGGAAATACTTCATCTGTATATTGTAAATCTTCCTCCAATTCAATAAGCATCATATCGTATGTATACTTTATAGAGTAGATTTCGTGAGGAATAAACCTTTTAATTGCTAATTTCCGCATATGAAGATTAGACGTTGCAAGTTCTAATTTAGAGTTATGAGCTCCTACTACAATAATAAATTTATGTTCACTGTGTTTTCACAAACGTTTAAAAGACTTTTAATTCTATTAAATGATTCAAATCAATAAAAAAATTATTTTCATACTCTCCGGCTTGAGCGCAATGAGCCGCTGTAATTAACCAACGTTTACCGATAATACTTGCCCCACAGAAAATATTCTATGAATTAAAAGAATACTTCGTTCTTAGTCCTATTTCTTTTATAAATGTACAAAAATAATTACATTTGTATATTTTGAAAATATTCCAGCCATCCATGGCCAACTATTTTGAACAGCGTCCTTTCCACCGTAGATTCTGTCTACTTTATGACTTTTAAATGTTATACATCTATAACCGCAAGAGTCTAATAAACAAATATACGTAAGATGAGATTATTCGAGATAAATAATATAAGATTATACCTTCATCGCATGGATGAGTTAAGTTGGTTGTACTTGTTTGAATTTTCTTCTTCATTTCTTTATCTACCTTTGATCCGTACAAGTATACCTTTTAAAGGTGACATAAAGAGAAACAGTTATAGATATACAGTAATTATAGGTTAGCTCACTTCGCAAAGTTGAAGATTTTTATAGCCTTTTAGTCTATATTTTGAATAAATCTCAACGTACCAACCAGCAACTGGCTTATCACATGTAATATTAAATGGTCTGGGTGGAGGTTTATCACTGACAAAATGTTTACAAAGTTTGCCACCTCTTCCGGCATGATCTTCGTCATTTTCGTAAACGTTTACGTATAGATCTTGGTAATGATCACCGCAACATCCTTCCCTGCCATATATTGTTATTGTATGAATATTGTATTCACCATCTAAATTAACACCCCAATATTTATATTCACCATCTTCTGTAGGATTCGAGCAAGATTTCATTCTTTTAAAGAGAAAAATAACAAATAGTATACATTAGATATTTACTCTATCAATTCCTTTATCTCTTACATTCCTGCATCTGTAGTATCGCCATCAATCGCCAATTCGGCAGGATGAACTTTACCGTGAATTTTTAATAAGGATCCCGATTGACTAGCTGCCAAACCCTTTAAATTTATCTTCCTAACAACAGGACTAGGACGAGAGAAGACCGTAGTAAGGATGACAAAGAATACAACTTTATCGTAATGCATGTTATTTGGCTTATGTTCGAGAACAGAATAGGCAAATGACTATGAAAGACCGACATTTATATATCGTCTATAGTGAGGATTAAAAGGGGAACATATGGCCATTGTTAAACGAAAATTCTCAGTTTGCCATTATTAATAAGTTTATCATCTATCATTAATTTAGTTCAAACTCATAGGCAAATAACAAGTTTTTTCGTCCCAAAAAAAAGAACACTAAGGACGTGGCAAGAGTTGACATCTCCTAAATAATAACTTTATAAAAAAATTTAACCAGACACTTTTACAACATAAAAATGTAATATTCATTTAAAAGGGATAATAAGGAAAAGATTTAGAGATAAATAGGAGGAAGAAAATAAAATTTTTAAGTTTTCTTTTTTTTTTTTAAAAAAAAGTCTATATGTAAAATTTTAAGTTATGAACAAAAATTAATACAACTTTCAAAAGCCTATGGGAAAAAGATTAAAGATCTATTCATGTGGCGCCTAAAATGTTCTTTTTTTACAGCCCATATTTCCATAATTTTCACTTTTTTTCACTTTTTTTCACTTTTCACGAGCAAATTGAATGACCTTGACCTAGCAGTCATATCCTTTTTCTAGTTCTGCTCTTTTTTAAACGCCTAAAGCGACTATTATAATTATTAAATAAATCATTTTTAATTATGATAATTCTAATTATAATATTCAAATATAATTCAAATTTAATTTATTAAATAATAATTTTTTAATTGTAAATTTCTTATCGAAAACGTTAACTTTTAAAGAAAAAATTCCACATTACAACTTATATTCTTATGGAGAATCTTCACGAATATAAATCTACTTAACATAATACATATTTCCAGGAAAAATCTATTAAAATATTAATTATTGGCCTATAGACAATGTAAAAAATTGTTTGTTCCAATTTGCTGACAATTAATTTGTGAAAAGTACTCAACAATTGTATAAAAGGAGACGCGATTTGTTCATTGCCAGTTGCATTTTGTTTTGACAGCATTCTTTTAATCTTTTCCTTGTTTTTAAAACTAAGGTAAATATTCTATTGTTCTTTTTTTCATTTATTTTAAATTTATTATTCAAGTTGTTCATAAATTTCTTATTTTCAGTTATCCTTAACAATTGATAAAAATGGCCGCTAAATTCATTTGTATCGCTGTTATCTTCCTCATCTGTGTTCAATATGGCTATTTTGCCGCTATTTCTGGTTCTGGGTCAGGAGAAGAGGTACGTTTTGATTTATACTTTGTTTTGTAATTATCGTCATGTTGCTATATTGAAATTTTCTTCGAAAATAGGACACTCCTTTTGAGATTCCGGAATGCACTGATGAGAACGCTGCTATCTGTCACTTAAGTGGTTGTACTAAGGTCTTTAGAAAGCACTGTTTTGGCTCTATCTACGATGCTGTCAAGACAAATCTCAAGAGTTTCTTAACTGAAAATGATTTAGATGCAAACCAATTGAAAACTTTAGCCAATCAACTTAGGCTAGAAGCTACAGTTTGTCCAAGCAAGTCTCTTTTGCGCGAGCTATTTGAAGGACTTTGTGCAGCCAGAAAAGAGGGTCTTTTACCAGCTGAATTACAGAAATGTTCTTGTCCTTTCTGATAAGTGATTTAGATATATTGTTCAATTGTACAGGTTATCGTTAATGAAATGCGGGTCTTAATTTAGTTTCCGTAGCTGTTGTCGGGTTTCTTTTGTTAAAAGAAAACAGATAATTGTCCTTGTGTTTTTATAAATATAAACGGTTAAGTCGTTGCCTTTTTACACAAATTTTGGTTTATGTTTCGCAGCTTTAAGCCAACACAAACACGTACAAATGTTTTCCATTAGAGGTTTAACTATTTACACTATATAAAACGGAGAATGCGATTTTCGATTAGATATTATTTCTTTTGGGAAAAGCTGAGGAAAATATGATTTCCAATTTGAAGATATTGTTAGCCGTTCTTTTACTTTCGCTAGTGGAAGGGGTTCGTCAGAAATCTTGCCCAGACGGAGTCAGGGGTACACACTTTACCTTGAAGAAAATCTTTGGTAGACTGGAACGTTATGGAAGATTTATAAGGCCAACAACTAATGAATCGGCGCCAATTGAAGTTGGTTATCAACTAACTCCAATTTATATTAGCGCATTAAATACAGGAAATAACATAGTAACCCTTCACGTTTGGGAGACGAGAAAGTGGGTCAATTCGTTCATGAAATGGAGGAATTTTTGCAGCGTTAGCTTGAGAGTACCCGTTAAAAGAATGTGGATTCCGGATGTTGTTGTTGCGAATGAGTATAGAATTATAATATGAAGATGTATATTTGATTTAAGAAATCATTATAAATTCAATTTCTCTTCCCATTTCAATAGTTTACATACTTTACCATCAAAAATGGGTGAAAATGCTGCCGTCTATCATGATGGAACAGTGGTATGGGTAACAAAATCTACCATTCAGGTTTCAAATTTCATACTTTAATATATTCACTTATATATATTATACATCGCCGTTTAGATTCCGTGCGAAAGAACATCCTTGGTAAGTTACTCTTGTTCAGTTAAAGTGGGATCGTGGACTTATTCTGAAGATAAAATACTCTTAAAAAATGATGGATTAAACATGAAATCATTTCAAAATCAAAATATTATTCATATCGTAGATTCTAAGGTTAAAAAGAACGTTATTAAAGCAAATTTGCATAATTTTGCAGATTTAACTTACACTTTTAATATTAAAATAAAAAAATAAACGAATAATAAACAATAAATTTTCAATGCAGTCTTTAAGTTAGTTTTGTTATCTTATCGTTTTTCTTCTATCAATGATTTTTATTTGTGATTTGCGTAATCGTTATACTTGTTCCAATTACTTATAGAAAGTAACTCTTATATAATCTAATCTCTAGCTAACAAAATTAGTTCCTTAATTTTTATTAATTTGTGAATTTTTTTCTCCTTCTCTTTCGCTCTCTCTCTGTCTCTCTCTGTCTCTCTCTCTGTCTCTCTCTACCTTCTCAGTAACTTTCATTTTATTCGACGTTATCTAAATAGCTTAATATCTTCTTGAATAATAAATCACTCATTGAAATTAAACATAACTGTTCAGATATCAAAAATAACTTAGTAAACTTTTTTCAATTCTAAAAGTTCATCATTTTTCCTATCATCTTTATCTTAGATAAGAGTTGCTATAGTCTGTTGCTATGATAAACACAAATTTACTTTTTAAATCGGTTTTGCTTGGTCATATTCTGCGCATTTATTAAAATTGTTTGATAAAGGTAATAAAGGCATCATTCAAAACTTTTCGATCGAGATATGGAGAATAGTAATATTGAAGGAACAGAAGTTATTCAGGCTTTAGGTCGCCCTTTTCAACTGGGTATGCTATACAATGCTTATAGTGATACTATCGTCCCTGGCTTGACTCTATGGTCGAGAGAGAAACTTGATTCAGATATTGATACTAACGAGCATCCCTACACTGATTTTGATGTTCAAGTGGAGAATTCTTTTCAGAATAAAATTGAGGCTCTTGAGGCTAAAGGTCAGTTGAAACTATCTCTAATGCTAGGCTTAGCTGAAATTGGCGGGTTTGCTAAATACATGAATGAAACGCAAACGTCCGAAAAAGTTGCAAGAGTTACACTACGTTATAAAAGTACGACAAGATTTGATCAATTATTAGATCATACTAGTCCTGAAAATATCGAAAGATCGGAAAACTTAGACATAGATTATGCAACTCACGTTGTTGTTGGTATAACTTATGGCATGAAAGCTTTTATTGTTTTTGAACAAGAAACAACAGGTAAATCGGAAACGGATGAGATAAAAGGTAAATTGAAAGCCGAAATTGACACTTTTACTAATAGCGGTAAAGCAAAAGTTGGCAGTTCGGCGAAGACTGAAGACTCTGACGAAATTTCTAAAGTCAAATGTAAAGTTTTCTGCGATTGCCAGCTAGAATCAAATCCAACAACATTCGAGGAGGCAATTGAATTTTACAGGAGTTTACCAAGTTTCTTAGAAGGCGAGAATAAGGTGAAAGCTGTCCCTCAAGAAGTTTATCTACTTCCTCTAACGTTTTTGAGCGGCGATGCACTACCAGCAAAGCTGCGAAATGAAGCTCCTAAATTAAATATAGAAGCTTTTACAACCTTTCTTGAAAATGTGATATCATACTTAGACAGTTGCTTATCTGTCATAGACGAAATCTTTGAAGATGAGATTTCGCAAAATTTTGAGCACATGTATCGTAGATTGAGAAAATTCAAACAAAATGTAAAAAAGTATAAGGACGATCTTATCAATCTATGTAAACAAATTGTGCCCCTCAGTAGACGATCGAACAATAATTCTGACTTGGAAAAGATTGTAGAGGATCACAATAAAAGTCCATTTTTGGAGGATGTCCTAGAAAAATGGATAAATGAGTATCGCGACGAGGTGGCAATCTTAAAGGGTTTTGCTGAACGACTAAGTTCCGATGACGAAGAAAGTTTTAGGACTACACATGGTGAATTAGCTAATATTTTAATTCGTTCAAACAAGGTTGTCTGCCTTGAATTAAGAATTGAATATGATGGAGATGATATATTAAATATGATGGATAAATTCTTATTCGAACCAGACAATTCGGAGCTGTTAAATTTAGATAATTATCAAAAAGATGCTTGGTACAAAGAAATATGGCGCAATATCAATTCAAAAGTCATCGACTTCGTTGACTTTAGAAATAAAACAGAGGATGATTATAAATTTATAGTTAATGTTATCGCTCCTAATCAAAGCAACGAAGAACACAATATTGGAGCTTCAATACTCTATTACAAAGATGCCGTAATGATAAAAAAAGGACTTCCTGAGCCGGAAAAGCCAGCTGTGGTAGAGAAGCCAAAATCCAAGAGTTCATTTTGCAATCTTCTTTAAAGTAAACTCTTAATATTATAGTTATTTTATAAATTAATGATAGAATGAATTATATAAATCATTGTTAAATGAATGATATTGTTTTTTTATGTACTTATCACTATATGTGTTACGCAAAAGCTGAAAAAATAAATAATCAAATCTTTCATTAAAGTAGAAAGCACAGTAAAAATCGATTTATATTTTTCTATCCATCCAGCCTTTACACCAGACAATATTAAAGCTGCTACCAAGACTGAAGCTTTCTCCGCAGCTGGCTCATTCTTAAAAAGAACAAATGAATGTTTTTATTTTGATTTAAAGTGTTGTACAATTTATTTACCTTTTCTTTTCGTTTCAAGTTATACTTCGCTATTTGCATTAGTATAAAAGGAACCCAAATATTCTAGATAGAAAAATTTATTCAATAAATAAGATTTAAGAAAGAATTAAAACTGATTTCACCTTAAGAACGCAATTTCCAAAACCAGTGCAAAAAAGTATTCGTGTAATGATTCCTAAAATCACTAAAATAGCAAAATTCCTATAGATTCCCTCGTTATGATCAACTTTAACGAATTTTTCTGGTACAAGTGGCTCATCTAAAGGAAGAGAATGAAAAAGTTTCGTTAAGAGCATTTATTTCGCGTTAAAAATAATAGGAATAATTTGATCTATACTCTTAGAAAAGGTAAAAGAGCTATGAAATAATACACGAACTTATGGGAGAAGATAAAAATTGATCTCTTTCTGTTTCAACCGGTTCTTCAGCAGTGGAGGGAGGTAGCTTCTCACTCTCGGATGGATCGTTATTCTCAAGTTCTCCAAACTTGTATGATAGATCTTCCTCATCCAAGTTAGTTAAGTCATTTGGCTTTAAATCTTTAGTAAAAATTAAAGAAACTGATATGATTTTAAAAGACTAAATAAAGCTGATAAAAAAAATTACAGCATGTTCTCGTTCTCTTAGGAAATTACCTGGTTTAGCAATTCTTTCAAGTCTGCTTTTTGGATTTGAGAGAATTTTCTTCCTTCGTGCAGCTCTCTGATGAGCTCTTACGTCACTATCAGACATTGTAAGAGAAACTCTTTCCTTTAATGTAGCACTTTTGTTCCAGCCCAGAAAGGTATACTTTGAATGCTGCCATCTACCAGATGAACAATACCAGTTTATCCCGACCGCCATCATTAACTTATTCATTTTTTTATTTGTTTTTATTGCTACTTTTTATTATTTAAGCAGGATAACAAAGAAAATAGATTCATAAACATTTTAAAACAGAACAAATGGCACAAGGTGAAAGAAGCAAAAAAATAACTTCTATGAGATTATTTGTAAGTTTTTCTTCTAATAGTTAATTTTTAAATTCAACAACGGTCATCTTTCACTTATTGCTAAAACTGTAATTTAATTCTTCACATTTCGCTTCTAAAAAATTCCTAACTTCAGATTTCTTGAATTTTATAGCATCATCGAGAGGTGTAAATCCCCATCTGTCTTTGGGCATCAGATCAACTTTACAAATGTTAACTAGAAATTCAACGCATTCAATATGACCCTCTGCAGCAGCAATGTGTAAAGCAGTTCTTCCATCGTAATCAGCTTGATTCATGTCTATATCTAATAGATATTGCCTTGTTAATGCTGATACATCTCCTTTATAAGATCCAAAAAGTAGGGTTACTGTCTGCTGACCTTTTCTTTCGTGATGATGTCTTCTAGGATTCGCTTTCCTGTCAATTTGGTTGAGACTGTCATAGTTGTGGAAATTAAAAAGCTTTATGAGTTCTTTCGAGAACTCAACTCCTCTTACGCTATTTCCATGGCAATCTAGCCGTGGAGACAATAGAGCTATGCCCATCACATTAGGGACAACAATAAGAATTGCTCCAGCTATACTAGCTTTGGCAGGAAGCCCAATATGAAAGGCCCATTGTCCACTGTAGTCATACATACCACAGGAATGCATTAATGAAAGAGTATTTTGAACTGAGACTGTACTCAAAATTTTATCTCCGGTAATAGGACAAATTCCAGCATTTGCTAAAGTAGCGGCAATGATGGACGCACTTTCACAGGTTACTTCAGAGGAACAAAGCTGAAAGTATAAGTCAAGAGTTTCACTGAGATTTATATTCTCGGGGAAACATTTATTTTCCCTAAGATAATGGCCGAGAGCGTAATTTCTATACGACGTTTCTCTTTCCGACAGAAATCTGTTAAATGAACATTATAAATGTATTTTATATTCTCTTACACTCAAAATCTCCTATACTAACGAGGGATTATTAAAGCTTAGAAATCCATTCCCCGATAATCTCTTATATTCTTGAGTAATGTAATCAAATCTTCCAGCGATGCTCATGTTAGTTTTTAAGAGAGACACATTTACTATGGCACCAGCATTTATCATTGGATTGTGAGGTTTATTGTTTATACCTAGTTTTATTTCATTGGAGCTTTCACCGCTCGGTTCGTGACCAATATAACGATGGACTTTTTCAGGTCCCACGTCGTTTAATGCAATTGCATAATTCAGAGGTTTACTTATTGCTTGTAAACAAAATGGCTGTTTAGCATCTCCAATAGAGTGTCTCTGCCCATCAGTTGTACATAAAGAGACGCCCCAAATATTGGGATCAACTTTTTTTAATTGAGGTATATAGTCTGAAACCTTTCCTTGTCGTATAGCTCTTGTGTTATAATATATTTCCTCCACATTATCAATAAATTCAGAAAATTCTGGAATAACCAGTTCACTTGCAAATACCCTTCTAATTAACATGATATTTTCTTTAACACATTCTGTAAAAGCCTCCTTTGTCAGACCATTTTTTAACAATTGTCTCTTCTTAGGATTTGTTGAAGATTGTAACTCAGATATTTTCTTGAAACACTCTTTCAATCTTGGATCATCATCTTTAAGTCCAGCCGACTCTAAAGCCTATAAAAAAGAGATTAATTAATTAATAATTAAAAAAATATATGATTAATTAATTAATTTAATTTAATTATAACTTACTGAAATAAATTTTCGTATTGAAATAGTATTATTTTCATTTTTCAGGGCTTCGAACAGTTGATCCTCAATTGATTTATAGCTATTAACTAATCTGTTTAGATTGATAGATTATTTAAAAACAAGCTATATTCCACTTAAGACAAACAGGTTTTTATTCCGAGCAAAATGTTTTCGTAACTGCTATTTTCTATTTTACCAACCAAGTTTTTTAAATACAAAAGTTCGGGAAACAGTACACAATGGATTAAATAAAGCATTTGATCTAATTTTTGGAATAGTGTTCAATAAATTGTTCTGCGTACACATTATATTTAGTGTATTCAGCAATGAATTTAATTGTTTATTCAATTTAGTTTTGATCTTTTTTACTATTATCAATTGAGGACACATTACTATTTATATTTATATACACGGTGACTATTTCATTGAGAAATATTAAAGATTAAAATTACTTGTATAGCTTTATTCTTTATATAAATTCTTTGAAATAAGCGTATCCTTAAAAGCGTTTAGTCATTTAGTCGTTCATAAAATGAACAATTTCTAAAGTTATATTAATAATGTCCTTCGGTTGTTATGTTATTTATATTGTTCATTTTTACTAAATATACCTTATTTTTAGTGTCTGATAACAAAAACACATCTTACTTTTCCTTTTGTTCATCATTTATAGCCAAATTATATGCATTCTGTTCCTTAAAATGGGCTGAAAAACGTCTTCTACAAATTCTATCTGAAGATCTCACAATATGAGTTCGAATTGAGAAGACTGTTTTTAACATTTCTCCAGATCAGAGAGACGTGGTCTGTTTTTTACTAAACAAGAATTAGGCCTGAATTCGTGGCATTGTATATTAATGAAATATCGCTCACTTCACCGTCAACTGGTGAAGTATATCTTTTGCATGAGATTACCCTTTCTTACTCCAAGATGGTTTGATTTAATTTCAAGTAATTGATTTAATATTATATGTTATTTATAACTCAGTCACGTGACGGAAAATACAATATCACCACTTACGTAACGACTTTATTTGGAAAAAAATTGTTTATTTCCTTTTCCAACCTTATTTAAACATTTTGCAAGTTTCTAAACATTTTTCTTGTGATAATTAGCTAGAACATTATCCGACTAGAAAATAAAGAATTCGCACAACTAAGAGAAATAGATCAACTTTCTAACACTTTGTACGAATTTACTATTCGGATGCAAGCTACCTGAGCATAAATAGAATTTTTGTCAGTTAAATCCTACTTTGAGTAAAAACATACTATTGAATACTTCTATATTCTGATCTATGCCCAGGCGTTTACATGAAGTTGATTTATCCGTTTAATATGACACTGTTATTGCAATGGAATGTTACTAATTATCTCAATGGCACAACATGGAATTCTAACTTTGAAAGTTCCTTGGTGGAACTGCTGGCGGTGCATTAGGTCTAGCAGGAACAGGAGGAACAGTTTTATTAGAACTATCCTCAGGGGACATAGAATTTCTAGGTGCCGCGACAGGAGGTACATCTCTTCTTGGTGGAACAGCTGGAGTCGCCTTTTCACTTAAGGAATTTGAGCTAGCCGATCGTGGAGCTGGTTTAGGCGGAGTCGTTGGTGTCGATTTATCGGTTGCTGGCGGAGATGGTTTCTGGGGTTGCATTGGAGCTGGGAGATTTGCTGATGTCGGACTTGTAGGACTCATCAAGCTGTTTATAAGTTCTTTCATTTCAGCTGGATTAGAAGCATGACGATGAACGACATCAACAGGTTGACTTATTCGACTTGCCTTTAAATTTACAATATCAATAATAGCTCATGTCTAGATAACTCGAAATCATACCTGCATGGTCTGCTTTGATCCAGTAGGATGATTCCTCATTAGAACTGATGTAGGTCGATTTACTGGTGGAGCAGGACGATTTGGAGCAGGGGGAGGTGGCCTGGCAGGAGGTGCAGCCGGTCGCTCCGGAGGCTTCGGTTTATCCGGTTTCTGAAGGAAATAAAATTACTTCTAGTCCAATCAGTTTTCTTTGAAAAGTAAATACATACTTTTACAGAACTCTGGCGATTTTCGTTGTCTTCTGGCCTTGGACTAGGCTCACGGGATTTAGATTTTCCTGTTACTGCTTCTTCGTCTTCATCTATTGTAAATATTAATTATAAAATTTTGACTCCTTAAATCAAAAAACAAATAAATTTGTTAAATTTTTTAAATAGTACTTGAATAAAGAATTTAATAGATAACTCATTAAGTTGAAAAATGAAATTTCAAAATCAATGAAAATGAAATCAAAGCGCCCAAATGATCGTGGAGTAAAAAAAAAAATTATGCAAATCAATTTTCGCCGACTTATATTCTATTCGTGTTAAACCGTTCACATGATTGCTGCCAACTCTTGAGAAATTCTGATTTCAACTTCAAATTTGTATAGCAGGAGAATTTTAAAAGGTCAGTAAAGCTGACTGTAAAATAGTGAACGATTTTTTGAAGCGGGAGATTTGTTAGATAAACAGCGATTTGTCAGAAGCTAAATGATTCTTACTTGGAGATTTGAGGTCTATAAGATTTTCATTTACTATAAAATATTTGAGTTAAATAAGTTAGAAAACTGTTATCTTTTATGTACTTTAAATTACTGTTTTTAGACTAATGGACTGATAGACACTGTAAATTAGATAATATAGAAAAAATTAAATATTACCGTCAACATCAAAGGACATAGTTGGGAAGTTGGAATCTTCTCTTAATAAAGATAACCTCTTGATAAATTTAGAGCGACGATCAGTAGAACTGCTCAACTCTGGAACATCATCTTCGACTTCTTCAGCTTCATCAGCAACAGGTTCATCACAAATATCTGCTAATTTCATTTCTCTCTGTAAAATCTGCTTCCAATCGCCTGTTTTCAAGGTTACACGCATTTCTCTACCACCTATACTTAAACCGTCACTTTTGACAGCTTCCAAGGCTTCTTTACCCGATGAAAAAGTTATAAGGGTACTCTGTTCCACGAATCGCACTAAAATAATATTACCAGAAGCCCCAATAACTTGTATTATATTTTGGAAGCTTTCATCATCCATTCCAGCATTGTCCGAATAAAAAACCACCACAGTTGCATCCGATGGTCCTTGAAGGGATATTACTTCATCATAGACGTCAAAACGTCTCTCACTATTCACACGGATAAGTTCAACATCGTAGAGAGCCAACACTGGTCTATGATCAGACGTCTTTAACTCAGCTCGATTATAAAGCATTTGTGTGATTCCCTCATTTGGCTCAGCTGATTCCTCACCTTTGTAAAATAAACGGTAACTTTAATGTAAGATAAAAAAAAATCCAGACTATTTACCAATGTATTTAGGCCATGGTTTTTTTCGAATGAGTATACGATCGGTCCAGGCAGGAATGCGATTTTTTTCACTGGTGTCATAATCATTACAGAATAAATCATATTTGTAAGTCGGAGCAAAGTTTGTAGGAAATTCTAAGAACCCCTTGAAAACGCTTCCCAGGTTTCTTTGTTTGAGTAATTGATCTTCTGCCATTAATGTTTCGTATTCACCATGTTTTATCGCCTCCCTTACTTCACTATTTGGCATATCAATTCTATAATTTAAATCTCCACACCATATTATGTAATCGTGAGAGCTAATGGTTCTACCCTGTTAGAATAACAAAAAATATAATTCGTTAGAAGGAGCACAAATCTCTCATAAACTCAGACTATAAGTGTGACATCTTTCTTTATATTGTGCTTGTTCTACAATTCGACACTACTAGCTTGTTATTCAAACTTCTTTGAATAGCAATATACGTTCTCAGTGAGTCTACAACTAACATGCTAAAAAGTTAAAGTGAGTAGAAAAATATAAACTACATAGAACTGTGGCATGCACAATATCTTTTTATACGACAGCACTTACTCTACAGAGTTCCTGAAAAGATATAAACAAAAACTGGCTTTAATAACAGAGATAATGGATAATTATTATACAACAGTCGCTATCTGCCTCATTGCTTCAATAGCACACGTAGCACATCTTATTTTAGAAAATTGCATTAAAATAAATCAATTGGAAAGAACATATAGATCATTAACGCTACTTCGATAAATAAATCTTGTTCATTTTTTTGTACAGATTCTCATTGTAAGATCGATTTATCTTGATCATTGAACCTTGTTTCTGGTTAACTTAGTCATAGTCTGGTATATCAGTTCCCAATCAGATTAAAACCCGAGGGAAGTCTAAAATTTCCATGTCACGTATATGACTTTCTTTTTAAACAAATGGTACTCTTTCTTTTGTAAGCAAAAAATATAAAGAAATATTGTAAATTGAAATTTACCATTGGAAAATGTAGTTTCTGGGCAATCTCATGAAATTCTTGGTTTCTAGCTTGCATATGAGATTGTCCTGCACTTAAATGTGAACAAACAAAAACAAAGGAATTATGATGCATCACAAAGCGTATTGCAACTCCTCCTTTGTTGCCAGCGGCTCCTCCTAAACCAGTTTTAACTGAGTCTACACCGACGTCACTAAAGAAAGATTTCCTCTTTATAATTAATTTTTGTTTCATGTAAAAGAAATTAATTACCGGATAAAAGGAGCATGCTTAGGTCTAATGAATATATATAGGCAAACTCCGACTAATTGTATAGATGTCAGAAGAACGTATTTGTGATCTCTTGAAATAATATCTTGAAGATACTTTCCCCATTCTCTTTGATTTGTTGTGCTAGAATAAGATAATTAGATTATTTTTACTTTTCGTAATATATAATATAAAAAACAGGTTTAATAAAGAAAGCAGTAGACATTCATTACCTTGCATTCATAATATTACTTGCATTTAAATCAATAATTTCTTGAAAGCCAATCGCATAAATGTCAACAGGTCTATCATAGTTTATATTGTTTCGTAGAAGTTCTATAAAAGCGCAATATTTTTATATTGACAAACTTATCTTTCTATTTTTTTTAATTAAGGTAGTTATATCAGATAGTGCCTGGTACTTAGCATACCTGGTCTACTTTCACGAGTTAACTTTGGTAGATCTAATAGCCAGTCAGTTATAGATTCATGCTTGTGAGCAATAGATCTAAAATGTTTACCACCGTTCACATTCCAAGTTCCAACACTTATGCGAAGCTTTTCAGAATATGTATAATCAGAATGTCTCTCAACCATTGTTCGCAGAATAGACGGAGAGGCTTAGGAAAGTAATTTTACATAAATAAAAAATGATTATAAATGTCACTTGTTAAAAAGCTAGATTAATTGTAATGTCTGATTTATATTACGCAGTTATTGCAGAAATAACGTCACTAAATGCAGTCAATAAATATAATTAAAAATATAAATATCCATATTAGTAGAATTCGTTAATCTTATAATTTTAGACATCAATTGGTACCCACTACTCAAAATATAATTAGTAAAAAGAGAAATCATTATTCTTATATAAAACCGTTGCAAATTAATTAAAATTTGATATCCTATTCTAATAGCGTACAACTATCTATCACCTACCAATACTACAGTACATATTCATATTTTCTAAATCGACTTCATCCTGCTTTGTAAATTTTAGAGTGTCAAAAGCGTGTAAATACAAATTAGAATCGAAACTACAATATTAAAGTTAAAAGAACTCTCATAAAAAGAATATAAGTTATTTAGTATGTGTACCATGTAATGAGGTTGGGGTTAAGAGAGCCCTCGCTTTATCCGTGATATCTCCCCGTAATGTTGACCCCAATAATAAAATATCAATAGCTTCCTGTTTCGAACTGTCTAGAAAATTATTCTGGACTGTTCTACTAGCCGATCTAGCAGCATCGCTGGCTTTTGATCGTCCTCCTCCCAAAGCGCCCGTTCCAGCATAAATCCTACTGATATGATCTCCGTTATTAATCCACATTTGCTTATATAATTCTTGAAATCGGGAAACGAGTTGTTTTGACGTAATATCCAAGTATTCTAATTGTTTTGCCACGAGCTAAAAGAGATAAGTGCATATTTTAATTACGTACATTTCAAATTAAAGATTTACGACAGCACAAAGACTGTAAATTATTGGAATTATTAGACAGGGCACGTTAACGAAAAAACGATGGCTACAAAAAAATCAATAAGTGAACTGCATATTATTTTTTTTAGTACTGAATTCTAGACGTTTGAAATTGACAAAATTATCAAAATTTCTTTTGAATTGGAGAAAGTAAGAATGATTAGTTAGCATAAAGTCCAAAAGATATATGTAAATTCATGTTAAAGAGAACTTTTGGGCGAATGGCGAGTAATCTCTGATCCATTGAGACTTCCATTAGTATATAAATGAGAAAAACTCTCGACTAAGAATAAATATTTTAAATTATTGATGTCGGGGTAAAGAAAAATACGATTATGGTATAAGAGAGAAGATGTTTACCTCAAGACCAATAATTGATTGCACAGAATTCGTCCTATCAAGGCAATCAACGCAATTTGTTCGGCCTGTTCCGCTTTGGTTTAAATCAATTCTTGAACCATCGCAGCCGAAAAAGGAAAATTGCAATAGTCTTGGAAGAATCCTGCGCTTAAGCTTGTCCAAATTCTTAAGATTCCCTCCGCGACATTCGCTATGATAATCAAATGATTCCATAGGAATATCTTCATGATGAGGAGAAGCTCTGTGGTGATTCTGTCACAAGAGAGGTGTTAAAATTTTTCTAATGTAATTGTATTGAAGTATTGATATGAAAATATAGGGAAAACAAACTTACAATGTATTGCTGACTTAACATGTGCTCTCCTTCCTTACTACCTAAAAGATTGATTAGAGTTTGGTTTCCATACAACTCTTTTAATTGATTAAGATGTCTATCAAAAGCAGGGGCGGAAGCCTCGTAACCTCTGGACATTCTTATTTTATGAGAACCCATTTGAAAGCCAGGTTGTTCCCAGAACAATGGAACTGAACCTCTGACTTGAACTAGAGAAGAAATTTTGTCATCTAAATATATGACTTGTTCTGTTTCGACAAAGTTTGCAACGTGACCATCATCATTAACACCTCTCACATTAAATCTTGTGCCAGCTCTTTCACAACTTAATCTTGAAATAAGGCAAGCTTTTGCCGACCTATTCGCAGCATACACAGTTCTCATTTCAACTCCACCGCACATTACTTTAATAAGCCAGTTATCAACATCAACACCATATCTCTTAGGTAAAACATGAAGAGCTCGATTCCTTTTTTTATGTAAAAGAAAGACTTTAATTACCTTTGAATTTGACAAACGTATCTTTTTTTATTTTTTTTATATAAATAGTTACAATCAATCAGAGGACATGAAAAGAGCAAATTAACTCACCAAAAAAATCGATTGTCTGTATCAGTAGCTTTAGTAGCCTTTTGGGCGCATAAACTTAGATCAAATTGAATAGAACTCGCCGGTGACCAAGAAAAATAAAACGTTCCGGAATTTAATAGCTTTCTAATCTATGAAAAATACAAATGAAGAGTTAATTATTCCCCGCTTTAAGTAGAATTATTACCTCTGATATCTTATCATCTTCTTGCAAGCAGTTTCTTAAAGATATAAAATTAGTATTGGTTATACGAAATATCTCAGCATCTCCAATTTTCCCGATTGAAGACGAATTAGTAACGACCACAAGGTACAGCAATGTTTCATCGCCTGTTTTCATAAAATTGATTTTATTTTATTTGCAGCTGATATGGCAGAATTTTTACATAAATCAAGTAAATAATTTATTATTGAATTACATAAAGATATTCATTAAAATATGAGAATGGAAGAGATTTGCTAATTGAAATTTCAATATGTCAATATGTGTACTACACGTGGATGAATATTGAATATTTTTGCTCAGTTTCCGCGTTAACATTTTAAACATTATTAGTTTATAATGGAATATCGGTTAAATTCTTTTATATAATCTTTAATGGTATAGAAAATTATTTATGAAAGGAAATTCTTCAAAGAGAAATATTTAAAACATATTAGGACTTTTTAATATTTGCCAGAGCAAATAAAATCAGGATTTCGAGGAGAGGAAGAAACTATCTATAATCGTTCTTTCACAGATAGATAAATGGAAGTATGACTAATGATCGTTTCAATAAATCTCAAACACAATACATATTGCAAGTGGTAGACTAGTTCCTTAACTATACCTATTGTTATTGGTAATACTCCAAGACATCCATAAGCGTCCATAGCTTTTAGATAGTTTTTCATAACCTGCTCGGTCTCATCGGCGTCTATGTTGAAATGTTGAATATGTTAGATAATAGATTACTGTTGAATATAAGTGTTAATAATAGAAACTTACTTAAAACAGCTATAGCACCGGATTCAAATAAGAGAGTTTCATCTCTTTTCCCATCCTTTGACTTTTTTTCCAAAAGGACACTATAGGGCGGTGATAATTTATGGTAAACTCGAAAATTTCTAAGAGCCATTAGAACTGAAGATTCCTTTTATTTTACAAACAGTAAAATTTGAGTTTTAATCCGAGTATTTAGAGTATGAGAATTTTTTGTTCTAATGCAGCATTAATGGAGATTTTCTCATTTCCCGCTTCAAAAGCTTAAAAAGCTACCATTTCCTTAAGGGTTCTGTGATAATTCGACCTAATATCGCGAAGACGGGTTCCTGTCTGATACATAATTCGTAATTCTAATTCGGACGACGGGTAACTGAATGAAAATAAACTAATTGGGAAAAAGAGATAATACCAGTTTTTACCAATTTCGCGCCAAAGTATAAATATTTCTTAACGACTTTAAATTTCCGAATATAAGAAATCAGAGTGTTATTAGTTCATAGGATACTGACATCTAATCAAAAGAGATAAATTGTATGGATAAGATATGAATTTGAATAGACACCACTGATTAACTACTTTGATAGCTAGCATTACTCATTTATTTGAAATAGTTTCGTGTTGTATTGATAACAATTTAAAGTCGCATAATATTCTTAGCCAAATGATTTTTCATAAGTTAAAGCTACTGACAAAATTTACTGATCTGATCCCTTCGTTAAGAAATATAGGAAAATAAAAATATATGACATAAGTTTATGCTATATGCTGAATATTTAACTCTACAATTTTCTGGTATACATTCGTCTTCAGAAACCTTATAAGGCTAGAGTGTTTAAACCGCCGCATAGAAGTTGACCTCTATCTAATCCAATGTAGCAATCTTTAACTTGTTTATCTTTTCCGTTCACGGTAAATTCTAATTTTGTGCTGTAGAAACTATTCAACAAAGAAATTTTGAGTTAATGACCTTGAAAGTTTTATCAAATTTATAGTTTTTTCTTTACTCACAATTTAGAACTCATGTCATTTTCCACTTTAAGAAAACCTTCAATGACATCTCCTTTCTGTACTTGCAAATTTTTTTCCAAGTATAAAACATCTTGTCTCCAGTGTGTTGGACTAGAAAGAAAAAAGATATGATTATTTCAACTAAAGGAAGCCTACACTATTGAATCCTTACTGATCTGTTGGTCCAGTGCTAAAAGAAATGCCATTTGGGAACGTTGCCGTAAACCATATTGCGAAACCTTGGATATCTGTTGAACGATTCATAACGAATTCAAAACGTCCGCTGCAAGTTGTAGAGTTTTCAAATTTTAGTGTTTTGAAGTCAATACGATCGACAACTGCTGGTTTTGCTTTTACAGTTTCTGGACGAATCAGCTTGCAGTAGACTTTCTTTGCGCAAGATTTACGGAAATAATCCGCCAAATTTCCAAGATCAAGATCGTAGAGAGAATGAAAATTGTTTAGCAATTCTTCTCCTCGAGTTATAAATTCGTTATCAGCGATGGGAGCTATGTTCAAGGTTGCATGAGAAGGAAGCATAACGCCATCCGGCTTCAAGAATTTATCTCTAGCTTGAACCAAAAACGGGAAAATAGCATCACCAATGAGAGCGGTGCCCAAAACTTCACTAACAATCACATCAACCTTTTCGGGAAGCTCAACCTCTTCGGCAGTAGAATGAAATGCTTGAATAACATCTTCGAGCTTGTTTCTCTTGACATTTTCAACAAGTAGGTTGTAGTTATCGTTAGGCTCAATAGCATAAACTGTTTAACATAATATATAGTTTACTTCAGAGAATTTTATTTTAATTGATTATCAATCATCTAACCTCTTTTAGCTCCAGCTTGAGCACACCACATAGCTAAGATTCCTGTACCACTCCCTACGTCAGCGACAACTTTACCTTTTAAACCATCACCATTTTTAATGCCATTATAGAAGTTTCTCATTTTTGAAATGCATGATAGCATTATGAAATGATATTGAAAGTCGAATTCGATACTATTATTCAATTTTAAAAATTAGTACTATAGAAATCTAATACTGTAATTACAATTTAGTCTACTTACTCCATTTGTTTTCCTCTACCAATTATCGATGTACTATTTTCAGAAGACATTTTCTACTGATTTTTGAATAGATGTCATATAAACTAGATTTCATTCGTTATATAGTACCAGAAGTAGAGTTTATAGAATTTGATTGGTTAAGAACATTGCTTTTTATATTAAAATTATGTTATCATTGAAAGAGTGTACTTACTTGACTTATCTTTTGTTATCAAATCGGCTTTCAATTTCTGATTAGTATTCAACATGTTTCATTCTAATCTTAAATATTTGATGCCTCAGTAGGCTGAAGAGAAACTTATATTTAATAAATGGTAATGATTAAATAGCAATTTTTCGATAAACTTGGTCATATTTATTCAAGTTTTTCATGGAAATTCCGCATAAAAAGGGACATATAAATTAAAGATAAGAAAGATAAACTACTAAAATACATTTCAACTTTTCATTATCTTTTTAAAAATTAAATAACAAGTTGTTAGAGCAAATTCTGTTCATTTATGTCAGTCAAGTACTCGTTTTATAATTCTTTACTTTATCCATATATCCATACATTCATGAATTGCGTAAAAATTACATAGCAGCTTACAAATGAAAGCGTAAATGTTGAAGATTTAAATATATTTGCATTTGAGTACTTTTCATTAATTTGCTGTTCAATGTCTTCTGCAATTGCACCTATAAGAAAATTTGAATAAGATTTATCCACAAATAATTAGAAAAAAGAAAGTAAAAAATGTTATCAACAAATAAGATAGATAGATATTTACAGCCTGATCTTATAAACTTTAAATTTTTGGTTATAAGATTTAATTCTTCTCGAAAAATTTCATTTATCTTTTTGTATCCATTTTTGCATTTTTTCTCGGACTGTTGGCTCCGCCCATTAATTTCCAGGTAAGATTCATAAAAATTACACTTTAGATAATGTAGCTTGCCTGGTTCAACTTTATCAGGAATTTTGTTATATTGCTTAAAAATTTCAGAAAATTCTCTTGCGAGTTGGAAAGCGCATGAAGGCAATTGACATAATAACTTCTTATGGGCTGGAATCCACCAAGAGTAATACGATTTAAAACGTCTTTTAAATTCTTTACATTCTTTATTTTTACTTAGCAAATTTAATGAATTTGTATAACATTGTTGAAATTTATAAGTAAGGCACAAATTTTCATACACTTTTAAACAATCCGATAATTCCTTCTCCGCCTTATCAGCAGCTGTCAGGCACTGTTCATATGTACATCTGTAATTTATCCATAGATATTGTTTATTTTCAAATGGTCCAGAACATTGAGATTTTGAAAATTTGTCTCCATCCATATAGTATTTAGAATCAGCTATGAGTGTACATGTTTGTCGACCTCTACAAAGACTATTGACTTTTCTTAATACCTCATTAGAGTCTGAATAACATCTAAAGGAATAAAAAGAGAAAATCTAGATTATTTGATATCATCTAATAAAAAAAAGAATTACACTCTGTCTATATCTATCGTCTCATTCTCATCAAGACATGACAAGTCATTGTGCCTACCAAAAAATGTAGCCGAGGGCTCTATAACATAACCCCGAGGACATTCTACTGTTTTAGGCCCTTGCTTAGGGCAAATAATTAGAGAGCTTTTCGGTTGACACTCATAAAGGGTGACTAAATATGGTTTATCTTCCTCGGTGCATCTTCTATAAGTAAAGTTGAGTCCATTCCATTCGTCTATTGTATTTGGAACTTTACACGAGTTCTTTAACTGGCATCTCTTTATCATTTTTTGCATACCATCAACGATATCAACCTGACATCTAAATAAAAAAAAATCATATAGACTATCTCTTTCGATCGGTATTTTTTTTTAGGACATTTTTCTTACGGTCCTTTGAAGGTTGATAATATATCTTTTTCACATTTAGAATCATTAAGTTGCAAGCGACCTCTTAGAGTCGACTTAATATTAATTAGTTGACCCCTGGGGCAGGAAGGTTCGAAAACCTCATTAGAGCATATGTAAGACGTTGTCTGTTTTACAGAATCTTCGCATAAGTAGTGTACCTTTAAATATGTTTTAACATCTTCTGGACATTTCTCTTTATGCATACCATCAAAGCCAGAAAAAATTTCTTTATCAACTTTGAAAGAACATAATCTCCTATTTAAACATTTTAATCGAATTGCGGAATAAACAGCTCTAGTATTGAAACGACAATATGAAATATTGTCCTTCTTCTTAATACCATATTCATATTCCTCATAATTATCTCTGTCTGGTGGAAGACATTTTTCGGCAAGTGATCGCCCATAAAAGACGCCTACAGGAATTATTGTATAGTCTCTTGGGCATTCTAAAAGCATCCAATCGCCATCACAAGCTTGCTTCAAAGAAATCCCTTTTTGAAATAAACATTTATTAATAACAATGAAGACGTCTCTTTTGTTCGTTGTTTTGTTTCATTCTACATACGTTGACAGGTATAATCGACCATAAGAAAACGTTTAAGACTGGTAGGACATTCCTGAGGATTCCAAGTTGAATATGCCAAATTAGAGTTTAATGTATTATCATTAACATCCTGTTCGCAAATATTCCTCCTGTTGCAATTGTTTTCTAGAATTGATTGCACATTTAATATACACCTGTTCAAATACAGATAATTAATTATTCTCTTCTAATAAGGCTTAGGAAATATATAAGTTAATATTTGGCGGGAAATTAAGATTCTTAACCTTATACTAGATGCTCCAGCAGAACAAAAATCAGATCTAACTAGAGTTGTTTCTCTTCCATAATATGCGTTTAAAATCTTAATAGTGTAACCTTCGCCACATTCAATCTTCATCTTATCGCCTTGACAGGTGATATTGACAAATATATCTCCTTCGAGTCCAAAACCTTTGTTTGTTGACATTAATTGAATATTTAATACATTAATTGAATATTTAATACATTATTATAAAATTTAACCTTGAATTGTAGAAATAACATGGATGAAATAAGATAATTTGTACCAATTCATGCCAGTATAAACTATAAACAAATGAATTAATTAAAAAAATTATGATGCTAATTGACTTTTGAATATAAATATTATTATTTTATGTTTGTTTTTATTTAAAAAAAAAACTTTTGAATGAATTTTTATCAATTAAAACATTAAAATTTGTTTTGATTTACAAATGTTTTACAGCGTTAAACTTTCCTTTTCTTTTAAATATACTTACGATTTAATGTTTTTATATATTAGTATATATATACAAAATGTATTTTGTAGCATTAGTAATAAGTTTATAAGTTTATTCTAAATTTAATTATAGTTCGTTGAATAGAACAGTGTCCTTACTCAATAATCTATGGCAATTTGCCTATTTCGAAGATTATTAAATCATTCAAATATATCTCAACATATAAGGTAATGTTCTGTTTTGTAATATACTTTTTTGAACTAATTGAAAAAATGTAAAACAAGTTGTATATAAAGAAATATTTATTTCTTTTGAGCGATATTAGATGAATTAGTGTAACATGTGCGCAATATTTCCAGATTACGTAAGCTTATAAAACACATAGAAAGAAGTACACTAGCCTCTGCTCGAGCTAAAGATATGAAAAATGAAAGAGAAGCAAATAGTCAGATTGACTTGAAAAAATTCTCATGGATTAAGCAACATGCACCTTGTTTTCGAATTCAACCGGATCATGTGGATATTATATACGAACCAGCTGAATTTTATGATACGTTAAAGGTAAAAAGGAAATATATAATTTGATTGTTAAAAAAATGATCTTAGTCCCAATTTCTCCAATTTTTTTAATCAATTAGGACCAAGTATCTAGAGCCAAAGATAGAATTGTTCTTTCATCGTTGTATATAGGAACAGGGCCCAAAGAAGTAGGTCTTATTGACGAAATAGAAAAAGCACTCAAATCGAACGATAGATTAAAGGTTACAATTCTAACTGATTTCACACGGGGAACTAGAGGAGATCAGAATACGTGTACGCTTGTACAAAAATTAAAAAATTATAATAATGTGACAATTTGCATGTACCATTCACCCGATTTAAGGGGAATCCTAAAGAAGATACTTCCGCAAAAATTCAATGAGGTGGTTGGATTGAGTCACATGAAGGTATATATGACGAAACTTTATACTGGTTATCATATCTTATATATTTATCTTTGTATAATAGATATGTGTTTTTGATGACAATTTAATAATGACGGGTGCTAACCTTAGTGCTGATTATTTTACGAATAGGCAGGATAGGTACTTTCACTTAACACATTGCAAACAATTAGCAAATTTCCTAAGCGGTATTGTTCAAGTTGTTTGCGAATTTTCTTTTCATTTAAACAAAAATGGATTATTATACTTTCACAAGGAAACTGAAGATTTTGAAAAGGAAATTGACTTTCATCCTTTTGATGGTAATTTCATAAATTAAATTCATTTATACAAATGTAATAACCTCTTTTTTTTAACTATTTACTTTAGACAATATTGATCCAAGCGGTGAAAATTTCAGAACTAAATTTCATAGAAGTATGGCTGAACTTGTTGAAAAATTTAAAAATGAACCGACGTCTTCTCAGAACGACCAAAAAACAACTGTTGAAATTTACCCTTTGATTCAAATGTTTCCTATTAATATTGATGTTGATAACCGTGTTACTCATCAATTAATAACTGATGCATCAGAATCTGCAACAATTCACATTACGTCAGGCTATTTCAATCTAACACCCGACTTCGAGGATGCTGTATTACAGTCTACTAGTACATTTTCAATTCTAACCGCATCTCCAGAAGTAAACGGATTTTTTGGGGCTAGGGGAGTATTGGGTGCTATTCCCGACGCTTACACTCTCATAGAAAAACAATTTTTCGAAAAGCTTGACAACGAGAGTAAAATTGAAATATTCGAGTATTTTAGGAAAGATTGGACTTATCATGCTAAAGGAATGTGGTTCTATTTTGAGAATAAATTATATCCGTCATTGACTCTTATTGGGTCGCCCAATTATGGTTAGATATTAACAATAATTGATATTGTTCAATATATATTTGAATATTTACTCTTTCAGGATTTAGATCAGTTTTTCGAGATTTAGAAGTTGAACTAGCAATTCTCACCGACGATTTGAGTCTCCAAATGAAACTACATCGAGTAATTTTGTTTTTTAATTTCCTTTATTAATCACTAAACAAAATCCATTACTCCATCAGGAACGACTTAATTTATATAAAAAATCAACAAAAGTTAGTGATGAAACTTTTCAAAGACCCTCTAGAAGAATACCCTTATGGGTGAAGTTTGTAACAAAATATATTAGAAAATTTTTCTAATTTGTTTGTAATGTTCTCTTTTGATGAAACATCTTTTTTTTAAGTACGATATGTATTCTGCCATGTAATAAAAATTTGCCTACATGTACGCTGCCCAACCGAGATACATTTGGCACAAATTGTTTTCATCAGTAGCCTCTTTAATGAGTAGATCAACGTGACCATCTGCTGCTAAGGGTAAACCCTTGGTTTTCCTCTGGGAACTCTTTAAGTAACCTTTTAATCGTTCATCAATCATAGCAATGCTAGTTCTTCCTTCTTCATTCTTCACTTCTCCCTGAACATTTAATTTGGCTTTTGAAGTTCGCCATTCAACCAGAGGGTCATACAGAAATGACGAGAGAACCGTCATAAGAGTTTCCTTCTGCTTAACCATCAAGTTTAAAGTATTTACAGCAGCTTGGTGGAATAGACCTCGAGTTCCAAGAGGTCCCATTGCCTCTACCATGTTATGAGTCAACCTGAAAGGTACTAACTCCGGAAAATCAAAAGTTTCGCCTTTGTTGAACAAACAGTTAAAGTCGACGTGAACAACTTCGCCAGTTTTACTATCAAAAAGAATGTTTTCACCGTGACGATCTCCCAAGCCTAAAATATATCCAACAACACTCATTGTTGCTACAGATCTACAGTACAAGAGATGAGCATTAAACCATGCTGTAGAATCAGGGAATGTCCTCAAAAACCATTGACTAAACACTGACGGATGACAAGGCAAGAGATTCTCTTTGAAGACTTTTAATTTCTTCTCAATTGGAGTTGAGACTGGTAATTGCCATTGTTTTAATTTAGCTCCTGAAACATACAGTCGCTTCTCTTTGTATAATTTCAAAAGTATATTCCGAAGGCCATTGGTGTTCTTAACCCATTCCAACAAACCACATTCTTCATTTAATGGTATTACGGCATAGGTTCTTATTCTAAGTCTCCTTCTCCTCGACTCTGGATCCCTCTGAAGAATAGTATTAACTAAACTATTAAACTCCATCAGTCGAGCGTCTTTTCTCAAATCGTCTTTAGGTTTTGCCAGCATGGGATAAAGATTTCCATCAGAACCCTTGAGAATTATTTTCTTCGGCCTTTGTAGAGAACATAAGACTTCTATATTATCTTCTAGCCCCCTAATGTAAACAGGCTGATAGGGAAAAGGATTGTCTCCAGTTAAGTGAACTGTTAGCTGGCTCTGAATCGGTATCAATATATTTGATAATTGATTGGATGAAAATATTTTTTTAAGAGCTTTAAAATCTCGAGGCAAACTTAATGATTTTTCGTTACATTTTCTATTGCACAACTCAATTAAACGATGTTGTAGGTTGGCCATATCCTTTAATAATAATGCTAGAGTAGGATTTCCATCTTTAACTTGATCAAGGATTTCCATGCAACGAGCTTTTCTCGTCTGATAGGTTGACTGTGAAACAGCTATTATAAGCCATGCAGCTTGATATGGATAAGAGTTCAAAACTTTAACAATTATTGCGCTAAGTTCTCGATACGTGCTATTATGAGCATGACATATTCTAGATACAAGTTGAGGGAAGGCAGTCATAAACTGATATGGTGCAAGAGATTCTTTCAATTGAGAAACAAGGCCAACCACCTGATAAAGAAAAAATATGTTATTATTAAAATGAAAATATTGAAGAAATCTTAGTTCGAATATTTTCAATTTTCAAGATACCTTGCTTATTGTCTGTTGGTCGGCTCCCTCAGCCGTGAGATCCATCCAAAGTGTTAAGAACCTTGGCATTGTTCGATAAATATTTTTCGAACCCCTTTTCATCGCCTCCCCTAGGTTTAAGACAACCCTATGAATAAATTCAGGCTTCTTTATCATTCTATCTTCTTGTGCCGTTACACAAGTGTTCATGATCTTATCATAATATCTGGCCATTGCAACAAAAGTATCTTCCATACGGGAATTCATATCACTAGCTTCTTTGTACTTTTTCATTATATCATTAGATTCTAAAGTTGCATCCTCTTCCTTGTAATTATTTAACAATAGCAGTAACTCAGCACATTTCAACCTATCATCTTGAGAACCCATTTTGACGTAATGAAGATCGGGATAAATGCTTGCCAATGATTTTTCTAAGTGTGACCTGGCTGTTGAATTTTGACCTTTCTCCCAAAGCCATTTTGCATATTGAACTGCATGTTCAGATCTGTTATTCAATTTTGGGTTTAATGTATTTCCATAACAAATCTGTTGAGATGTTTAAATACCTTAATTTTGAAGATGTTTCCCCAATTAGCCATGTTTGAGCTATCTCTGTCAACCCGCATTCCATTGCTGTGCGAGCCATTTGCAATCGAGATTCGGCGATTAGAGTCGAATGATCCTCACCTTTTACTCTTTCTCGAAGTTTCAGAAGGGATAATCTATTATAAATAATTGGCTCATGAGTTTGGACTAGCGTTTGAACAGTTTCAAGCCTTGATTTCCAAAGATCAACCTAAAGTGCAGAATAATAATCTATTGATTATTTTTGTATGAATATTATAGATAAAGTTTTACTTGTTTAACTGATGAATAAAATCTCTCAATTTCAGTAAGAACATGTAATCGTACAAGAATTTCATAAGACCGTTGATAGGAACCTTGCTCAAGGCTTGCTGCCGATAAGGGTGCCATTAAAGCAGATCGGGTTTTATTCAGCTCATCACGAATATCACTTTGTTTCCTTAGACCAGTAAATATTCTGCAAAGACAAGAATTCCAATCATTTGATGCGTCCTTTGATAACTCCTCTACATCATCCCATTTGCACAACTTCCATGCAGCTTCTTTTCGAAAAGCTTTTAGCTTTTCATTATCTTCAGTCCTTACTAATGACCACACATTGTTTAATTGGCCGAGTGACATTTGACATCTCAATGCCCCAGCTTTTAAATTAATACTCTCTTCAGCAGTTGAAGTTTGTAAAGCTAAATCATAGCAAACAGAGGCTGATCCTAACTCTCCGTTGCTTTCAAAGCTTGCAACTTGGTGAAGAGGAGACGAGTTATCTCTTCTTATCTCAACAATACCTATATTGATATATAAATATAGCTAGCGTTGACTAGGGAATGTTACAAGTACCTTTAACTCCATCTGGCTCATTTAGAGCTAAATAGAGTGATTGTAAAGAGTCTAAATGGGCCGATTTATCTTTCAAATTTCGCATATGGATAAATAGATGCTTTATAGCTCTACAGTTGGCCTGACAGGCGGAAGCTGCAGCACAAATCAAATCATTGGGCACCTTGTTCAAAACATTATCTATTTTCTGTTCTGGCTTATGGATAATGAACTTATTTAAATGGTCCAGAAGTGAAAATATAGTTTGAACTCCTAAGCATTGCAGTTCGGAAGACGCTTTCCACTGAGCAACGACAACATTTAAAACCGTCAAGATTTCTTGAATTATAAATTGTGTCATTTCTTGTGATCCTGAAATAGATGCTGTTTTTAAAGAGAGCTTTCTAGTAAAAAACACAAATACTACCGTCAATAATTACATGAGATGTTGCATATGGTAATAGAAAGAGAGCGATTTGTCTATCGTATTTAACAATACCCCTACAGGCTTCAAATACTCTCCCAACCCTTCCGGTGGTTTGCGACATCAAGAATAAACTAAAATTAAATAACCAATTTTCAAAATTTTCAGTATTACTAAATATTGGAGTCTTGATATTTTTTGAATCATATCCCGCCATTAATTTAAATCTTGACTTTTCCATTGGTGATACAATCTCACATATTTCTCTAGGTAATCGCCGCCAAACTTCCCCTGTATCTTTCATTACTTCCTATAAGGATATGATTGTCATTCCAAATCTTGGTAATTTTAAACAATTAAAAACAAACCTGAATTGCGTAAGCAACATTATCTTGAATATCTCTTGTAGATGCTCTTAAAAAACATTTCGCTAATTCCATCAGAAGATCTAAAGTAAAGTCTGAACTTATAACTGATAAATGAAAACATTTATCCGAGGACGACTCCTGGGATACTATTCTGGCTGGATCAATTGCCCCCAACTCTCCTAAGCATTCGGCAATAATAATTCTTGTTTTTTCATCAGCATCAACACAACAATGTAAAAGTACATTAATAAGCTTGCATAGCGTTTTCGGAACAACCGAATCTCGAGTTTTCAGTTTATAAATAAAGTTTTCATTTTTTTCCAGAACTTTCGTCAACCTCCTTAAGGAATGCATTCGAACCTATAAAAATATATCATTGATTATTATTAGTTTAGCCAAAGAAAGATTATCAAATGTACCGTTGCACTTTCGTTCATAACAGCATTAGATAGCATTTCCAGTTCTTCCAGGACGTCCTCCTCTGTCTTTACCCTTATCCTATAATTTGCGATAACTCTCTCAATCTCTTTTAATTCAGGCTTTCCACTAGGTAGAAAGAACAAGTATTTTAGAGAATTATCCACATCTTTCTCATGTTCAACGATTAAATATCGAAGTATATGGGCAACTTTTGCTTTTCTCTCATCGAAATATTTCATAAGATGACAAACAATCGTGGGCAAGAGAGGACCGACAGTTTGAAAATTCAAACAATGGACAAATGCACTCCACGCTCGAAGACAAGCCTCCTTCAGAGCTGGCTCTTCACCACAAATTTTTAGAGTTGTAATTACTCGCATACGTACTGGCGTCACTCTTTCTCGTCCCATTAATTTTAATAACTCCACCAGAGAATCAAGTAATTCTCTTTTTCGTGATTCAGAAGTGTAGGTATTTTGAAGGGAATCATCAAAATGAATTAATAAACCTAAGATCATAAAAGAAATTTTATCCGTTAGACAATCGAAAAGCAAACTCTGAAAGGATTGTTACCTAAAAATCGAGGCTGTAGAAGGCTAGCAATTGAATCTAAACTAGCAGGACTGTCTTTGCGAATATTTTCGTCATATTGAATAACAGTAAGACTCATGCCTTCCAAAATATCTTTCTTATACTTTCCCAATTTTGATATGAGTTCGAAATAAACTTCATGTAATTGTCCAGAAATTAATTTGGAAATTTCTTTATTAGTAATATTTCTAATAAACATAAGCGCCTCTTCCAACTCTTCCTTATTGGAATTACAAAATAAATATGATAAGACCATTCCAATATGATTTGATACGATCGTTGATACTTCCTCATTTTGAAATTCGGCTAAGACCTAATATCAGAAGAAATATTAATATCGTTTAATATTTATCTAAAATTTATTCACCCTTAAGATCTCAGCACTTTTTCCTGTAGATTCCCGAACAAGTCTTGGAACAGAATATTCCAACATTCTTTGAGAAATTTGATGTTCAAATATTTGAGATAGATGACCGAAAACTTGACAGCATGAGTTTAATTCTTCCGAAGGAGATTCCATTAAATTTTTTAACAGGAATTCACAAATTTCATCAGCGAACGAGTAAAATATTTGCTTTGGCTTTCTACTTGCAGTTTTAACTAGGCTGTGTAAAGTTAAATCAGCGACGCTAACCACATATAACCCTTGACCACCTTTCCATACAGCTATATTTCTAATAAGTTCCATTATAATATGAAGCTTTACAGATGAAACTAATTAATATTAAAAAGAGATATATTTATTTTAATTATTACCGATGGTTCTTTCATTTGTTCACCAATTTTTCCCAAGATTTTCATTAAAAATATCTTTAAGAAAAATTAATATATCTTGTATAATAATAAGAATAATCATAATAATAATAGTAATAAAAAAACTAACCCTTTGATAGCTTTCAAGATTACTTTCCATTGTTTCGCAAATTTGTTTAACTAAAGCATTTTTTAATTCTCCATCGCATATACGAATACAACCAGATGCTGCAAGATTTCGAATACTTTCAACTTCTGAGAGCAAAAAATTTACGTATAACACTAGAGCTTTCAAAATATTAGTACTATTTTTAATATGATGTGCATGATTTGCCAATCGAAAGAACGATTTTATTAAAACTGAAAAAATTAAATTATATTAAAATTAAAAATACCAATATTATAAAACAAACTTTCTATTAATTCTTTATTATCTCGAATCCATTCCTTGTCGTATAAGTCCAACCAACATTTCCATAATAAATTGATTAAAGGATGATCTGCAGATGATTGATTCATTTGAGGTATGTTGCAATCACATACGTCACAAGCGGACTCGTAAGTTAGACAATAGTCTTGACATTTAAATCTTGATAGAAAAGCTTCTATTAGGCATCAAGCAAGGTAGAATTTCACACTTACAGTTTGTAATTTATTCTCTTTGATAAACCACAAGGCAATAATGGTAAAGCTTTTAAAAATGTTACTAGCATTTCTTTGTCTTTTTCGTCAGTAATTAAACTGATAAAAAAAAGTTATAGTTATTTCTAGAAACGATTTAAAATAATAAACCTCAGAGATTCTTTAAGTGATTGCAGTCGATGGTTTAGATTAATAAAATGTGGAAGCAAAGACACGGATTGCTTTCTGATAGATTCATTTGCTTCGCTCTGAGAAAGTAAGATGAAGTTAATTAAAAATAAATTATAACTCATAAAAAATATGACTTACTAAACAACCATTAAATATTTGGCTTCTCCAAGATATACATAAATCTTTGTCAATGAACACTATCAAGTGTAAACAGAGTAACTTAACTTTTATATAATCATCTCTATTTTGAATATTTCTATTGGCTTCTTCTAAGACCTTACTATCATCAGGTGTAAAATCATAAAGGGAATAGTGATCAGATATCCAAGGTATTGATATCAGCTCCATGAAAATTTTTTTCTTAATAGCCCAATTTAAACATCCTCCAATCAATCCATAAAAAGTCTTCCCTAACAATGTGTATTTGCTAACACCAGCTTGCACGAATCTTAGTACACCCCCTTTAACTCGATCATCATTTGTAACATCAATTTCGCACGCTGATATCAAATTTACATGCTGATAAATATTCTCTAAATTTGTTTCATTAACTGGACGCATTGAAAAATCAAAACTGTTTACTATCTTTGATGCAGTTTCTGATCTACCAAGCGAGCTATTCTCTGCCATAATCAAAGCTCTTAATAGATCTGGAGGTTGTTGCTAAATGTAGAAAAAATATCTTCAGAATGGTACAAAACACAAAATATTTCAACAGTTTATACCTGTAAAGATATGTTCCCATAAAGCCTTTCAAAAATTATTTTATAATACATTCCAAAATTAGGGGTTGCTAAAATTTTCATATCTAACTTCAAGTGACTTTGTAATATTTTTTCAATATCTTTTCTATTTGACTTGTTTAACTTTTTCAATGTATCTTCGAGTTTATCGTTAGATAATCCAGTAATGCACAAGCATAACAAATCAATATCTTTTTGTTCAACTATAAAATGACATAATTGAGTGACAATTTTCGTAAAATTATTACTAAGAGGATTTTCTTCCTTAACAGTGTATTTAAGTGAAGTAGTTAAAAGTGATGCAATAACGATTTTATTTTTATCTTCATAGAATCCAAGTCTGATAAGTTTCAAAAGTAATAAGCAACTTTTCTGAAATGAAAATATTTAAAAACTAAAGAAATTCGTTTTTAAACAAATTCTTACTGCTCTTATTTTAATACAGCCGTGATGAAATGTTTTTATTGCCAAATTCCATAATTTACTTCTTATTTCTGAATAAAATAAAAACTCTTCTGCAAGTTTGCTTAAAACTTCACTGATAATGAGAAACTATATTTATATTATATTTACAAAGGGATAGTCATATATTACCATAAAAAACAAGTAAGCTCTACAATACTATCATCACTTGGGCACACTTTAGGCCATGGTAGAGTCATATTCTCTTCTTTCGAAATAAATTCATTTCGACTTTGCAATGACGAAATATGGATAGATTTCGAACTTAGATCAGTAGTACTCATATTTACAATTTCTAAAAATTCATTGTTAATTTAGAGTAAAATTTAAAAATTAATAAATAGCCAACCATGAAAAACTTCAATAATCTTTCTCAGAATGACAAGGAAACATTTATCGTCAGTATATCTGTAAACTTGAACAATATGAAGAACAACATCATATAATTCTTCTGTTATTTCAGGATCTAAATCAGAATCATTCATTTTATACAAGATGCATGACAGAGCCCACTCGAAAAATAGCGGAATATCTTCAGTAAAGAAAGCCTTAGGGCATTTGGCAGCAGAGAATTGAAAAAACTTGTACATGTACTTGGGATGATCGAATCTGGGATTGAATTCGCTGAGGATTTTGAATACAATTCCACGCCATTTTTTTTCCTTTTCCTCTGGGGTTTTGAATGTGCTACAGGTGGAATATAAATGATATGTAATTCAAAAAATCATCATATGTATTTGATTAAGATAACTTAAAAACTTATATAGGGTCTCAAAGAGACCATTAACATATTCGACTGTAGATTGAAATTTACGACAGGTTCAAAAAATTTTTTTTAACTTCAATTATCTTGACATTATTGGCCCTGATTTCAGGAAAGAGCCAAATATTTCACAAGAGAAACTTGCCTAACAAAAACAAATTGAACTATATATATTAACTTACTTATTCTTCAAGTGTTCAACAAAACGCATCAATTCTGAATTTCGATCATCCATTTTCTGATTATTTATAAGAAAAAAACGTTACAGTATCTAAAAGGGAATAATTTTCGCTTTTTAACTTTCTAGTTCTGACAAATTCAAATTATCGCTCAGATTGTGCGGCAAGACTGGTGCGTATTCGCAAACGTGACCGAAACATTCTCTTTAATCTTTAGAAATATATTCGAAATCTAAGTAAGATATTTCGAAGTTTCTAAAAAAAGTTTTAAATAGCAAGAAGAAATTTTTAGAAATTTTACATAAACAACTGTACAATTTAGATCTTTAACTGTAAACTTCAAGAATCATTGTTATTTATTTTATATATATAAATTTATATGTACAGTATATAAATTAATTTATCAATCACAGCGAATTTCTCTTAAAGAGTCATTTATAGAGCTACCACATTTGATATCAACTTTCTTCAGAAAAATTTCAACTTCTTTGCTGGCTATCATTATAAACCCATAATTTCCGGCTTCTCTGCTAATTTGGGAAAGAACGAGGGCGATGGATGGGTCCAAGCTATTCATTGATGTCAAGTCTAATATTATACTTGTGCGTTTCAATTGTTTTCTTATTGCTTCAATTAAATAATCCGATCCTGCGAAGGTCAATTTTTCATATATTTTCATTATTGTACAGTTATCTTGAAATTCATATATAATTCTTGGTCGAGCTGATGGATATAACACAAAAAAACAGAGTGAAAAACCCATGCCCACCGCCAATCCCACTTCAATACCCAAAGGAATAGATAGAGTAAAAGTAAGGAACCAAATGAAGCCATCAAGTTTACTTAATTTCCAGTATTTCACTAAGGCAGACGGATCAAACATTGGAAGAACTGCGCAAAATATTACAGATGCCAAAGCTGGATTAGGTATAAATCGAACAAAATCCATTAAGCTCGCTAAACATATTATAACCACAGTCCCAGTAAATATACCTGCTGATGTTGTTTTAGCACCACTATTTGACTGAACAACACTCCTACTGAAACTTCCTGTGACTGGATAAGCAGAAACAAATGAACCTAATACATTGGCTACTCCTATAGCTATTAATTCTTGACTACAATCAATTGTATAATCATTTTTTCTGGCTAGAACTTTTCCAATGGCCATTAATTCTACAATACCTATTAGAGGAATCATTATTAGGCCAGTTCCGATGTTATTAAGAACATCCCATGACGTTGTATTTGTTGCTGATAAATGCGGGGGTCTAAAGGGCGGAAGACCAGCTGCCACGCCTATAAAAAAAGCTAAGTGTGCTTAAATTACAATGTAATTGTTTTTTGCTACCTTTAGTCATCGAAAATACATCTATATTTTTTGCAAGAAGAGAGGCAGCGATTCCGGCTGATGATAAGACAACAATACCATTTGAAGATGTTCCTGTCAGCCATACAATCTTCCTACAAACAGTTTGTAATATAGATGTGGGTGGGCTTGTCCAGTTTATAGATCGTAATTGTTTTAAAAATATCAATGTGATTATGCAGATAACAGAGAGTATTATATCATATTTATTAATTGTAGAGATATTTTGAAATACTGTTATAAGTTGATCTAAAAGATCTCCTGACCTTGTTGTATTCTTTAAACCTTTAAGCATAGATAAAAGAATAAAATACCAGTCAGACTTAAATAATAATATAATAATATTTCTCGGTTTGATTAGAAGAATTTGATAAAGAGTCATGTGAGTATTCTCAGAAGATTTAATAAGCTATAATGAATTATTTCTTTAATCTATGCCTAAAAGATGCTTTAATTGGCCTCCTGCAATAGTTATAGCAGCCGCTCCAGTAAATGCGCTAAGGACTGATGATGAAACAAATTCGACAATTATGCCCAAATTTAAAATACCCAAAATAAATTGGACAATTCCACAGTAAAAACTTAAAGCAACTGCATACAGTGCTATGTTATTACCAAAATTTTCGGAATAATGAGCCACTAGCATTGACATAATAGCAGTGGGACCTAAGGTAACATCTTTAGCCGTTCCCAACAAGCAATAGACAAAGCAACATAAAAATGCACTGTACAATCCATATTGCGCGGGTAAATGAGCAATTTGACCGTAAGCTAGACCTTGAGGAATTACAGTAAGGGCAACAGTTAAACCTGCAATGATATCTCCTTGAAGATGTTGACAAGAATACTTTGGTAACCATTTGATAGGTGGTAGTCGTTTTTTGAAGTAATTTTGAAGATCTTTTCTTGACGGACAGGACATTTCTTGGGTAACAGCTGATTATCTTTCATAAATAAAAATGTCGATGGATAAAATATCTTGTAGATTAATTGTAGCATTGGTTTGTTGGAAATTCCATCTTGTGTCAACGTAATAAAGATTTCCTTTGGACTTTAAGACCGTAATTGAGGAAATTCGATTTTGAACTAGTTTTCTCCAATTTCCGCCCACCGAAATCTGGTAAAAATCGGGTTCCTGATCAGCTCTATTATTTTGTCGTGTATGCTTATGTTATAAATGAAACAAATATTTAATCTTAAAATTTTACTTTGGAAAAGTAACTCCCGCAAAATTTTTAATTACTTTAATGGTTTTATTAATTGCTTAGTTTTATTTCTGAAGTTCTAAAAATTGTGTTTTATGTCCAAATCAGTATATTTTGAAATTTGACATCTGACATAGATTACAAACAGAATATAAGCAAGAGGCTTATGAATAATTATAAAACAAGACAAACTGCTCTGATTAATTCTCTCCTATAAATGTTTGTATGTTTCAATCTGAAAGCGGGAATTTTTACCAGTTATCACCATACACCGAAACACTCCAAATCAAGGTTGATGGCCTTGAACTTGAAGAATGTAATTTCCTTTTCCGGTCGTCAACATGTCGGTATGTTGATTTGTTATATTTCTGAACTAAATCCAACAATTTCTTGACAATCTCTTTATTCTTGATATACCCAATATGACGAATAAAGAGTTCTTTATGTCATCTCTAAAACTCAGTATAAAATTTGGCAAAACTTATTACTATTTTAACTTAAAAAGAGGATTAATATTGAACCTATCACCCAGTGTGGTTTTCCCTATTTTACAAAGAATTACTTTTGCAGGCGAAAACCAAGAAAACGAGCTCAGATGAGAAACGTGAAAAAAATGTTATGAGGGATTTGAAAATCCAGAAGTTGTGCTTGAACATCTGCGTTGGCGAGTCTGGAGATAGATTGACTAGGGCCGCTAAGGTGCTCGAACAGTTGACTGGTCAAACTCCAGTTTTTTCAAAGGGTAAATATTAATAGGATGAGGGGAAAAAGCTATCTTAACACTAAAATATCGTTTTAGCACACTACACAATCCGTTCATTTGGAATTAGAAGAAATGAAAAAATCGCCGTACACTGCACAGTAAGAGGCTCAAAGGCGGAAGAAATCCTCGAAAAAGGATTAAAAGTTAAGGAATTTGAATTGAGGAAGGGAAACTTCTCTGATACTGGAAACTTCGGATTCGGAATTAACGAACATATTGATCTTGGAATCAAGTATGATCCTGGAATAGGTATTTACGGAATGGACTTCTACATCGTCCTAGCCAGAGCTGGTATGTATACATTTGTCCTACTATTTTATTTCAGCGTTTTTGGCATAGGAAATTTTGCTACGTTAAATTTTTTCCATTAAATTTAAACGCTAATATAAAAATTGTTCTGCAACCTACTCTGTCTATTGGCTTTGCTAGTACTTCGAATAAGACAATATTTTTTACAGGTTTCAACGTACCACATAGAAGAAAGAAGACCGCCAAAATCGGTGCTTCTCACCGTGTACTAAAAGAGGATGCCATCAAATGGTTCCAACGTAAAGTAAGTTGCTTACTAAATTTACTGTTTTCTATGAAAATAGAAAGGGATGAAAAACTTGTCTGATATAAGCTATGACTGACCAAACTTATACCCAAGTTTCTGAGACTTGTCAAACATTTATTTGTTAAAACAGTTTAGAAATTTAGAACTAATGTCATTTTTTTTACACAGTACGATGGTATCATTCTCCCAGGAAAGTAAGGACATTTTCGCCAACGTGCTTTGTTATGCGTATTCCCTTAAACCAATACAACGTTTGACGAAAAGTTTGAGACTAAATCTAAAAGATGGAATTCAACAATAGGAATCATAACAAGCGCAATATTTAAAATATGAGCAAAACGGTTTAGTAGTAGTCCTTAGGTATCTTTACTAGGTCGTTTAGGGACAACTTTCATTGGCGGCAGATTTTCATATTCAGGGTCAGTTTCTTCCTGTATGCTTTGGTCTCTCAATCGCGTGGCCATTCTATACTCATCCTCTTCTTCGGCTGGCTTCTTTCTTAGTGGTATACATTCAGACTCGGTCCTTCGCACAGTTACTGCAGAGCGGGGTTTAGATGTTGTCGCATCAGAACTAGATCGTAGTAGCGACTTGCGCAATACTCGCGTTGGTTTTCCTCCACTTAAAATTGTTTCATACTCGGGTGGTTCATCTATCATACTCTCAGTCTGACTGATGTCAGATATAAATGATACTTCCCGTTCAACAGCAGTGTAAGATGGTGGAGGTGTTGTTGGTTGTCCAGGTACAAGTTGGGCGGCTCTACCCCTCTCGCTCCTACATTCCACGTTTATATTTAATTGAACAGCGGCTCCCTCTGTTGATTAAAAAATAATCAAATATTGAATGATAAAAATTGCACAGGAATCTGAAAGATACCATTCGAGCTGGCATTATTAGCACGGCTAAAAAACCGTTTTCGCTTGAAGTTAACAAAGAAGCAACAGAATATTAGTAGAAAGAAAACTCCAATAAATGATATGGTTAAAGCGATATCAGTTCTTGTTAGCTGAGGAAGACTTGATCCATCAACATTCATTTTAGTAATGTTAGTGAAAGCTGTGTTAGAAATACTAAGCATAAGAGAAGAGGCCGTCATGCTAGTTACTATTTAGTTAAATAATGGAAGAACCACAACCAGTCGTACACAGATAAATGATATATTTACCTACTTCTGGTTGCTTATACTGCTGTAGGGATAGAAAGCAACCAACAGGCAAACAGCAAATGCTTGAAAAATAGACTAAGCATTAAAATTCCTACTAGAAACCTAATTACTTATATTTTGTTACATTGAAAAGTAACACGGAAAATTAAGTATTGAAAGTTTTCATCTGAATTGTTTCTTATTCCTTATCAAATTCATATGAAAGGGAAAGACAAGAAGAAACAGGTAGAGGCCTTTTTGTTAGTAAAGCTAGAATACTCGTGATAAAACAACCAGTCACCTCCAGACTGTTGACCCGAGCATTGTTTAAATATCATCAATAAAAAGACGATTAACATGGTGACAATAATAATGGCTATGACAGGTCCCCACAGACTTACACTAGGGTCTATATTTTTAAAATCTGTTAATATACAACGGATGGGTAATTAGCGATTCATAATTGTTATAACAGTCAATCTACCTGTCGGAGTCGGTGTGGTTCTTACACCGTACTTTTTCTCTTTCAATGATGCTATTGTATATTCGATTAAACAATTTTTTTCAAGCAAATTTTTCAATACTTACAGTTATCCATAGGTAAATTACTCTTATCAGTTGATAATTCAATACAATTAACTCTGGAAAATGAGAGCAAGACAAGTAGGAAGTTCAGGCAGTTATTCATGATTAGTTCATCTGAGGTAGCTAAATCTAATTAATTAAGTCGCCCTGCGGAAAATGTGTCAGAAAGCTTACCTGCAGATAAAGCTCTTTATCACACCGCAAAATAAACAAGACGCCAATCGCGCTTCTCAAGAACTCAAAATGTTAAACTACAATACGATTTGGGATTATTTTTAAGAGACGTCACTTGATCGCAGTACCAAAAATTAACTTTTAGATAACTTTTTTTGGTAGAGATGTTCTACATATTCGGTAAGTGAACTATAATTAAAATAGATCGTTTATTTCTTGAGCGGAGCACCGGACCTACATTTTCACCAGTTTCCTTAGTTTGGGCGAGTGTTTTACATTGCAAAACACGAAATACAATTTCTAACTAAAAAATCTATACCGTCCAAAATTTCTTCAGCATGTCAGATAACAATGATTTATCCCCAGGAATTTATTCTGCTCACTATAGACCGTCCATATGGCTTTTTGCACATTCGTCAATGCATAGCTTAGCTAAAAAAATTGAAGAACTCTGTGAAAAGAGGAAATCTTCGCATGTACCGAAAATTGATAAAGGTACCATAGAGAGACGATCTGTCAAGTTTAAGAATATCATTGAGTGGGTTCCTTTTGATGACGGTTTTCCGAATCTGTTCATAGAGGAAGTAAAAGAAATGGCTGGAAGGGATATCATTTTTCTTGCGAGTTTCCATGACCCAGCCGTTATCTTTGAACAACTAGGAGTAATATATGCACTACCCAAATATATGGCTAGATCTTTAACCGTAATTGTTCCATATTTTCCCACTGGAACGATGGAAAGAGTTGACAGAGAGGGACAAATAGCTACTGCTAAGGTTAATTAAAAAAATGCTGACAGTGTTTTTATTACTCATTTTAATTTTTTGCAGACATTGGCAAATATGCTATCTAGCACACCCCTTTCATCAAGAGGACCAACTCAGCTGCTTATTTTGGACATTCATGCTCTTCAAATACGGTTTTATTTTGGAGACAGTACCATACCTCGTTTAGAGACGGGCATTCCCTTGCTAACGAGAGAACTAAGAAAAATGAAAATGGAGGGTCAAAGTTGTGGAAAATCTTATAATTTTGCAATTGCATTCCCAGACGATGGAGCTTGCAAACGTTTCAGAGGAATATTTGATGATAATTTTCCTTTGCCAATAATTATTTGCAATAAGATAAGGGAAAAGGACAAGAAGATAGTGACTATTAAAGAAGGTTGTATTCATCAAACAAAACCTTACATTAAAACTATAGATTCGCTAATAAATATTTGTTTTTCAATAGGAGATGGTAAAGATGCTGATGTTATTATAGTTGATGATTTAGTTCAGAGTGGAGGAACCTTAATAGAGTGTGCAAAGGTCTGTGCTTATTGAGAAGATATTACAGTGTACACAGTTTTACTATATTTTAATTTAGGTTTTAAAAGCCAAAGGAGCAAGGTCAATTCGAGCTTATGTTACTCACGCTGTTTTCCCAAAGAAGTCTTATGAAAAATTTATAGGAAATCGCAGCGGTATCGAATTTGACACGTTCTGGATAACGGATACAATTCCACACGCCAGTGAAATTGCAAAGAACGAACCATTCAAGATTTTATCGATTTGCGATGTAATAGCCGATACTCTTCTAGGTTTCGATATGCTTCTGGCATAATTGATTATTATTCCATTAGAATAATTGATCGTGGCCTAGACTTTACTTCTTTGGATCTCATTCTTTTCCACATTGGACAAATTTATTTTATGATATTTTCGAGTCTTAAAATCGGATTACGTACAGTTAAATTATTCAAGTAGAGCTATCACTGTATACAATTTAGTAGACATTCAAATCTCTTTGTCAACATGTAAGAATCGTCGGTGTTTAATTGTAAAATAGAAACTTAATCTATCATGCAAATACATTCGAAGCAGAAAAATTATTAATTATGAAAAATTGATAATAATAAAAGGGCGTTTCCCCCAAAAGTCTAAAATTGTAAAGTAAGAAAACTCTCTTTGTACGGGTTGTGTCATTCAACAGATCTTTCTTGTTTCATATTTAATCAAACGAAAACAAGTGCTGCTATCCTCTTTTTTTTTTTTTTTTTATGTATAATGGCGATCTATTATATATTTTCTTGTGACGTTTATCTGTTAGCAGACTTACCAAATAATTTTGAGACCCTGAAATTACAGATCTAATACCAGTACACATATTCTCTTGAATAGCGTTGTTGACTAGACAGCGAATTGGGTGATAAAGATGTATCATATTTTTGTCTATACTGCGAAACACTGTTAAATTATGTCCAATAACTTTTTCGGCAAAATCAATATCCTCTGTTCCCCACCCGTTTATTTTTATATTAAAACCTCCTATTTTTCGTAAATCTCCCGCATAAATTCCAACAACTCCGTAACTTGTTGACCTCCACGTTCCTTGACTATCGTGAATATTTTCATTTTCAAAAGACTTGTTACCTGTGACATTAGGATTAAAATGAGAGAAAAATATGGGAAAATAAACTTGTTTTCCAGCAATAGTATTGTCGATTAATCTTCTTATAACTCCCTCTGTAATGACTAAGTCAACATCGAAAACGCCCAAAAGAGTCGTGTCTGGGAAATAATCTGCTGCCTTTTGAAGAAAATATCCTCTAGAGAAAGGTTTATCTATAATAGTATATTTAATTTCTCTATTTGGAAAGAGATTTTGAGTTTTTTTAATGAGTTCAATGATTTTTTCATTGGTATCCTCTGTATTATTTGCAGCGAGTGCAACGAATAAGTTGGCGTGGAATTTCTTTGAAGGAAAGACAACTCTTGATAAACATTCTATAAATCTTTTAAAAGTCGAATAACGATTGCTTAGCGAAATTACCAATTGGATATATCGGTTAGGCTTTTTAGATTGTAAAGTTGAGGGTGAAAACACAGGCCAAATAAAATGATTACGTGTTTTATTTTTTGTTGTGGGTTTATTTTCAATTATCCTAATTTCAGGTAAAGTGAATTTCTGCTCAACAAGGAGCCTTCGTTTTCTATTCAATTTGTTTCTAGATTCAAAGTGTAACGCAAAATGGCAGGTTATTCCAGAAATGGGATTATAAGTATAATAGGCTTTTGTTTGTTTATCATTAAACTTTGAGATATCAACTGTTAAATTTAATAGCTCAGTTTTGAGATTGACGAATATGTTTCCGTAGATGTTTTTGAAAAAGGCTCTCCAGGGTTCCGGTAGCCTTTTTTTTGGCACTATTTGCTGATGCGTAACAATGGTATTATATTCCAAAGAAAACCAAGTGTTTACCGACTGTTTCGATGTTTTTGTATTCTTAAAATTCGTTTTTAATTTCTGTATCTTTGCCCTTAAGTCTATTGCTTTAATTCCAAGTAGACGAAAATGAAATCTGTAGAAATATTCTTTACGCTTGATTGGATGTAGAGTAATTGCATTTTTCATTATAGACGCCACTAAGCCATCTAAAGGGCCGCTAAACGATCCACTCCTTTCGGCGTAATGAAAATAAAACAGTTGTCTCAAATCATAGGCTGATGTACAGTTAATACCGATATGTCTATTGATACATCTACCTATTTCTGTATCCTCGTGCTTACTTGTAATATTTCCTAAGCAGCTTTCAATATGAGGACAAACTTTTTGTAGTAGAACACTACTAAATATTACACCTGGACCCCCCATACAATAGATAGATGTTCCTAGGCCCAATTTTTCATCCATCCGTCCAAAACCAGCTTGACCAATATAGTGTAGCTGATTGGAGTCAATGCCATTTAAGAATTTAATTAATTGCTCAATTTTTATATAAGAATCATCATCGGCTCTCATAAACCATTCATACGAATCTGATAATCGACACATATGTTGTAGCATTCTAAATGATTTCTTTTGTGGTGGATAAACTGAGTCGTCAATATCAGATGACAATTTAACAATACTTTCGTCGTGATGATCACTTTGGGCGTAAAATTTAACTGTGGCTCCTTTCGTACTACCCCAAGTTTTTTGGCATGCTTTAGCTCTTGTATCCAGAAAATTTGCAGTAGAGAGAACGCCAATATATAGAGACTTTTTTACAAAATTACTATTTTTATTATAGAATAGTCGTTGATTGTTATTGTCATTGTTTATGTTACATTTGCTCGTGAATACATAAATACTTAAGTATATACCAACTAATGTACCAGTAGAAAAGCATAAATAAGGACTATGACTCCGTTTCGTTTTCATCCGAAAAGTTTTTAAGACTAACCTCTATATTAGTGATTTGATAAGACAGTAGTAATAAGTTCCTGACATTTGAGCAGATTTTTATACGGCAAACAGTTCGATGTAGCCAACAACACTTTTTCATAGAGTCAGCGGCAAAATAATATCTACCACTATGTTAAAAGAGAATTAAACTTTCTCCAGAACATTCAAGAGAAGAATGAGACTATATTTCTTTTCTTGTAAAGTTAAAGAAAAGAAGCAAATATGTATTCTGAAATGTTAAGATATATTTATCTAATATATATCCCACCCTAAGAGTACAGACCGTTAAAAAGGTGGCCTTTTAGGTAGTATGACAAAGAGAGTTGCTATTGATTTGCTCCTTGTCTGTGAGAAAGAGAATTCTATATAATTTCATATTAAATATCTTCCTATACCTTGCCCTTTTCGTGTTACAGTTGCCAATCATATACATGCTACATTCTGTAGGTAGTGTATAGTTATATTTAATTGAATATATTAAATTCAAGTAAAACTAGTCTATCTCATTCTTGTTTTCTATTGTTGACAATTCTGAATACAATCTTATATATCTAAAAACTTTTATTCTAAAAGAAGGAGGATATTGAGTTACTTTTCTGTTAAAATTTCTCTTCAATGAATTTCTTTCGAAAAGTTTATTGCATTTCTATTCTTTTGAATGCTATAATTTATCATAGAAACTTCAATTTTTCCCATCGTATTTCTTATTAAATTTTATGATAAGAAATAAAGTTTTTTCTTTATTTTCATTTAGCAAAAGGAATAATAGAGAAATAAGAGAGATAATATTCAATTCTTCTTCAAATTTTGAAAGTTTCTTCATCCTATTTTCGTTTATTACTCTTCGATTTAGACTTTCCCTTTTTTAATACGTTTGCCATCATAGTCATGTTTGCGATTTTCTTCAATTTCTCCTCTTCTTTCCTTCTTTTAGCTTTTTCTCTTTCCATAGACCAAATTTTTTTCCTTTGCTCTAAAAGTTTCGTTATTTTTTCCGCTATTTTTCTTAGTTCGTCGTTACCCGATCCGTCTGGGTCGCTTTGTATTTGAGCAATCTTACGCCGATGATCCTTCTGACCCACCATTAATTCACTGCAAATAATAAGTAAAGATAGTGTTAAAAGCGCCATCTGTTTTACTTTATTTCAATTTGCACCTAAAATCAACTTCACCGTCTCCGTCCATATCGAGTTTGTTAATTAGCCTATCAAGACACCTTGAACTTAACGGTATATTTACGCTCTGTTAAGAATATCGAGATAAGAGGAAGAATTATTAATCGAAAATAAGTGCAAACCAATAAACCATCTCTAAACTCTTGTCTAGTAAGAGAAGCACTTCCGTCGGCGTCTAACGATGTAAATAAATCAACCAAGCGCATATTCATCTGCCTCGTGTATTCCATCAACACCATCATTGGATCATCGTTGACAAATTCAGTAGCTTCCTGACTTGTATCAGTGTGTCCAAACACAACGCCGTGACGTACAATTAATTCCCCTCTTGCCTTTTCCGCTTCAATAACAGTATTTAAAAATAGTTTATCAACAGTTTGGCCAGATAAATCTAACTCTCTAATTGCTATTTGCGGGTTGTTTTGAATGGTTTGAATAAGGTGAATAGCTCCGTCACCAGTCATGGGATTAGAATTAATCTTTAATACTTTGAGAGTTTTGTTCTTTTTTAAACCGTTGCAAATAACTTCAATACATTCTCTATTCAACCGATTACTTGATATATCTAATTCCTGTAATACTTCATTCTCTTCCAACATTCGACAAAGGGCTCTAGAACCAGGTAGATAGAAGCCATTCCAGCTAATATTTACTGACAAAAGTGTTACGCTTTTCTAGAAAAATGGTGAAACGCGCGTTAAACTTGTAATAACTTGTTTTAAATAATTGGCAAACCTTAATCCCGTCTGCTACAGCAATAGCTCCTTTCAATCGCAGATGATTCCAACTTAAATCCAAGTGTTGAACGCTTTCGCTGTCGGCTGAAAAAACGTCAACGAACCATTTGTTTTTTATTTTTGTTTACGTCTTATACTGTTTTCGGCCTACCTATAGCTGGACCAAGTTCTATACCACCTTTTTCAGCGAATACATTATGCGATACCTTTAACTCTTTTAACGTTGTACTAAATTTGATAATATGAGCAATTGCAGTTGAGTCTTTCTCCGTTAAATCGTTTCCAGAGATGTCAAACGACTTCAGGGTTTTGTTTAATGGTAAAACTTGAGATAATAGATTTAAGCCTTCTCCCGAAATGCCATTTTCTGCCAATATCTTCAAAGAGTAGAAGAATAATTTACAATTAATAATGAATATCTTAATGGTTTCTATATAACACTATACGTTATTTATATCATATGGGGGAGAGATATATTGAACAGATTGTGTTTATTAGATAGAAGGGAGAACAAACATTTCGAAATACATAGAAATAAGAAGTGAGTTGAGGAGTTGAAAGAATATAGAGTAGGAGAAAAGTAAGGCCTATACTTACATAAAGTTCTAAGCGGTCTATTATCGGGTATATAAAGTATACGTACTAATGAAGTTAGATAAACATTTTCATGAAGCATTTCTGCCATGTAACGTGCCCCTCTATTTCCAATCTCATTTCCCGTCATATCAAATGTTTCAACGTGAGCATTTTCCTAAAATATTTTAGATTAAACTTGACAAAACTATGCGAAATAATCGAGAGAATGTAAGTCATCTAATTATCTCTACTTCCCAACTTACCGATAAGGCAGCAGCACAAGCCTTCGCCCCCTCTGGTCCAAGAATGCGATAAGAAACAGAAATCTGATTTTTCGTCAAATTCCTAAAGAATATCTTAGCTGGTGGAATTTTCAAGTGTGCGCACATTCTACAATAGAGAACTTTCGAAGGTTCTTCGCGTGTTTTTTCGGAATCAGAGTCATCATCACCATCAGAAGTTGAAGTCTGCGACCTAATAGTTAAACATTATAAAAAAGAATTAAATGATAAGATAAAAAAATAGGAGAGATATATAACACTTTACAGATAATCTGAAGGGCTCCATGGTCTATAAAGACTCTGTTTTCTTGAATTAAATGATCTATTTAGTGCGAAATCAGTTGTTTGAAATCCGTCGGAAGGAAAAACTTTTGACTTAGTATCGGTTTTTTTTCTTTCTCTGTTTATCTAAGTTTTACAAAGAAATATTTTACAGCTACTTAAGACAAAAGATAAACGATATAAACAAATAAACAAACAAGTTTACAAACTTTTTTTACGTTGACATTCCCTCTTTGTCTTTTACAATATGCCTCAGCGGCTCGAATTTGAGCTCGTGAAACAGACATTATTGTTAAGGAATGAGTTGTAGTGTTGTTGAAAATACTATTGAAGCGATATATATATGGTGGACTAACTAAACGACAAAATAGTTAATATACTTCATTGCATTCTAAAGCCGTCTTTGAGTAGATAATAGTTCGTTCCGCTTCGGCACTTGCTGACGAACAAACTGAAGCAATTTTGCGCATGTAAAATATTAAAACAATCCAAATATCGATCTATTCTATTATATTATCCTGTTATTTTTCCATAGAAAAGCTAAAATTAGATAGATTCACTTATTAATTAGCTTTTCTATTGAATGAAACGTTTAGTTTCGTTTATTTGTATTATTTTTTTTTGTCTTTTTTATGTATTTGGAAAGTAAAGTATCTATTTTCACGGTCTCGCTACTATTTCAAAGGAAAGAGCGTAGAAGCTCTTTTTACTATTAGCATTATTTTCCTTAATTAGTAATAACAATAGTTTGCGTAAATCGCGTTATTAAAAGAATAAGGATTAGGGAGTGTTTCTTTGTTGATATTTCAATAAAAAACTTGAATTAAGTAAGTAGCAGTTTTTTCTACGTTTAATCCATAATAGATACTGTATTTGTTATTTAATAAACTATAACGAAATCAAGACATTCTTTTTTTGAATTTTTCGCGCCAACCGGATGTTATTTTTTATTGGTTGTGGTGATTAATGCTTAGAGCCAATAGCCAGTCATAACCTCGTTGTTCCCTTTCTGATGTAACTACGAACAGCATCAGATAGCTATAAACGACATTGGAAAAGCTCGCTGCTCATTGAAAATGACGAAAGCCTAATGCACAGGCAGCTAAGGGAAGATGGAGGAGATGGTATCATTGCATTTTTAACAACTTAATCAAGATTTGCATCTACATTACCATGTTATGATTGAAAGGTGAAGAATTCAGCCCATTGGCATACTGAGGACAATATATTAAAAAGTCTGTAAAACAATGTATTTGAATATATACATATAGTTTCTGGATGGTTTCGACGTTTGATGATCTGTATATGGGAGAACGTGTTACTCATGATTATCTGGAATGTTCATAATGTTCATACCAAATAAGGGAATCTATAGAAAAAAAATTGTTACTTGATGACGCATATGGCGAGAGTATAAATATTTTTTTCTACATAATATATCTCTTATTCACGACTATATTAGAGCATATTATACCAAAAGCAACTATTCGATGGCAAATTAATGTAAACTTGTATATATTAGCTTGCAAATAATAGAAATATATACAACGTTCAAAACTACGACTTGAGAAAAAAACATAAAGAAGATACAACATTGGAAAAAAGAATATGCAACAACAATGATATAAACAATCTTCATTTGAATAATATCTTTGGCTTTTTTATTTGTATTGAAGAATACTCTGTTTATTTATAAAGAAAGATATTTATTGCATTTTTTTTTCCAATCCCCACCCCCTTCCACCCCTCTATTTTGTACATTTATACCCATGCGTAAATTTTTGGTTTATTTAATGAATAAAAAAAAGTCCATTAAAATGGAAGAAAAAAAAGAGTTTACTATTTTATACTAAATAAAGCCTATAGTGTTTGCCTACATCAAAACGTACTAGTTTGGCCTAGTTTTGCTTTGCTCACGTGATGATGAATTACTATCAAGGCAATACAGATTTTCGTTTAGTGTAGTTGGGCAAAGGTCAGCTATTGTTTGTAAATAGTAACGAAGAAATTTGTTCTAGATAAACAACTTAGTTTCTTTACGCAAAAGAAACCTCTTATAGAGAAAACTACACGTGTAGAAACTGGCGTTTTTTTTTGTATGTTTCGCTGATTCGAAAAAAATGGCGGTTAAGGGAAACGGGCGTGATTGGACGCGATTCGTATGAGTCATAGGAATTTCCATTAAACTTGGAATATCCAACGTGTACCTGTCACCACATTGTGCAATAGAATGGTATAAAAGGAAATATTGTACAATATTTCGACAATTTCAGACAAGACTAATACAACTTAACACTATCTTATATTACAAGCGTTTATATTACAATATGACAATATCTACCATGATGTCTTACCGACGAACTCGCCAGTCTTCTAGCACCTCAACTTCGCCCCACGATTTGTCCTGTCCTTCGTCAGAAATCTTGTCCCCTAAACAGGACCTTAAACAGTACGAGGAAAAGAGTTCCTTCAGGCTTGTATGTCGGGGAGGACGTTTGCTGCATAATGGACCAGCCATTCAAGTTCCGTTCATCTTTAAAGATGAACAGGGGTTCAGTTGTAATGACTAAGCTTACTACTTTCTGTCCTCTAACGAAGATAAAATTATCGCAAGGAGCATTAAAGTTGTTAACTATACCCAACGCTGGGGGTAGCTCAGTTATTTCAGAGGTACTTTCTCTGGAATTTTTATCACGATCTTTTGGAGCGCATCTTCTAAAGACCGAAATGGAAGTTGAATACTGGCCCCAAGGCGGTTCAATAACTGATTATGTCGCCAGGATCTACGATCAAATTATTGGTGTTTCAGTTACAAGAGCTATGAAATATGGCGGAGACTTCGCAATGGATGATGCGATTCGATTATTAAACAAGAAGTTGCAAGGAGTGAACAGATCAACTGCAAATAATCAGGAAGGATGGTCTAAGCAGGTCTTGCACGTCTGGGCAACTGATAAGAAAACTGCCGCATATGTGTTGAAGGCGTGGCAAATGCTTGATGAGACAGTTCGCAGTGACACTGTTGTCGTTATAACTGTCTGTTATAGTATTCCCGGATTATTCTTTGAGAGAAAAATGGGCTGAAAATTTGTTTCGATGACTTTAGGAGGACAATCAATAGGCCTATTTTTTTTCAAAAGTTTATTGAGAAAGGATTTGATGACTATTTAAGAGAATGCCTTTTTCTGAAGCTTGGGAAACAGACACGGTTTATTCGTATTGCTTAGCTTGATGATCAATGGAGAGAGCTACTCTACGAAGCCGTATTTTTTATACGTGAAGAGATGAGACTGCTAGAAGTGACAGATAAATCTACTCCAAAAGTTCGTTTTCTACAGGAGAAAAGATATTTTAAAGCCGAAAAAAAAAAAGAAAATCTATAAATATTTAAAAAAAATTGTTATGTTTAAATCCATTAGCCTTTCCTTTATTTATAATTATTTCTAATTAATGCCTTATTTTATGTTTTCTATATTATGTGTTTATTTATATAATAAAAGTAGTGAAAAAATAATTTGACTCCATCTATCGGTAAATTCGCGAATACTAGAGGACTCTGGAAACCAATTCCGGCAGCCAATCAGAGAGCAAGACATTCTAATGTTATGAATGGTAAGAGAATTGAAAAATGGCCGTTTAGGGTGTTAACTAAACATTCGCCATATTGATATTTTTCAATTAGTATTGCCATAGTTGTGCTTCACTATTGCCTAATGAAAAACTAGTACAATTTATTTTTCGCATCGCTATTGTACGTGTGTAAATGATAGAAGTAGGAAATTCAGGGACCTGGTTTTATAATTAACGCCTATTTCGGCGAGATATTATCGCCCGTATTTATTCGTCAAGCAGCGCAAATGACGAATACGAGTCGAAAATCGGCTTTGAGACTTTCATTCATAATACGTTCTTCTATTGGATAAGAATAAAAAGAAAGATTTTTAAGAAAATAAAGAGAGAAAAGAGAGGATATAGGCGTTTCAACATCGTGAAACCATGATAAACCAGCTATGACTACAAGCTTATTAAAAGGACGAAGGTTCTTCTGTAGAGAATGGGCATTCAGTAAGCTCCTTCACTGCTTGGACTCCAGACCAACTGATGTAGAATGTTGGGGTGCTCTCATTACTGGTGGACCGGGATGTGGCAAGAGTTCCTTATGCGCTGAAATTGTATGGCCGACCACTAGTGGCAAACAAAGGTCTCTGAATAAGAGATTGATAGCGCACTATTTTTGCCAAGCTCATGATATCCACACGCTCAGCTTGTCGTATTTCATAGGATGCTTGGTCAAACAGGTTTCTTCCTGTCCTCTCTTGCCGTCTTTTCCAGACCTTCTCCTAGAAAATGTGGATATAGAAAAGAATCCTGATCAAGCCTTCCAGACAGCTTTTATACAACCGTTGAATAATCTTCCTCACCCGGGCCGGCCCCTTCTATTATTAATCGACTCCATTGACGAGTCCTTCTTACAGACTTTACCCTGCGAAGCAAGTGAAAATAGTAAGACGATAGCGGAACTAATAGCCAAACATGCTCATCAGCTGCCTGACTGGTTATTTTTGGTGTGCTCCGCCCGAAAACAGAGTAGAACTATTACGAAATTGTTTACTGGGTTTCGAAAAATCTGTTTGGACGATTTAAGAAAAGCTCACGTTGTTAAGGACGTTCAACAATATATATTATGCAGACTGGACGATGAAGAACAGCTGAGGCATCATCTAAGCAGGGAAACAGCAGAGAATCTTAATCAATTGCACATAAAATCTAATGGTTGCTTTCTATATCTGGAAAAAGTATTGGACGGTGTGGCGAACAACTTTATTATGTTGCGGGAAATCAAAGAAATTCCCGGTACGTTAAACGGATGGTACTCTTGGCTTTGCCAACGTTTGTTCGCCAAAAAACAATTCCATGCTGTCGAACCGATATTGAATGTCTTGCTAGCTGCCAGAAGCCCTTTAACGGAAATTGAATTATATAGGTGCGTGTGTACGAGGAATATCCAATTAACCGCCAAAGAATTCAGTAGCAATTTACAACTGTTGTGCAAATTATTATCGGATGGTGAAGGGGGAACCAAGATACTATTTCACCATAGCTTTGCCGAATGGCTTTTAGATGTCAAACATTGTACTCAAAAATATTTGTGTACTGTTTCCGATGGCCATGCCATGTTGGCTATGAGTATGACCGAAAGATCGAGTTCTTTAAGCGCAAAACAAATTCACGAATTGGCTTTACACATATCTAAGTCTGGCTTAACTCCAACTTTACAATTATATCACTTGCCTCTCTGGTTGACTTTAACCCAAGCGGATATTGAAAATTGCTTGAATTCTACAATACCCAACGATCCTCTAGTCGTTAGATTATTACAAGATGCCGGTGCTAAATTACCACAGAGTTCGCCGGATGCAATGACAACCTCTGTGACATCTTTTGCAACTTCTCTAACAGATAGAACGGATACTTTGGAGCGTCTACTCGAGAGAGTTGACGATGCTGCCCTAAATATACCTAATATGAACACAGGAAGAACTTATTTATGTTCGGCAGCTCATGACGGTGATTATAAGGCAGTTGAAGTATTACTAAATAAAGGAGCCGAACTTGATATTGTTGATAGGAGTGGTCAAAATGCTTTAATACTAGCATCCCGCCAGGGTCATGTGGAAGTTGTAAAACAATTGTTGAATGCAGGAGCTGACGTTGATTGCGGCGATCACGAAGGATGGACACCGCTAAGGTCAGCAGCATGGGGTGGTCACATGGAAGTCGTGGAAGTCCTGTTGAATTACAACGCGGCAGTTGATAATGCGGATAACGAGAGGAGGACAGCATTACGAGCCGCAGCGTGGAGTGGACACGAAGATATTGTAAACAAACTTATATCAGCCGGTGCGGATGTAAATAAGGCTGATGCCGAGGGTCGTACAGCCCTGATAGCCGCCTCTTATATGGCGCACACTAACATTGTTCAAATTCTTTTAGCGGCAGGAGCCGAGATTAACCAGGCGGATTGCGACAATAGAACCGCTTTATCAGTAGCCGCACTTTGTATGCCTGCGACAAGTGGACTTCACTCTGACGTCGTGTCACTTCTCTTAGAGAAAGGAGCGGAAGTGGATCACGAAGATACTGATGGTCTCACACCGTTACTCGTCGCTGCTCATGAAGGCCATGCACAAGTTTGCGAGCTACTCCTTGAAAACGATGCTAACGTCGACCATATCGATCAATCCGGACGAACGGCTTTGCAATTAGCTGGGAGTGCCGGCCACTGTAAGGTGGTTAAATTACTGCTGATTTGGGGAGCGGCCATAGATACAATAGATGCCGATGGTAGGAGCGTTTTAGGATTAGCAGCTCTTCATGGTTCAACGAGTGTTGTTAAGGAGCTGTTGGAGAGGGGATTGGATGAAATGCACCGCGATAATATCGGTTGGAACGCGCTGCATTTAGCCTGCTTCGAAGGCCATAGAGAGGTAAACGTACCGTGTTTGTACTGATGTTTTCCATTCACTGGCCTAGTTTTCCTTTACGATTCGTGATGATCGTCGCGAATAACTCCCTCCTCTCACGCTGAGAATCTGTCTAAACTATTACCAGAAACCATCTGTTTTTTTTTTTATAACGATGATCTCCTTTTTTTCTATCTAAATTGAATTAAGGACCCTTTGTTGCGTTATTAATACCTTTGAGAGCGTATTAGTTTTTATACAGTATATAAATTTATATACTGTATTTATCTATATATACTAATATGTATGTTTATGTATGTATTGTTCTAAACAGGTCTGCGAATTGTTAATAGAATGGGATATAAAATTATTGGACAGTTGCGATAACGATGGCAGAACAGGTTTAACATTGGGCTCCCAAGAAGGACATACAAACGTTGTACGTTCTTTAATAGGCTTAGGAGCCGATATAGAATTTCGGGCACATGATGGAAGGACCCCGTTGAGGGCAGCCGCCCTGAACGGACATATTGAGGTTGTTGAGTTGCTTTTATCTCATGGTGCCGATCTTAATTATACGGATTTAGACGGACGATCGACGCTTTATTTATTAGCTTTGGAAAATCAAGTGACAATGTTGAAGCACTTTCTGTCAAGGGGAGCAAACTTAGAGATAGGTGATTGCGAAGGTCGAACAGCTCTACACGTTGCCTGCTGGCAAGGCCACCTGGACATCGTTACTACGTTACTGAGCCACGGTGCCATGCCTGATTGTACTGATTTGGACGGCCGTACACCACTTCAGAGCGCCGCTTGGCAGGGACATGCGGCTGTAGTGTGTGCTCTCTTAGATCACGGAGCAGAGGTAGATAGAACTTGTTCCCAAGGAGCCACTGCTTTGTGCATATCATCCCAAGAGGGACACGAGGATGTGGTTAGAGTTTTATTACAACATAGGGCTAACGCTCAGCACGCAGATCAATATGGTAAACAAACGCTAAAAATTAATCATTGCTCGCTTTGTAATTTATAAGTGAAATTCTCTGTTACAGGTAGGACTGCTACGAGAGTAGCTTTAAAAGGTGGTCATAATCGGGTCGTTCGGCTTTTGGAAGAGTACGGTGTACCCCCTCTCGCAAATATGAATGCCGTAAAATCCCCGCAAAATTCACCAAATGATAAACGCAGAAGTGTTGTGTCAAACCATTCATCGAAAAGTTCTAGTCTTACAGAAAGGAGTAATTCTTCCTCTTCCGGTCTTCTTCACGTTGGCGATTCGCAGTCTTTATCTTTTACACAGCAGTTGCAACAATCTGTTCATCCGTCGAACAGAAAATCAAAAATCCTCAGTCCAGTTAGCGAACCGAATAGCGACGATGGTAGCCAGGAACCAGTTTGGCAGAAGCAGATGTACGTGAAAGGTCAAAAGAAATCGGATTCGAGGCAGAAAAAACAAAATCGTAACGGTATTGTTACAAATCCGAATTTTGCCGTTTCAAACGGACACGGATATTACAATAAATTATCAAATCTTCCGGATACATTAGAATATAGTCCGAACGGAAACTCCAGTTCCTTGGTAGCAACGCAGAATACGACTAGTCAGAAATTAGTCGAGAGACCACACGGACTTCCGTTAAAAAAAGAAACTCCTCTCTGATTAAAAATTAAAAACATATATAAAACGGACATCTTATTTATACATTTAAATGTATTTAAAATTGTGTTCAATTCAAAATTAATGAATCTTTATGGGTTTTACCCCTATTTCGTTATCGCTTTTTACTAGTGTCAAAAATGTAGTGCTGCTTGCCTCTTTTTTGCTAGCAGTATGTTTTTTTCTCTTTGTTTTCTTTTCATACTTGCTGTTTTTCCGTTTTCTTTCTTATATGTATGTATACATATAAGAAATTATCTATATATTGTGCTATTTTTAAGACTAAAACAGCCATATTTACGATCACGTAAGACTATGCACGCGGAAAAAAAGAAATATCTGTCTATATTAAGAAATTACATTTGTTAGAATCTCTGCTATAGCAATATCAGTTATAAATTTGTAATAGCGTTAATGATAATATGTATATGTATACATATATATATTTTTATTAATATACCAGTCTATAGAGAGCGTTTTATGTTTGTATATATATAGTATATACGTCGATTGTGTATGTTACATTTTGTACACATAACATGTATACAAGTATATATATATACTGCATACCTACTGTCTATATATATATATATATATATATATATTCTCTTATGTGGAAACGCTTTTATTCAGGAAATTCTATTATTAATTACCAAAATGTAGCTTCTTTTTTTCCAAGAATAAACGAGAAAAATAGTTAAAAAAAACTACAAAGTTAATCTAAATGTGTTTTTAGAGCGTGTGGTACTGGAAATTATGATGTTCTATATATATATATCTAGTCATTTATTGAGGTCTAGGTTAAAAACTTTACTTTTACACAAAAATGGCCATCTAATATCTTTGAGTACAATCAAAGTACTCAATAAATCACAAGTGAGTTCCAAGTTAAAACCGGAAGCTATCTAATGTCCAAGGCGAATGGCGGTAAAATATAAAAGAGAATCTTCGATTCTTTCCCTATTAATTTCGCTTTACCATATATATAACAGAGTTATTGGACAATTAGAAGACTAATTTAAGTATAAATATTAGATAACAACAAGTAAAACTTTTACTATATTGAATAAAGGACTTTAACACACTGTTTAGTCCATACTTAATATTTTTTTATTATATTTTTTCTAGGTTACAAATACATTTGTTTAGCAGTTGGAGTGATGAGTTAGTTATAAAATACGTTTCTGGTTAAAATCCCTTAAATCACCTGTAAAAATAACCGTAGAAAAAGAAAATATAAGATTTTTTTAGTTACAAACTAAAAAACAAAATGGAGAATGTACTGTATGTAGGTGTATATTTATCCCCATGAGATAATTTATTCAATATCACTGTGAATGTATATCTGTATGTACTGTATGCACCTAAATACGTTTGGAAAATGTTTGAAGAAAAGCTATAAATATATAGCTTATGAATATTCATAAGGCATAGAAAAGTTTTGATAAATGTTAATTTTAACATAGAAAGAAGAGCATTTGTTTATTTGTAACTTTTATTTAAGTAACATTAACTTTTAAACATATAAAATCCATTAAAGCAGCTTACTCTTTAATATAAATAATTATAAATAACAAATATATAGTATTAATAGCAGAAGACAAAAGAAGAAACCTTTTTTAATATAAATGTACAATATATAATAACATAGATAGCAAAATTTTCATACTAAATAGCAATTAACTTTGTTACTCCATTAAACCGGAAGTTATAAATGAAACAATATAAGGCTAAGTGGAGAAAAAAAAACAAAATAGAAATATAAACCGATAATAGAATTACAAATGCGTATTAAAGTTAATTAATTGAATTATTTTACTTAAATGAAAAAAGGAGAAAACAACTTATTCCAACTTGTAAATAATATATAATATATATCTTTATATATTTATATTCTCTCTTTAGCAGACTATATTTATATTTTCAATAGAATAATAGAAATTTTATTATTATTATAATTTTAATAAATTCATCTAATAAAGCGCTGATATCTTATTTCAATAGAGTAATCTAATAATCTGGAAAGATATATCTATATTTATTTATTCTCTCTGTTTGTGCCATTATTTGTAATTTTCGTAATAAATTATGCCACCATTTTATCTGTTGTTCTCATTATTTTTATCAAGAATATCTTATTAAATTTATTATATAAGAAAATAAAACGTATAGATACAATATTGTATAAATACATCTAATATGCATAAAAATCATGTTAAATCATTTTAACATTGAATAAACTGACATTAGTTAACAGTTAATAGTCTTTATTTTGTTAAAACCAAAACATTTTATTCTGGTCAGGATCTTTTATTGATTTCCTCGTAGGTTATTAAGAAAATGGAAGAAAGGAAGAAAGAAAGAGAGAGAGAGAAAAGAGACTAAGAGACAGAGAAGAAGGAGGGCCAGGATTAATTTTTAATGGTTACTTAAACATAATTTGTATTTATTGAGTTTCTTTATCCGTACTGATCCTTTTGCAAAATAGCTTGAATACAAGTATAATTGGTTATAATTTGTTCTTAGTTTGTACTATACGTGGTGCCATCTATATGATATTAACTCTTTTATACGTGGAGTTTAAGTTTTAGCCACTAATGAGTCAGCGTAAAGAGAAAGAGAGAAAGGGAGAAAGAGCAGCCCGTTATTTATAGAATAAATAATGCAATCTTCTTTTATTCAAACCAAAATACGTAATAGCATTACTCTGATACTAATTCGAGTTTATTTTAAGATTTTACCAATCGATAAAGTCAATTTAAAGGTAGAAAAAAAATGACTAAATTCACCCTGTGTTTTTCTGTTATTGATTGGAAATTAGAATAGCTTTATTTTTTTCAACAGAAATTGATGAATCATACTTCCACGTTAATGGTTTTCAAGAAATCAAAGGAAACAATAAAAATTAAGGGGGTGGTAAAGGTGAGGGAACGATCGTTTAATGAACATCCAAAAGCTTACTATATTTATAATTCCCAAACAATTTCTATACCCTCCCACTGAAAATCTAAAACAGGGTATATTAAAATAAATAGATAATAATCGAAGAAAAGATTCTCATTATCATTTACAATTATTCAATATTTGCATATAAAGAAGAAAGGATATTATAATTTTTGAATAATAAAAACACTGGTTGCATACGTATACTGCAGTATTGCAGCATAAGTTTATATATATATATATATATTGCTTACGTAGACAGCTACAAAATATTTTGTATCTGTGTATCTTTTATTCTTAATCATTTATAGATATTACGTATAATTTACGGTTATGATATACTATATATACATACATAAAGTATATATTGAAATTTGCCATTGGTTAATGAATAATGCTCTCCTCGATTGAATTTCAAACTGAATTTCAAAGGAGGTTTGTAATGCTATGGAAAAAGTTTTGTTTATGTTTAAATACCGTAAATATGCTTTACATGTAAATATTTGTAAATATAGGATCTAGGTAGAAGAAAAATCAACTTTATCTATGACATTAAGCCTAACTAGTTAGAAAGGGAGAGATCAAACGTCTTGTTCTGTAATTAGTACAATCTTTTCATTTCCCACTCAAAACCTTTGCTGTTTAATCAAAACTACTTTTCTCCTTTCGTTGAATAGAACATGGATAATATTATATAATCAGATTATATATTCATACAACAGAAATTGTGTAAAGATTTTTAAAACTAATAACCATAGGATTATGAAAAGAAATATAAAATGTTGTGACGCATACCATTCTTAGATTTTGTCTATTAGGGGCAAATTCTTATTAATCTTACCCCACGCATATTAACCAGCTTTCAATGTTTAACATCCACTTCTCAACTCCCCCACTTAGTCTTTAATCCCTATTTTATTTACTAGTCTTTTCCTAAAACCAGAGGAAAGGTCAAAGTTTTTTTAACGTTTTATCCGTACCAGGAACCATTTTAATATATATTGGTATGTTCAAAAATAGACTTATTTTCAAAACACGATTAACTTTATCCGTTAAGTAGGATATTGCTTTTTCGTCTTATTGCGTAATATCTATTGTTTATTAATATTTACGATAAGAGGCAAATGTAGAGATTATTTTTTATGGATTACTGAATATTTATATTTTAAGCTATTTATTTCTGTCAATTGTAATTACATGATATTAAAATATACGAAAATTATTTATTCCAGTTTCTTATATTGCAGTAGATTTGGCTTTAAATTTTTAATTACGAATGGATTATCATAAAACTTTTACATTATTCATAAACTTCAATTAGTCAATATCACCAGAGAGCTGTTTACAAACAACTGCAACCCTTGCTAAGTAAGTACGTACGAACTTTCGTGTCTGAACATATTTCTCCAGCATTTTCATATGAAACACTGGATTGTATCGACCTAATAAGGCCTTGTTAATCACGTGGGTTCTTTTGACATGCGCATAACCTTGGTAAACATTAACATAGACGACGTAGAAGTCGAGCTTCGATTCAGTTAAGTTATCGATGACAAAGAGGAAAGTACTAGTGAATATGAAAAATTTCGACACGTTAAACGTTAGTCTAGATTCAGTGGACCTTTGGTCAGTCTCCTCGGATGGAGACCATATGACAAGAGATCAAGATAATCACGAGAATAGAAACGAAAATACAATATATTGTAAAACCAAACCGAAGATAAAGATGAATAAGAAAATGGAGGAATTTTACGATGTTCAAACAAAGGCAAAGAAAACTCAAGATATTCCTCTGTTAAGAAGTTATACAATAACTGAATCTGGTGACAAAATTTTGGATGAGGCGAAAAAACCAAAGGCGCCGAGACATAAGCAAGTTCATTTTTCTGCTTTTCTCAAAATTAGAGACGATACGGGATTATGCTCAGAAAGTAGGATTGTTGAGTCAACTTCTCCCACCAATAGAAAAAAGCTCTCCCGCGTTGGCGCTAAATGTCGTTAATAATCACTTCTCATGAATAATATAATTACATCATAGGGGGTTCAAGAATAAACAGACAAAGGACTGTTGAAATCATCATCGTCATTATTGACCTACATTTTTTATTGCTCCATTAGGATAAAGCAGAGAGGAAATAACGAGAAGAGAGGAGTACTGTTTATTCCTAAATTCAACAAAATTAATTGCAGCACTTAGTGTTCTTCACCTCTTATATGGAGAGTCACTATGGTTAAAAAAAAACAAGATAACTAAAGAAAATTAATCAATGGCTAGGGAAGAGAGAGGGAGGGAGGGAGGGAGGGGGGAGTGAGAGAAAATATAAAGAATAAAACAATAAACAGAGAGGGGGCTTAATATGGATTGAAAATTGGAAAGAAGGAAGAAAACTAAGAGAGAGAGAAGAGGGAGGGAGGGAGGGAGGGAGAGAGGGAGGGAGAGGAAATAGATAAAATAAAAAAAATTATCATACAATAACAGAGAATTATAGTGATTAAAAAAACAGTTGCATATTAATTAGAAATAATGAAGCGAAACCAATTATTATCGCTGAAAATATCGTATATTCTGTTACTGATCTCCATAAAATACAGAAAAAATAACAGTTAATATTCGATTTCTGTCTAAATAACAAAATATTACTAGTATTGTATATTAAGATATAATTATAAACTTTTGATTATTTGCATGTTGTTGTAACGTTCAAAGAAAATGGTTTTTTAACTCATTTTTTTTCTTTTTTGAGATATTTCTTAATATATAATTAAATACAATATTTATTATGAAATTACTTATTATCTATTTGTCTTTATTAATCAAGGGAAAAATAGGTATGTTATTAATATACATTTGACCGCTTTTCTGCTACGTTAACTGTTGAAAAATTATTAAAACGTTATGAAGAGATCAATGACCTTTAGATTAGTTATTCTTTATATTTATTATTACACCTTTATTACTTAACAAAGGACTTTAGAGACGGTCAGTTACCTACCTAGTACGCAATAATTTTATAATCTATATCTTATGAAATATGTGCTAGAGTGACATCTAACGGATTATAGCGAAAACTTGTATTATCTATGTATAATTACTATAATTTGTTCCACTACATCCAGGAATATATTTGATTAGATTCCTTCACATATTCTTTTTCTTTGTATATATATATATACCCTTAAAGAAGACATTTAAGCTAACTTTGCAAAATCTAACTGTGAATTTCGATGACATTACGGCTATATATATGAATTATTCAAGTTTAAGTCAACGTTTATATAAGAGAAAAGTTATTATGCTAAATTTAAATGTACTTAATTTTTTATTCTATTTGAAAATGTTGAAAAACTAAATAAATCAATAGATTTATTTTGCATAAAGTTAGAGTTCAACTAGAAATCAATTTTCAGAAGAATAATAATAAAATAACTATATATTTATGACTTTTTATGATATAGGTTTTCTTTATAGAGAAATTCAATTAAAATTTGAATTTCCGTCGTAGTAAAGTGTTCTTTAAATAAATGTTATTATACCCTGGTTCGGATAGTAAGATAATCCCTAGAGAAATATATATATATATATATATATATAACTAGAGAGTGAGAGAAAGATAGAAAGGAAAAGAAAGCACACAAACATAAATGATTAATTCCTTATACGTTTTTTGGTTTAACAATAACTTAAACATGTTAGGAAGAGAGAGAGAAAGAGAGAGAGAGAAAGAGAGAGAGAGAAGGATTAAAAACAAACAAACAAATATCCAACTTACACAATCCTATATAATGTCAAACAATTTATATATTAAGTAATAAAAGAAACTCGAAATTTTGTTAACATATCGATAAGATCTTATTAAAACCAAACATTGTGATAGGTTTATAAGGTAAATCTTTAATGCTGGTCGTATTTCTTATATATATATATCTATATATATATATTAGTATATTCTGTATATATAAACATATATATTTATATTCAATTTGACGTCTTTATGAATTATTACTGTTCATAAAAAGAACAAACAATACAAATTTATAAAAGCTTTTAATACTTTATTAATCCAAGTAGTATTTTTTTGTAATAAACAACGCTATAGTTTATGGGCTAGGAAAAAAATAAAAGCAAAAAAACAAGAATAAAAAAACAGGTAGGAGGAAAAGAGACAGTGAAAAAAAATTACAAAAAAGGGTGGTTGGAGAAAAGGGGTTAAAGGTTATGAAGAAAGGAAATAAACTCTTTTATACTGTTAGTATAAATGTATCAATTGCATATTGTATCTTATATCTTTTATTCTAGTGCATTTAGCTGTAATTTTTCTAGGAAATAGTAGTAAGATAATTTACTTTTTTGTCATTTCAACAAAAGAAACAAAAGGATGCTTTTTAAGTTTATTTTTAAATAGAAAGATAAAAAAAGTATGTTTTCTTTTTAAATGTAAATTTTACAATTTTATTTTTAATAAAACTAAAAGATATAATGAATATAAAAAGAGAATGAAGGAAAAAAATTCATTTTCATTCCGGATAATACAATATATTCGACAATTGGAGTAATTATAACGATCTGTATGGATGTGGCACTTGTCTTTGCTACAGTTGGTGCATATATAACGCTTGACTGTCATAATACGTCCTTCACACAAGCTACTGCAGTACTTTTAGTCAATTACTATTTTAGTAAAGTCTTTTGTGTTTCTGTCATTTTTTTTATACATCCTTGTAACTTTGTTACTGATATCACTAGTATCATAATCTTAGTTGTAATCATGAGCTTTGTCAAGGGTATTGATTGTTTTTCTTCCAGTGATAGGTAATTTACAATATACTTTATATATATTTATGCTGAACATGTGTTATATAAAAAAGGCTTTTATTAGAATCTATATATATTATATATATATAATATATATACATATATATATATATATATATATATATATATTAATAGAAGAGAATAGAGTATGAACAATTAATCTTTTAATAAAGTATCATCCAGTAGACTTGACATGGTATCCTCAAATTACCAGCTATTCCTTTTCTATATAATAGAATTTAATAAAAAAAAATATGTAAACAACGATATAAACAAACGTTAGGAAAAATTATAATTTATAATTATAATACTTTGTGTTAATGTAAGTAATAAGGTATGTTAACGTCTTATTGTTCATTTTACACTGAATATTAGAAAATAAGCGCCCTCTGTAATGGAAAATATAATCTAGTCTTGTTTCTCATTCTTCATCATGCCTTTGAGTCGAACGCAGTCAGAATTCTCTATATTAAAGAATCAAAAAATAAATAAATCTGATAGAAGTGGATTATTGAAAGCATTAAAATTGGCCAAATCGAAAGTGACGGCCCGAGCGACTTTTAGCTGTTTTCGATCATCTAAGGCTGATAGAGATTGTTGGACTGGTTCCCTTGAAAGAAAAAGAGAAGTTACAAAGTTATTTTCAAGTAAAAAATTCTTATCAAAGTTCTTCTTATATTTCTCACCACTGCAAAGATGCTCGTTCACTTCTGTTTGTTCCAATTGGAATAACATCTTGAATACTACTGGTCTATTAAAAAATGTGGCTCAAATTGTTGATTTTCTGCAGATGACAGATGGCGAAAGAAGATTGGCCTACGACAACATTATCAATAGAGACACTACTTCGATTCGTCTTATTAGAGCTAACAACGAAGATATAGAGGACTTTATGGTGTCCGTTAATACTTCAACAATCAGTGGATTGTGTTTTCAAGATTGTGTTATTAACGATGGAACGGTAGTGGCTATGTTACGTAAATATTCAATAACCGAAATAGAATTTCTCAGTTGTAATAATTTGACAGAGGAGAGCATGTGGGATTCTCTTACTTCTAGCATTGTTAAATTAGTATCATTAGATAGCGTTTATTTGACAGACAATGCAGTTGAAGCTATTGCAGAATCATTACCATCTTTAAATTACTTACATCTACAATCTTATCATATGACTGATGCGTCTTTGGCCTATTTCCGTTTTAATCTACACATAAGAACTTTAAAATTGGAATTTTGCTGGGAAATAACGGACGATGGCGTTTTGAGTATCTGTCAATGCTTGAATGGTTTAAACGAACTAAGTTTGGCAGGCTGTTCCAAGATTACTGACGATAGCGTTGAAATTATTTCGGATAGTTTATTGCATTTGAGGTCACTGAACTTGTCCTGGTGTATAAAATTGACAAATAGAAGCCTGAAAATGATTGCATTTAAAGAAAATGTTTTAGAGGAATTATACTTAGATAGGTTAATACCTTTTTCTTAAAATATACACAATACATACTGTATAATATATCTCTCTATATATATTAATATATATGCATATAATTAATCATTCATTATACTATTTTTCTTCTTTTCCAGGTGTTCTCAAATAACAAATATAGGCTTGAAATATTTACTACCAATCTCGACTACTCTAGTCACTCTATCACTAAGATGGTGTAAGGAAATAAGCGACAAGGGTCTTGAATGTTGTTCAAATTTTAAGCATTTAAAATCATTATCATTATCTGGTTGCTGTTTAATTACTCGTTTTGGTTTAAAATATTTAATTAAACTGGAAAATCTCAAAGAATTAGATGTTATCAATTGTCAAGCTTTAAATAGCGAACTTTTAGCTTGGCTGAAACTGAAATTAGACAAGTGCGATGTAATTTGTTGACGGAATTTGTACTCGCAAATTATAGACCAACTGGAAGAGGAAATGTACTCATTGGCAGAAGAAAGGGATAATTTTCCAAATAATTGTCGTTCTCTCATTGCAAGAGCGTGTTTTTATAATGTGTATAAAAAGTACTCAATACTCTATATTATGTATACAAAAATTTAGTTTGTTTAAAATACTATGTTTATCGAAAATATTATACTTCATTGATTACTTCTATAGTAAACAAACATCATCTACATGAAACTTTATTCAGTCAAAAACCGATATTGTAACATATATATGAATAAATTGTATAGTTTTGCAGTTATGTTTATATAGTTTTGTATCAATTTAAGATTATATGAGACAAAACTGTTATGAAAAGGTGATGAAAACAAACTAGCTGATAGAATAGAATAAATTAGATAGTAATCTAATACAGAGATTAAGTTTACTTTTACTAACCAGGCGTATTTCTACTTTATAGTAAATATATCATCAAATAGCCTATAAAACTAATTCTTCCATAAATTAATTCTCTTTTCTTCCCTCTCGCCTCCCCCCCTTCCCGTCCCCCTTACCACCCATCTCTATTCTCCTACAATAAATTAACTTAATTATGATTTTTTTCTTATATTTCCCTTTTAATTTACCATCAATTCCCTATTTTCTTTCTAGATTATTTGCTTTTTTTTTTACGAAAAGAAAAAAATAAAGAATTAATATACACAAGAACAAAACAAAACAGTGTTTTATAGAACCGCATTTTTACTGTATATACAGTATATATAAGTCTTTTTAATACTTAATTTTTTTTGCCTTATAATCATTTACTTTACTAAGCCTATACATTAGCAGAACATTGTTCTGCATCATTTTATTCTTTTTTTGCAGTAGAAAGCAAAATGTATGTAAAAAAAAAAGGCAATAATAGGTCTACAGAAAATCTATTTACGCAATAATTTACGTCGTATTTCTAGTGAAATTTCACTATTTTAATATTCTAATTTTAAACAAAGAGTACATCGATACAAGTTTATTAGGCACGTTAAATTGTATATATGTATACAGTATATATAAATAGACTTTTATACGTGTTGCATCTATATCTCTCCTATTCTCTATACCTTATCTCTCCTAAACAAACAATAACAGTAACGGAAGGGATAATTAGAAGAATCTAATCTTTAAATTTGAAGTTAATAACTATAATGGAAGTTTTATTTAAAGAATTTGATTGATTTTTATATTTTATCTTTATTACCTTTTATATTCCTTTATTTATTTAATTAATAACATAATCAAATCTTCTAGAAAAATCATTAATCATTTTAATTTTCCTTAAATTTAAGTAGAAATAAGAGTTTATGAATAGGAGAGAGAATCTAGGTAGAAAAGGGGGTGGTTGAGCGACGAGTGGTTATAAGATATATATACATATATATATGTATATAAAGAGTGAGAGAGAAAGAGACTAGGGGGAGGGGGTGGAGAAAGACAGAGGACTGTGTCCTAGATGACCTTTACTCAGTCTAGGCACTAATCTATTTTTTCTTTTTGCACTAAAAAATCACAAATGAAAATGTTTAAGAGAATGAATGGTCCCTGAAGTAAACACATATGTGGCATTTATTCTGTATACATAACATACGTTTTATATGACTAGGTACTTTTAAACAATAATATGTCATTCATAATTGGACAATACTCGTCATATCGCCTTTTCTATGACGACGCTAACCTATCACGTAAACTTCAGAGACTCTCTAATAATTGGCTCAAGAACCTCTTCTTTCAAATTCAAACAGCCATCAGAAATCCCGTACCATCTCAGCCCCAAAACGGCTGCCAAATTTCTATAACATAAATTGGATTGTTGAGGAGTGATTTTGCATAGACCTTCAATAATTATAGCATCTTTAGATGCCCAAATGATATTCGATAAACCTGCTCCGTGCGGACCTAGAATCAGCTTTGCCCTAGAAAAATACTCAACAGTCTCTGTAAAAGACGGAGCTGGATTATCAGAAAATTCCATTACTTCTAGTAAATGTTCTTTAGCGATTCTTTCAACCATTTGAAGAATATATTTATGCCTTAACCATTGTCTTGTAGGCGACGATCGTTTCATCAGAATAATTATTCTTGTCTTATTCTCTTGATTATTGGAATTATTGAAATAATTAGCTAGTAATTGAGTTCCGTAAATTGGTGATCTACCGCAAGTTCCTCCTGCAGGATAATATAGAATTCTTGCTTTTATATATTCATCATGTATAATCCTACTTTTGGGTATTTTTAAAGCTGAAACGACCTCTTGAAAGTATTTTTCATACTTTGGTTTAGCCAGTAGTATTTTTATAGATTCTTTTTTCAATAACCATTTATAATATGGCATTAATCTTGGCAGATTTTCCACTGTAAAGTGAAAGTAGGCATCCGAAGATTTTTGAGTTAGCACAAATACTCTATCATAACTTCTAGCAAAGAAAAAATATGTCAGTAACGGAATCCTCAAATTGTGGCCTGATTGGAAGCATCTTTGCGTTAAGATTTTATAGTCATCCTTCCAAACATCACCGTCTATATTAACAAAAGCATTATGTGCTATATGAATGTAACTTAATGGAAAGTCGTTGTCGCTTCTATTCCATACACGTCTGAGATATTTTACAGAATTTTGCGGTAATCCTATCTTGAAAACAGAATTGCTTAAAGTTTTTTTGTTCTTAAATGCACTAAATTCATTAGTGAAGCACGTTAAATTGTAATTATCCACTCCAAAAGTTCCTCCGTATATATCATTCGTTAGAATATCACAGTTATTGGATATGTAATTATAATAATCACTCCTTAGAGTAAAATTAACTTGATTCCTCCATACAACAATTGTAGCAATTGAATCTCTTCCAGAGATCCACTGAAAATAGGTTTCCTCTGTCGAATTAATAACATAGTTTGTCCAGTATGAAAAATTGTTATATTCAAATTGTTTAATTCTCATCAGCTCATCTTCACAAAAATCTATTAAATCATCTATTCTATTCTGAAAAGTCATTTGGTTCTCAATTATTCTTTGTAGTAAAATGGTATGGGATTTTATAGGTTCCTCCAAAGAATTTAATAACTTATTGTATATATATAAACTACAAATTACAAAAGAAATGCATATTGCCACAGTATGTGAGCTTCTAACCTTAAACATGATAATAGAAAATAATTATCTTACTACCTTCTAATCTTTTATACAGTTTTTATACTTTTTCCAACTGATTAGATAAGAATAGCTAAATATCACTTGATTTATAAAACTAGTTGGCGCCTCTTTAGAAATATAATGTTAATAAAACTTATAAAAAAGACAGAAATTGTGAAATACAGAAATTTAGGCAGTTTTTATTTTTTATAATTAACAACTAATCCTTTTGTAAGAAAGAGAGACAGAGATAAATAGATTGATGGATAGATAGGACAGGCTTGCTAAACAATTATTTGAGTTTTATGGCCCAATGCAAACATAATATCCTATACTTATAGAGGTTATCCTAATTTGGACACAATCCATTTACAACTATTACTATAGAAATATATTCGAATATTTTATCAAATATAGAATTTCATAATTAGCGGATGTTTTTATCAAAACGGGTAGATATTTATAAATATGTAAATATTTTTCGAAAATGCAATAAATTAAGTTTAATTCATAAAAAATATTACAAGTTTTAAAAATTTCTGAGCGTCTACATAGTTTATTTCTGGAACTGACGAAAGATGGCGCCAATAATTTTTTTCACAATTATTATTACCCTTTCTAGAGGACACTGCTAGTCTTCTAATGGAATCGAAGAATCACACATATATGTTGAATACGCTGTTCGGTACATAGGATATCTGCATAGAGCACATTTCTTATAGCTTTTATACATGTGTGTTCTCTGACAATTTCATTAAAGAGGTTGGTATTTAATAATCAATATTGATCAGTATTAAAAAATTCGAAATAGGCCTTTAAACACTATCTGTTATAGATGTTGTATTCTCCGTTATTTCTATTGAAATATAGATTAAAGAGTAGCCAGATTAAGTAACAAATTAACAATTAGATAACACAATTTCTGATACGATTTACTTTTAATTTTGCCAAGTGATCTGCGGTTTTCGGTTATATTAAAAAAAAAAAACAAACAAACAAGCGTAAGAGCAAATGTTTCCTTAATGGAAAAGTTCTTCGCCTTCCTGTTCATTCTTTGATATAAGTTTTATTTATGAAGAATTACCGGACGATGGTCATTAAAAGAGTCAGGTGGTGTAGATAATAGCCAGGTGCAAGGGGCAATTTATCATTCAATTTTTGAGTAAATAGCAATAGTGCGTGATAGTATAACGAATAGGAATGTTAACGGTTATGTAATTGAGAATATTTTAGAATAAGGAAGTTGTAGGAGGATGCTACTTGGAAAGATTTTTTGCCAAAGCCCATTCTCCATCCTCTCTTCTCTGTTATAGGCTTTTCTTCTCTTTTTTTAGTTAGACAAAACTTTTTCTCTCTTTTTTTTGATTCCCTTTGGCCGTTTTTTTTATACGTTACACAGTAGGAGGACACATGTTATATTCTAGAATCTAGGCTATTTATAATTTAATACAGACAATCCGTTTACTGATGACAATGTCTATTCTATTCGATTATACATTATATAAGAAGCAGAAAGTTGTTATCTACTCATTAATATTCAACAAAAGCCTAAGACTCTATTAAATTAATTAGCGTAATTCTTTGAAGTATAAAGATTTCTATTATTCTTCTCCTCCTTTTCCTTCTTTTTCCTTCCACTTTTTCTTAGTTCTTTATACGCTTAGCGTACTTAAGATGTAAGAAACTTCTTATCTAATACTTGAAGACTATCCTTATTAATCTACTGAGAAAGGGTTGAGAACGATTGTAACAAATTAATTTATTATTATTCTCCGAAGATATTAAACGCCCATAGTAAAAACAACACATACACGCTCACACACGCAGATTAAGAGCGTCGATATTGAAGTTGAGTCATGCACTAAGTTATAGACGCATCTATCATCATTATGTTCCAACTGTTAAAAGAAAGGCATACACTGGCGTTTCCGCTGCAATATAGATCGTGCTTTTTAATTTTTCCACCGATATTCTTTCTCTTTTGTTTCTCAAGCTCGTTCTACTCTTCCTCTCTTTCTCTCTTGTGCTGTTGTTCTCCTTTCCGTCCTTTTATTTTTTCTTTTATTGACGAAAAAAAATTATTAGTAGACGAGCTAAACGCTCACTTTCATTCCCAGAACCGATAGCGATTTCCCTTTGTAAACGCTGAAAAAAAATCTCCACATCAATAAGAAACGCGCTAATACCCGATTAATCCGTATTCCCTCTGTTTGAGGTCAAAGTTCAATTTCACAATACCCACTTTTAATACCTTTTCCTATCATTTATAAGCTATTCATCAATTGTTACGCAATGTTAGATTATTCATTATATTTGTTTTTTATCATAAACAATGCACTTTTTATATAATACCAATTTGAAATCGGACGCGTAATGTTTTAAAGAAATCCATATTTAAACTGGAATTAGAGTCTGCAAATATTTGCTTGTCAGTCTAATATCGTTCGCGAAGAATGAAAGAGAAAGTGGAAGAGAACAGAATAACGAGGGGTATTTTTTGGGGCTGTATTATAGGGGTTCTAATTCACTCAATAAACGTTCTATTGTACTGTGTTTTTTTCCCCTATTCCTATGTCTATAATATTGAGATTTTGTTTTGATTTGGTTTTTTTTTATTATTAAATCATATAAGTTATGAAAATCTCTCTCAGAAAACAAAAAGTTTGTAACAAAGGCTGTGTGTACATTGAGCATTTTTTTTTGAGGAAAGACAAACAACATGTGGAAAATAACGGGCGCCACATGGGCCAACTGGCGCTAAAGTAGAACATTATACTATATCCCTTAATATGCATTTTATATTTATTCGTACACGTATGTCCTGTATATATTTGTGAAATATATACTTGAATAAGGTTATTTTAAAGTTTGCTTTAAAAGGAAAAAAATTTAAGATAAGAAACATTTAAAGCGTAACATTCAAACGCATCTGCAATAGTGTAAAAGAACGCTATGGGAACGTTTTAAAAGCCGTCATTTACGGAAGCATCTGTCATCGTAATGGAGGAAGAAAGGTTGGGGAGCTGGGTCATAGTGAAAAATGGGTCAATAACCTTTTTATCAGCCTATTTTATACCGAAAGTTTATGCTTATCTCGCATCTGTCACCTTAGTAGCTTTTCCCTTTTTTTTGCCCCATGTTTTTTCCTATTTTATTTGTACAAGTTTCTTTCGCATGTCTTGCAGGCGTTCTTTTTTTCTCTCTTTGTTTGTAATTTGTTCAAAATGGCGGAAAAAATTAGGCGGATACAGATGAAAAGAAACCTTTGAAAGTTTTCATTAAATCAACCGTTTTACCTCGCTTTAATTAATTTTGTTAAGGTAAATAGGAAAATGTAGGCAGAAAGTTGATCAATTATTAAGAGAAAGAGGGTGAATGGTAAAGCTCTCCCCCTCTAGAGAAGCGAAATATACTACATCTCAAGGGCCCGACGAAGAGCTTTCTTCCAGCGCCACGTGACCTTTTTAAAGCTCTAGACTATATTCTCTATTTTCCGCAATCTTATTACGTGGGAAATGGACAGACGTATTTTTATACAGGTCTGTTCCACCTATAACGTCCGCCCTAATCCGCTGATTTAGCCATGAAAAATTTCCAACGTCCGATTTTATCAGCGTGCCCTGGAGCTGTAAACGATAAGATCTTAAGGGGGCGTGTAGAGGGAGAGATTCTGTCCAAAGGCTTCTACCGGTATCATATGATCATTCACACATCTTCCCATGTATTTTCCTTCTCAATATGTATTACTAAATACTCTCCGTAAAATATTAAATAACAATCAATTTCTAATTGTTCTCATTTTCTCTCTTCTGCTATAATTTACTGTGTAAATCGAATAGTTCAATATGAATATTATTATATAATAGAATAAATTCAGTTATAATAGCAAAATCCCTAATAGTTTTTCATATCTATTTTGCTATTTTTATGAACATATTGGAGTAAAAGAACTTATCCCTTAATCCCTATCATACCCTAAAAATCGTATAACCAGTTAATCTTATAACAAGCTTTCTAAAAGTAGATTTTTGCCGCAGGGTCACATGACTTGTATAATAGTTAATGGTAAAATTTATATAGTATATATGTATATAAAGATAGTGACAAAAACTCTATTATATGAAATGATTCAACAGTTATTCACAAAATTCAAGCATGGCTACTTATAACAAATAGATGAGAATAGAATAGGGCCTTTTCTTATAGGATGATTTATTTCATAACAAGTGCACTTAAAGAGAGGTAGATAGAGAGATAGATAGATCGAAGGAGCGAGGGAGGAAGAGAGAGAAAGACAGAGAGAGAGAGAGAGAGAGAGGAGGTATAAGAGCTGAGAAACGAATGAAATAAAATAGGAACCACGCCTAATTAAAAATGTCATAGGCTATTTTCATCCGTATTTCTCTCTCTCTCTCTCTGTTTCTCCAGTATTTTCTCTCTATCTTTCCATTAAGTGCTTGTATAGTTTATACATTTGTTTCGTAAGATTATGCAATTAATGTTTCATAGTTCGTTTAGGTTAAGAAGGTTCATGTATGAAGGCATTATTTTTGGCGCCTAAATGCTGTAACTTAATCGGTTAAATTACTTTATTTTTAACATGAACTCTAAATCGCTTAACACATAAATTGGGTCAACCTCCTCCTATTTAGTTGGTGAAAAAAGTACAATTGTCTGTTCTTACAATTTTATTATCTACAATAAAGTTAATCTATAATTCGCCTGTAAACCAAAAGCATTCCTTTTTAAACAGTAAAAAGAAACCAGACTTAATCAATAGCTTCCTGTAGTGACTATTTCGAGGAGGAATAGGTGTATCACGTGATCTCATTCACTTTCGTCTTTCTTTTCGGCTTGTTTTACGAGTTAAAAGTTTCCTGCAGCTATGAAATTATTCCATGTGTTTTTTATCACGTTCTTCGAAATTTACTCTAGCACTTGCGGGAATTTCTTTTTTGTTCATCTCTCTATCTATCCTATTATTCGTAGAATTTGCATACTTTTGTATTTTTTTATATCTTTACTATTTAT